TGTACCACAACCGATATTACCTCACTCTATGAGCACAGCGAAAGAGAGTATGAATAAATGGGGTATGAAACAGTTCCCTACGGAGTGGAATTTATCCCCCGGACGCAGGCAATCGAAGGAGTTTCTGAAGGAAATCAAACCAAAAGAAACGAAATGGCTATTCTCCATCTCAAGGAAGGGAATTAGGAGGCTGATAGGTATTCTGACGGGCCACTGCCCACTGAGAAGACACCTCTTCGTAATGGGTATCCTACCAGATCCCTTTTGCCGCTTCTGCGAAATAAAAGAAGAAACTGCGAAGCACTACCTCGCAGAATGTGATAGGTATGCTAGGTTTAGATTTGAAATCTTTGAAGGAGAGGACATCACCAAATCACCCCCCGAGATAAAATGGTCCAAAATCTTGGGGTTTGTGAACAAGTCCAAGAGGTTTTATGCAGGACACGTGAGCCGACCAAGTCCCGGACCTTTTAGGGATGGGGTACGAGTCTACCCAGCCATTTAACCCCTGGGGTCTTGGTCGCCCACCCTGCATTATATATATATATATATAGATTGAGCCAATTTGGACTGGCCGGATCACTTCCGTTCAGTCCTGAATCACCACTAGAAGTGACCTGATATGATTCGGATAATTCCTGTTCAGTCATGATGATCGGATCACGTCTGCCCAGTTTTGGTAGAACTGTTGTAATTTAGAGATTTTTTTTTTTTTTGATCACTTGTGTTCAGACCTGTTAGAATTGAGCGTATCTGCTCCAGATCACTTCGGTTCATTCCTGACAGAACTTTTACTTTACAACTTTTGAGATGTTATGATTCGCATCACTGCTGTTCAGTCCTGTTAGAATTGTGCGGATCTGACATGTATCACTTAAGTTCACTCTTGATTAGGTTGATTCTACACCTTTTATTCAAGCTAGACAAAAATTGTACACCTCGTTCTTTACAATAAGTACACTTAACCTAAAAATTGGCAAAATTTACAGGTACGTTTTACCTTAAAAGCACTTGTGTTGATTATAAACCCCGATCATCCCTAAAAATTCTACTTCTATGACGTAAAAATAGATATAAGGCAAAAAACATTGTTGGTTATGGACTGGCGAAACTGTAACCAAGTTGTTTGTTACAATAGGTTTAGGAACAGATAAAACCATTTTTTTTTTTCTTTCAAAGCCTGCGAAATGCCCGAATTTCCCAAGGCATGGCGAAACAGGAGGTTTTCCACCAAAAACCCTCCTGGTTTCCTTCGCGACGGTAGATCCAAGAGGAGAAAAAAAGACCAATCCATGAGAAAACTAGAAATTATACGGTTATGTAGACAAGTGCCGTTTTTTATATTAAATAAACAAATTTCGATGATAAATGAATAATTAATGAATGAGTGGTAAATAAAAAAAGTTGCGTGGGAGAACACAAAAGGCGGTGATGGCATTTCCGCTCATTTTCCTCTATCTGTTTATCTTCCTCTGCCTCTGTTCATTATTTCCCATCCGTGAGAAGAAAATTAATTCAAAATAACTGCGTCACTCCGGAGTCAATTGCGAAATTGGCATTTAGCACGATTTTTTACCCTCTGTTTGTCCTACATTGCGGAATTGACACTTTTTGAAGAGGGCGCTCCTCAAGGGAAGATCCTCGGCCCGATCCTCTGTACAGTGTACGCAACAGACTGTTCCGATTTACTACTCGTAAGTGAAAAAAACCCAGACCCGGTAGTGACCTTCAGAAACGTCCAAGGCCTTCTATCCAGTTTGAAAGAACCAAAATATCGATGATCACCTCTCCTCTAATGCACAACTCTGTTACTCTCAAAGCAAAGCCGCCAGCTATTTGGAGCGATTCACTACTGATCCAAATCAAAAGCGTTCATTCCAGGCCTGCTAATATTCAGCAGTTCGCTACTGATACGAATCAGTACGACAATTCATGACAGTCCGGCCAGGTTTGAACGGTTCACTGTTGATCCACTGCTCTAGATCAGCACTGTTCATTCATGCCAGTCTACCTAAGATTGCGCAGTTCACTACTGATCCGGATCATTATTGTTCATTCAAGGGAGAACTGCTACCATTCAGTGGTTCACTATTGATCCAGATCAGTAATGTTCATTCAGAACAGTACCGCTTAGATTTAGAACTGCTAAATTCAGTAGTGTTCCTTCATGATATTACTAGTAGAAAAGAGCGTTTCACAGTTGATACGGATCTGTACTTATTACTGTTACTCCTGCTACCATTTAGCACTGTTCATTCATGATAGTCCTCTTAAGATTGCGCAGTTCAGTTGTATTGTACATTCAAGATAGTTCTGCTAGATTTAGCAGTTCTCTACTGATCTGGATCAGCACTGTTCCGGGCATTTTGGTAGGATTAGGCGGTTCATTCATTATGACGATAAAGCTAGGATGGAGCTGTTCACTACTTATCCGGATCAATAGAGAACCTCTCTATTCTACCAAAGATATGATGAATGAACCGTACTGATTACTGGTTAAGCTGTTCGCTACTGATCCGAATTTGTACTGTTCATTCATGACATAATTTGTATGACTGAGCTTTATTGTCCATTAACTTACAATTCACTCGAAGCAATCTCGTTTTACAACGATTCCCTCCGAAAAAATCTTTCGTTCTCCTTGGATTTCTATAAAGGTTTTTCCCCAAATACATTTCCATCAAGATGGTAACCCACACGGACAATGGACGTGGACAAAAAGTTAGTTCTTTCCGCTGTTCTTAGTACTGGACGAGGATTAATCTTAAAACGGACTTTTTTAGGTTAAATGTATTGTTGAAGTCGCTAAAGGGCTAATGCTACGCTGTGTCCGGCAGTGATTTTCTACTTCACTACACATCCGGATCTGTATTGTTCATTCATGACAGTCCTGCTAGGATTTGGCCGCTTACTACTGATCCGGATCAATAGAGAACCTCTCAATTCTGCCAATGATATGATGAATGAACCGTACTGATTACTGATATGGTTGAGCCGTTCACTACTGATCCGAATTTGTACTGTTCATTCAAGATAGTCCTCCTTGGCTTGAGCTGTTGACTACTTATCCAGACCGGTACTGTTCATTCATGGCATTATTGGTAGGACTGAGCGGTAGTGTCCATTGTCCTACAATTGACCCGGAGCAATCTGGTTTTGCAACAATTCCCCCCGATAAAATCTTTCGTTCACCATGGATAATAAAGCTTTTTTTCCGCCAAATCCATTCCCATTAAGCCAGTAACACACATGGACGTTGACATCAGGTTAACATAAAGTTGGTTCTTTCCGCAGTTCTTAGTCGGTCGGAAAGTGAACGAGGATTCTTAAAACGGACTTTTTAGGTTAAATATATTTTTGAATGGAATGCTACGCTATTATTATCTAGTTCACTACTGATCCGGATTAGTAGTGTTCATTCATGATATTACTGGTATAAAAGAGCGTTTGACCCCCGATTCGGATCTGTATTCATTCAAAACAGTCCCGCAGGCGTTTCACTACTGACCGGGATCAGCAGTATTCATTCATGGCAGTAACGGTAGGGTTCAGCGGTTCGCTCATCACTACTGATCCAGATCTGTAGTGTTCAATCAAGACAGTCCTGATAGGATTTGGCGGTCCAGTATGCAGATCGATACTGTTCGTTGAAATTGTACGTAGGACTGAGCAGTTCACCACTAATTCAGATCAGTACTGTTCATTCATGGTAGCAATGGTAGAAAAGAACGTTTCACTACTGTACGGATCAGTTCTGTTCTTTAAGACAGTCCCGCTAGGATTTGGCAGTTTACTAACGATCCGTATCAATCCAGTTCATTCATGGAAGCAATAGTAGGATTGAGCGGTTCACTAATCACTACAGATCCCAATGTGTATTCATTCAAAATAGTTCTGTTAGATTTGGCAGTTCTGTACTGATCCAGATCAGCTCTGTTCGTTCATTGGTAGGTTTGAGCGGTTCACTACTGATCCGGAACTGAAGTGTTCATTCATGATATTACTGGTATAAAAGAGCGTTTGACCCCTGATTCGGATCTGTATTCATTCAAATCAGTCCCGCAGGCGTTTCACTACTGACCGGGATCAGCAGTACTCATTCATGGCAGTAATGGTAGGATTCAGCGCTTCACTCATCATTACTGATCCGGATCTGTAGTGTTCAATCAAGACAGTCCTGCTAGGATTTGGCGGTGCACTACTGATCCAGATAAGCACAGTCCATTCATGGCAGTGCTAATAGGATTTATTAGTGTACTACTGATCCGGATATCTTCATCCCTACTCGGATTTGGGGGAACACTAGTGATCCGGATCAGCACAATTCATTCATGTCAATTAATAAATAACAGGATTTATTAGTTTACTACTGATCCGGATCTGTACCGTTAGCCATACCTTTACTAGTGGCATTTATCAATTCACTAATGATGCAGATCAGACCTGTTCGTCATGACAGTCCTGCTAGGACTGAGCTATATACTAGATATCCGGATGAGTCGTGAATCGCAGAATCCCGTCAATAATGTCATGTACGAATCGTATTGATCTAGATCAGGTCTCTTCATCAGTGGCAGTCCTGCCAGGATCGAGCTGTTTTGTCCGGGCGAGAAAGCATTAGAGCCATACTAACTCTCTTGATCACGTAGAGTCGAATTTATTTTTTTTGGCAATTACACCTAACCTTGGTCTACCCGGTGAAAGCAGGAAGGAGGACATCCTCCGCCAGCGTCTTTTTCATTTCCCGCTAATCCATTCATAGGGTGTTAAAAAATAAATTCTTCATCTACCACTTGTCAATTTCAACCCTCCTACCCCAGAGCTGGGGGGTTGAAATATAAATGAAAATCGCCTAATTGGCCATTTCGCCGGCTGATTTCTAAAATTCCACCCTGGCCCTTTTGGCCTCTAGGGATCAGAGATCCCCAGAGAGAAAGCTTGGAGCGTTTGTAAAACATTCACATTCATTTTTTTTTTACAGAAACTTTTGCCTGTATGTGCCGGTGGTTATGGCCTTCTCTGCACTGGAAAGTAAGTCGGATTTTAATTTAACCCCTTTAAACCCATCCTGAACGAACTAATCAAACTTGATTCAAGGTGCCATGGTATCAGAAGCTCCGTTAATCCTCCTCGCCGTGGCGACTGTGGCCGTGACGGCCCAGGGGGGCTTGCTAGACTCCTGGAAGAGCAACAGGATAGAAGTCAACGTCCCCTGGGTTCCCGGTAATTAATTTAAAGGAAAAAGGACAATTATGATTTTTATTTTAAAAAATTCTTTCTTTCTAGTCGGAGCGGAGAGCCGGTGTTACGATACCCTCGGCTGCCTCAACCTCACCAAAGAATGGTATCATATCATATACCGACCTTTCAACGTTTTCCCTCTGCCAAGGCACGTCATAGATACAAAATTCATCCTGTACACGAGGTCCAACCCGACGGAAGTGAGTGCTCGTTTTTAAAAGCCGACAGGAGAAAAAAAAAATTCGAGAGAAATTGCGTCGAATTAGAACGATTTGGCTTATTACTGCTTCGCAGTTGTTCAGCCTTTAAAATTGAATCTGTCAGAATGGAGCGGATCTGATACGAATCACTTCTGTTCAGTCCTGACAGAACTGTTCGAATGGATCTTATCCTGATCAATTCTGTTTAAGGCATAGCTGGTAGAATTGAACAGTTCAATATCGATTCGGATCGTACGGCTCGTTCATGACATCGCTGGTAGAATTGAACAGTTCTCTATTGATACGGATCAATACTGTTCGTTCATGACATCGTTGGAAGAACTGAACAGTTCACATTGATCTGGAACAGTAGTTCGCTCATGACATCGCTGGTAGAATTGAACAGTTCTCTATTGATACGGATCAATACAGTTCGTTCATGACATCGTTGGAATAATTGAACAATTCTCTATTGATCCGGATCAATAGTGTTCGTTCATGACATCGCTGGTAGAATTGATCAGTTCACTATTGATCCGGATCAGCAGTTCGTTCATGACATCGTTGGAAGAATTGAACAGTTCTCTATTGATCCGGATCAATACTGTTCATTCATGACATCGTTGGAAAAACTGAACAATTCTCTATTGATCCGGATCAATACTGTTCGTTCATGACATCGCTGGTAGAATTGATCAGTTCTCTATTGATCCGGATCAGTAGTTCGTTCATGACTTCGTTGGAAGAATTGAACAGTTCTCTATTGATCCGGATCAATACTGTTCGTTCATTACATCGTTGGAAGAACTGAACAATTCTCTATTGATCCGGATCAATACTGTTCGTTCATGACATCGCTGGTAGAATTGATCAGTTCACTATTGATCCAGATCAGTTTATTAATTATTAATTTATTACATTAAGTGGTTCATTACTTATTCGCAAAAGCTCTGTTCATTCATGACCGTCCTGCTAGGATTTAGCAGCTTATTGCAGAACCGAATCAGTGGTATTCATGACTATTTGTATGATTGAGTTGTTCTCTATCTGCCCGGATCAATACTGTTCATTAATGACATCACCGGTAAGATTGAGCGGTTGATAGAACTGGGCAGATCTGGTCCGGAACAATTCTCTGCAGTTTTGGCAGAAAAGTTAGCATTGAGCCATTCCCTTCTGATCCGAATCAGTACTGTTCATTTATGACCATCCTGCTAGGATTGAGCTGTTGTCTACTGATCCGAAACAGCATTGTTCGAACGTTTCAATTTTTTATGCAAAAACAGTTGACAAGAAAAATTAACACCATGAGCGAGGTCAAAATTAACGTCGTTCGGCCATAGGTCAAGGGTTCGAATTTCACTCGTGACACTGATTTTCTTCTCAACCGTCTTCGCATAGAAAATTGGAAATAATAATTAATAATAAACCGATAAATTAAATAATTACTGTTCACGCATGACAGTCCTATGAGAATTGAGCAGTTAACTACAGAACTGCATCAGTGGTATACATGACATTACATGTATGATTGAGTTTGTCTATCTGATCCCAATCAGTACTGTTCATTAATGACATTGGAAGGATTGAGCAGTTCAGTTTTGATCCGGATCTGTATTGTTCATTCATGTCAGTATACATATGTTCGAGTTGTTCTCTATCTGATCCTGATCAGTACTGTTCATTAATGGCATCACCGGTTTAATTGAGCAGTTACTGTCACAGACTTCAGGTCAGTCTTGACAGAACGGTTAGCATTGAGCCACTCCCTTCTGATCAAGTGTTCAGTTCTGATAGAACTGTTACAATTGATCACATCTGTTACTGATAATTTCTGATCAGTTTTGACAGAACTGTTACAATAGATCCCATAGAGTTTCACTAATGATCCCGGTCAGTGTTCATTCATGACATTACTTGAAGGTTTTAGTTGTTTTCTATATGATCCTGATCAGTAACGTTCATTCATGTAATCCTGCTAGGAATGAGCTGTTCTGTATCGATCCAGATCTGTATTGTTCCTGCCATCACTGTTAGGATTGTGCAGTTCATTTCTGATCCGTATCTCTTCTGTTCAGTCCTGACAGAACTATTAGAAACGAGCGAACCTTTTTTATTTAGTTCCAACAATTTCAGGGCGTGATGATGAGGGCGCAGAATCCAAAGTCGATCGAACGGTCCCACTTCGACTCAAAGAAGCCGACCAAGTTCATAATCCACGGCTTCATCGACACACCGCTAAGCTCTTGGGTGAAGGTATTGAATTTAAAAATAAAAAAAGTCAATAATGAGTTAATTGGATTTATTTGTCAGGAAATGAGGATGGAGCTGTTGAAATACGCTGATTATAATGTGATAGTCGTTGACTGGGCTGGTGGATCTCTTCCTCTTTACACTCAAGCCACTGCAAACACTAGGCTCGTCGGTCTCGAAGTTGCCAACTTCATCAACTATCTCAAAGTGAGTTTTTGGTGGTTTTTTTTAGGAATGTTAAGTCAATTTGGGTATTTCAGGAAAACCATTCCTTGGATCCAGGCCAGGTGCATATTATCGGGCATAGCCTAGGAGCCCATACTGCTGGATACGCCGGAGAAAGGGTTGCCGGGTTGGCGAGGATCACCGGTCTAGATCCAGCCGAGCCCTATTTCCAAGGTATGCCCAAGTCTGTACGTTTAGACCCGACTGATGCCAACCTGGTCGATGTGATCCACACGGACGGCACGAGCATCTGGCTCTTAGGGTACGGCATGGTTGAACCATGCGGACACCTTGACTTCTACCCGAACAACGGCAAAGAACAGCCGGGCTGTGATATCGCCGAAAACCCTCTACCCCTCACCCTTATAAGAGACGGGATCGAAGAAGCGTCTAGAGTCCTGCTCGCCTGCAACCACGTCAGGGCTATAAAGCTGTTTATAGAGAGTATCAACTCTTCCTGCCCGTACCTGGGCCACAGGTGTCCGTCTTATCAACATTTCCTGCAGGTAATTCAAATCCAAATCTAAATTTAATCAAAAACTTTACATCAAAATCGATGTCAAGGGGAAATGCTTCTCATGCGGTCCGAACGGTACAGGCTGCGCCATCATGGGCTTCCACACGGAGAAGACAAACCTACCTCCAGGTGGAAAATACTTCATACAGACTGGAAGAGACGCTCCTTATTGCAGTAAATAATCTTTAAAAAAAATGAAGTATTAATAAAAATTAAAATAATAACTTTTATTATTCAAAGGAAGGCACTATAAAGTGACAGTGGATTTGGCAAAGCCGCCCAGGGCTGAAGCATGGGTTCAAGGGTTCATGAGGGTCTCGCTGCACTCTGACAATGGGGTCATACGCAACCTAGATCTGACACCAAGGTAAATGACAAAAAAAAAATTAATAAAAAAAAGTAAAAAAAAAACAATAAAAATCACATTTCAAAGCGGTTATGAAAAACTGGAACACGGCACGTCGAAGAGCTTCGTCGTGACGCACCAGGAGGACATAGGCCCGGTCAGGAAGGTGGAGTTCTACTGGGAGTACGACATGAACGTACTACAGCCTCGTAGCATATGCTTCCTATGGTGCAATGACCACCTGTATATCAAAAATATACGAGTGACGGAAAGCAAGATCAACAGCAGAGAGTATGCTTTCGGAAAATAAAAAAATAAAAGCTCATCTTAATTTTTTTTTATGTGGGTTGCAGGAAACGAGCTGTTGATGTGTCGAGCAAACTCTGTTCACTTGGAAACCGAGAGTATGCTGATATAGCGTCCAGGTCGACGGCGCTCTTCCTCGATAAATGCGACGACTAGGTCTAAGACCTCAAAAAAACAATAAAAATGTATATACATGTCGTATAAAAGTGATCGGTTTGGCTCTCAGAACAAAATAATTAAAAAGAGAGGAAAAACCGACAGTGATCTATAATTTGTATATTGTATTGTTATAAACAATTAAAGCCGTTATTTTATTTTTATTAAAGGAATAAAAATACAGCCTGAATTTCTCTCCTGCCTAGATTTCTTAATTTCTGTTTTTGGTAATAAATCGTTCCCTTTTGGATGGGTTAAAACTTGTGTTTAACTAATTGATTTGTGCTTTCAGCCCTGAGAGAACTGTTAAAATGTAGAGTGATCTGATTTAGATCGGTACTGTTCAGATCTGATCAGGATCAATTCTGTTTGGCCCTGACAGAATCGTTGGAATTGAGCCGATCTGATCCTGATAACTTTTGTTCAATCCTGACAGAACTATTAGAATTGACTTGATGATTTGGCTCACTTCCATTCAGTCCTGCTGGAATTGAGCAGATCTGATCCGAATCACTTCAGTTCAACTCTGACAACAGAACTGTCCTCTTCTGAAACAGATCAGTTCAAATCGAGCGGATCTGATCCGGATTATTTCTGTACAAACTTGACAGAATAGTTACCACGGTGCCATTCCGTTCTGATCCGGATCTGTACTTTTCAGTCCTGGAAAATAACTTAGAATGTCTAACAAATTAAAAAAATAAAAATAAAATAAAATAAATACAAATTTTTATCTCTAAAAACCTTAATTAACTGGTCAAGCGGACCACGAAAACTAGTGAATAAATACAGTCGGACAAATTTTCTTTTTACTTTTGTAGAGGGGTGGGGGTGGGGAAAAAATGACAAAGTTTTTATAAAATTTTATTTTTTCTTTCTTCTTGTCTAAGAATTGTTCACTTTTTAAATTTTGCCACTGAGAAGGAATCATTTTGAACATTTGATGCAGTTTTCCTTTTTTTTTAAATTAATTTTTTTTTTACTGTCGAACATTTTTCATTCTCATCGTCATGAATGTGATGAAAATGAGCTGTCTCCTCCCCAGCCGTCCATATTCGGAGTATAAAAATTTTCAACAATTTTTTTTTGTTTTTTCTGTCCTAACAATTGTTGTATCCACCGATTGTTTTTTTTTCTTCTTCTTTAAGATATTTACAAGTTCAAAATATCACGGTGGGAGGAGGGGAAAAATGCAGAATTAAATTGTTTCTTAAATAAACAAAAAACCTACAATAATTATTTTCTTATCTTTTTTTTTTAAACATTACCAATATATTATTTTTTAAGAAAAACAATATAATATATTAAATGAGTCGCTTAATTATTAATATATTAACTTCCCTTTGAAATATAATAATTATTTAAGGGGGAGGTGGTGGATAGAGGTAAAATTTTCTTTTTCTCTCATGCTTTTTTTAAATATATAAAGAAAATGGCCACATTTTTAATATTTACAAAAAAAAATATTTATTATAAAACTAATATTATTTTCCTCTATTTTTATTTTTTAAATTATAATAGGATAAAAAAGAGGGGAGGATTGCACACAATTTTGTACAACTGATTTTTTTTTTTTTAATCTACACATTTGAAATTATTTAAAAATTATTTTATTATAATAAAAAGTAAGGCAAATGTACATTCCTCAGGAGAGAAGGGGGTGGTTGTTGAGAAAATGAAAAGAAGAAAAAAAAAGAAAAGAAAACAGGGGGCGCACCTTCAAAAGTGATGTCCTGTATTTGAACATTTCATTATTTCTAAATTTCAAAAAAAAAAAAAAAATAATAATAATAATAATTTGATATTTACAGGCAAGTTTTAAAGTGAGACACGGGAGTACGGTGTACGCTTTGTGCCATTATGTACAGCGGGTGGAAGAACGGCGCCTGTGACTAACATGACCCCTGTGTACTACATGCTAAAAAATGAAGGAGGGAAAATAAAAATCCCAACCCCCAAAAAAGGCAAATGCATTAAAGACAAAATGAGTTAAAAATTACAACAAAAAAAAGCAATCTATAAAGATTTTTTTGTTTTTTGTACATGGTTTTTTTATGCTAAAAAATTAAAACAAACTGGTAAGAAACATAATCGGAGTGTTCAACCCCCCCTTAAAATACCGAAAACCTTTTTCTTTCCTTTTTCTTTCCTTTTTCTTTTTATGAACGCATCTGTCTATATAATATATAAAATAAAACTAATCGGTTATTTTTCTTATATTAGTTGAGAACGACTTATATTCCCCTAAATAATATTTATACAAAATAACACAAATTAAAATTTATATATACATATACATACTTACACAGCAAAGGACAAGAGTTTATTTAGCCAGACCGACATTTTTTTAATAAATAAATAAATAAAATAATATATTATATAGCAATGATGCTATATAAGTTTACATGTAAGGTTATTTGTTCTTAAAATAGGTCTGAGGTCAAGAGAAATTTTAAACATTTACAAATTTCATGTTACAGTATAAAATTCATCAATGGTGCAATTTTTTTAAAATTATAAATTATTATAAAATCCATACTTAATATTTCATCAGGCTAGCCGGTTTAAATTTTGTCTTTTAATTTGTAAGTACGTATATACAGGTGGATAAAATTATAAAAAAGAAAAAAAAAGAAAGAAAGAAAAACCAGAGTTTTCCACAAATTGGTTCACCACTTTCACTGTCTGCACACCAAACCCCTGCGGAGGATAAAAAACGAGGTATCTTCTTTTCTTTTTAATTTTTTTTCTCTCTTTCTCTCGCTCTCGACCTTCCCCCTAGAACAGAAACAAGACAATATAAAATGCGATTGTACAGTCCAATATGTAAATAATGCAATAAAAACTAAATCCTAGAAAACCACTGCTTTTGCTTCTTTTTTGTTCACATTTTTCTTAGCCATCATAAACGATTTCTAATTATATTTACAATTACTTATTTTAAGCCATTCTTATTTTGAGTTAAGTTAATGTCGGACTATTGGTTAATTTTGGTAACATCTAGTTTATGTATATCTGTTTTTTTTTTTTTTTTTTTTGGATCTGATCTGATCAAGATTTGATCCTGACAGAACTATTACCATTGTACCGGTCTGTTCAGATCCGGATCAGTACTGTTTAGTTCTGACAGAACTTTAAAAAAAAGAGTGCGATCTAATTCCGGATCAGTACTGTTCAGTTCTGACAACTATTAAAAAAGAGCATGATCTGATCCAGATCAGTACTGTTTATCCTGACAGAACCGTTAGAATTGAGTGTGATCTGTACTTTTTTGAACTGACAGAACTGATCAGATTTGATTGGGATTACTTCTGTCCAGTCATGGCAGAATTATTACCAATGTGCCGTTCTGTTCTGATCCGTACTTGTTCAGTCCTGACATAACTAAGCAGAGGTTCGGGGTCATTTTTATTTGGTCTTGATGGAACTTTTAAACTTTAGTGTGATCTGATCCAAATCAGTTCTGTTAGAAAAGAGTTATAGGACTCAAGACATTCACCCAGAGTTAGAGAGCTCAGCCAGCTCACTCTGTCTGGAACTCAGTCAGCTAAGAGACAGAGTCGTGTCTCAGTGTTCCAGGGCCAGAAAGGAGAAAGTGGGATGAGTCAACTACAGACGATTGACGAGTGTCTAGGACGCAGCAGAAACGAGAATCGACTCGTCTCACTCTATTAGGAACTTAAGTCAGCCAGACAAGAGTCAGAGGACTTCTGTTCAGCCCTCATAGTGTCATTATTTCCACGGAAGACTGGGAAAATCAAATCACTCAGTTGAATTGAGATGAGTCCCAATTATGAAACACAAGGCTCAGGTCCATTGAAGTCCGTTAGAGACCCTATTTCAAAATTTAGAAACATTGGGCTCAAAATAGATTTTAGCAATTAATTAAGGTTTTTAGTTGAGATAAAAGAGTCAATGGCACGAGCAGGATTTGAACCCATGATTGATACGCCGCTGCTGTACCACTTGAGCTATCGTGACCTCGATTCACTCGGACACCAACTTCCCATCTCAACCCCACATTTTGAATTTTCCCTCCTTCCAAGTGGTAGAGCAGCGGCGTATCTAGCCGAAGATCGTGGGTTCGAATCCCACTCGTGCCATTGACTTTTTTATCTCAACTAAAAACCTTAATTAATTGTAATATATTAATTGGTCAACAGACCACGAAATTAGTGAATTTAATAGATTTTAACGTTTTTAAACCTCTCAATAATGGGCAAAAACTCTTTCCCGCATTCATTATAGACAGGATAAGTGTCATGAAGTTTGAAGTTGTTGAAATTTTGTAAATACAACATACTGACAGCTGGGCGGTGATAAATAAAAAACCTTTCTTTAGAGGGCACCACACAAAAACAGTTGCCACAACTGTCCATTGGCAAGAAGTTTTCACTACTATCATGGCAAAATTGTAATTAATTTATTTTAGTATTTACAAACAAATTAGTTTAGGCCTAATTAGAAAATGAAAAAATTACACCTCACTGTCTAGATTAATTATGTAAATATTATATACATATTATGAACATAATGATGATTACCTATAATTAAAAGTAAAATAATTTAAATTTTCTCTCCTATTTATAAAAGTTTTGTGAATTGTTAGGGCAGTCAAACAACCTACGGCTGAAATGGTCGCAGGCCTGCTTTTCTGCCATATTACTCTCGGCACTTTCCGACACCTGGGGGCCAATGGTTGACAGCCAAGCTCTAATATATGCCAGTAGAAATTTTAAAATTATACGAGATTAATTCCAACTAACCCAATTAATACGGTTCTGTCAGATTTGAGCTGATCTGGATCAGACCTGATCAATTCTGACTGTTCTGTAAGGAATGGACAGGAGTGATTCAGTTCAGATCCGCTCAACTCTGACATTTCTGTCAGGAATTAACAGGTCTGAACAGAAGTGATCCATAATTATTACAAATCAATTAAAAATAAATAATGTAGTGTGTCACTCACTTCTACTGTGTTGTTTCCTCTTTTTCATCCTCCTCCTTCGTTGTTGAGTTGACTTTTTTCTCTTCTGTCGGTTGATCTTTGACGCCGTCGTTTTGATCAGCCTTTTCTTCTTCTACTTCGTCCTGTACAAGATGAAAAATTTTGATCAAGTTGTACGAAATTGTTTTTAAAAACTTCGGCCTACCTTTTCCTTCTCGTTCTGTTCTTCCTTTCCTTCTTTCTTAGTTGTCTCCTCTTCCATGTCTTCGCCGTTGGCACCGCCTTCGCTGGGCTTCTCGTCTTCGGACGGTTTCTCGTCCTCCTTCACCTCTTCCTTTTCCTCTTCCTCTTCCTCCTCTTTGTAATTCTTTTTCCCCCGGCCTCGTCCGCGTCCTGTAAATTTTACCGACATGAAAAGTATATTTCTCATAGAAAAAACTTATTTTTATTATCCAGGTAAAGAAAAAACATCAGAGGTATTAAAAAAAATATCGCTTCGGAGTTATGATCATCAACGCTCAACCCTCGAGGAACGTATCAAATCCTCGGCCTTAATATCATCATATTCGTTATATTATTAATTATTATAAGTAAAATAGTGACCTTTGGCTGGTGGGGTCTTTTTCTCACGCTTGGCCGGCGGCGGGGTCGCTACTGTCGTTCCCCTAGTTGAAGACCGAGTCGTCCTCCTTCCCTCGTTCTCTTCTTTGTCATGGAGGATGGCATCTGCGTCCAGATATGACTGGGGATTAGACGAGACCCTCTTGCCAGCCTTCCTGCCTCTTTTCGCTGGAACTTCTTCATTCACCTCCTGGAGACGGTAAAATTAATTTTAAAAAAGTCATACACATACAATTTGAAAATTTCTCATGGACTCTTGTATGAGCTAAGAATTCCGAGGTCGCACGGAGTGGGAGGAATAGAATACAGTTGATCGTCAAGGGTCTAGATCAAAGCGGAAAAGAAGATGGGCTTGGGGAGTCAGGAACTCGGGAGAGGAGTCAGTCAGTTCACTCAGTCGGGGACTTAGTCAGATGAGAGTATGAAAACAGTCAGTCAGTCAGTTGAAAGTCTGAGGACTTAGTCAGCCGAAAGTTAGAAGACTCAGTCAGTTTGAGAGTTTGAGGACTCAGTCAGGGACTTAGCCAAGAGTGTTAGGACTCAGTTGGGGACTTAGGCAGCCGTGTCAGTTGAGAGTCTGAAGACTCAGTCAGTCAAGAGTCTGAGGACTTAGGCAGCGCTGAAAGTTAGAGGACTCGGTCAGACGAGAGCCAGAGGACCAGTTCACTCTGTTAACTTGGAACTTAATGAGCCAAGTCGGATTTTTCCTAACTTTGTTATTTTTTGGCCATTTTAAAATTGAACTGAGGCATCGATCTCAGCCTGAGAAAAAAATAATCCTTTAAAATGAATGTCGTAAGGTCCCATTTGAAGTAACAAAGCTGTCCAGAGGTAAACTACATAACTTCTTCAGAAAAACTGATTTTTCAACAAGACTGTAAAATAACATACATTTTTTGGGTGTATTAACAATAAAATTAATAATTTAAAGGTGAAAAAAAAAAAATCTGGAAAAACCGAAACGACCGTTTAAATTTGAAATAAAGCGCCATAGGCCGTCGTTGAGAACGCTACGGTGAGCCGAGAGCCAGTTGGCTCACCAGCGGCCCCCACCAAGACGCACGCCGAAGCCCCACTTTTGGCGCCATCGAAGTCCGGAGGAAAGCCCAACTTTTTTTTTGATAAGTCGGAAATCGGAGTTAAAGACGAAAAAAGTACGATTTTTAATTAAAATGTATTCATTTTACCCAAGAGAAATTAAAATTATAATTAAAAAACTGAAACTTGTAATTGGAAAAAGTTACAAGTCGGGTTTGAAAAATAGTGTTATTGTTTAAATTCTTTCTTTTTAGTTAAGTTTATTTAATTTATTTTTATATTTTTTTTAAATTTAGGATGTAATAACAACGATGTGAAGTGTAAATACCCCCACCCGCCTCGAGATAGAAGGGGGTTAGGACTGTATTAACGCTTTTTAAAAAATACGGCCCGGTTTTTTATTTTTTTATAAACTTTTTTTAAGTTTTAAATAATTGTTTAATTATTGATATAAAGGGGTTTTCTTTGGGTCTGAACTTTTAAAAACAGTGTAAAAAGGCGGCCGGGGGTCGGAAACGCATCGATGGGAAAATGGCGGCCGATTTTCCTTATTTACATTCCGGGTTGGAGGGAAACAAAACAAAACCGTATACAACGGCCGAGATTTTAAAGTAAAGCCGGCCAAAAATGGGTCCGTCTCGTTTCGCTCGTTTTCCGCGTTGTTCAAAAATCCGCCCGGTCATTTCGGGCCGGGGTACGAGGGCGATGCGAATCGGCTTGGGTCGGACGGCGTGGTTTCGAGTCGGATCGTTGAACGGAAATAAAAACTCACCTTCGAGGCCGCTTCGACCGAGTTCTTCCCCTTTGCGTCCGAGTTGTTTTCCGACATTGTTTTGCGGTTGTTTTTTCCTCCTTTTGTTTTTGCCTTTTTCCCTCTTCCGTGTGTTGTATGGATTGAGAAGTTCCGCTCGTCGCAGTAGTTCAGCCCGTCCCGAACAGCCTCGAGTGTCGACACTAACGCTACGGCCTTGTTTACGCCTTGGCGGGGGGGACGCTATCCACGAACGCATGCGCGTTTATGTCCGGCTGCCCCCACCTTTTAGACATAGAAAAGACGCCGCCGAACCTAAAGGAGAAAGATAGTTTTACCCCATATTTAATAGTTTACTCCATAAAATTTTAACTAAAAAGTTAATTAATTAAAAAAACATAAAATTACAAAAACGAAAAAAACGCCAGAAATCAAACACAATTGTCCAATTGTTTGCTCAATTTGTATTAAAAAAACAGTAAAGTTGATTTAGAAAATAAAATTATTTTTTATCGTTTGATTTTTTCCTCTCTCACTCTCTTTTTACCCGTAATCTTATCTAATCTTATCTTTGTGAAACTAGGATTTTTTTTTATATTTATCCTCTCTCACTTTCACATTCGATCATTCTGACTCAATCACTCACACTCACTCACTCAACAGCTCACACGCTCGCTCACACACCATTCTCTCTCTTCTCTCAATCACACTCACCCACTCACTCACTCAGTCTCAATCACTCTTTCTCTCCCTCACTCATTCACCCAACATCTTGTCTCACTCTCTCTCTCTCCCTCTCACTCTCTCCCTCTCCCTCACACTCACTCACTCTCTCTCAAACACTCTTTCTCTCATTCACTCACTCAAAATATATATTAAAAAAATATATTGTTTGTAATTGTGAGTAAAAAACAAAACAAAAACAATTTTTTTCTTTTTCTTCATTATAAATTACAATTGTAAAATACATGGAAAAAAAACTATCAATCAAATCAATCTCTCTCAAACACTTTCTCTTGCTCTCTCACTCAGTTTCTCTCAATCACTCTTTTTCTCAAAAAAAATATAGTAATGTTTTTATTAGTTGAGTAAAAGCCTGAAAATGTTGAAAGTAGGATTAGTGGGAAGTTTGGCTTTTTGAACTCCTTTTCCTGGATTCCTGGGTTGTTGAAGTGGCAGAAGATTTTTAATTAATGCCCCTAGCTTGTAGAAGAACAAAAATAGAAGAAAACCCTAAAATATTTTTTATTAGGTGAGTAGAAACTTGAAAGTATTCAGGTATTGGAGGATCGATTGGAATTTTTGATTTTTGAGCTCTTTTGCTTGTAATGCTGGATTGTCGAAGTAGCAAAGATTGGAATCAAAGCCCCCAGCCTTTAGAAGAAGAAAAATAGAAGAAAACCTAATAAAAATGTTGTTTCTTAGGTGAGTAGAAGCCTGAAAATATTGAAATATCAAAGGATTAGTAGGAAATTTTGCTTTTTGAACCCTTTTCCTTGGAATTGTGGGTTGTTGAAGTGGCAGGAGATTTTTAATTAATGCCACTAGCTTGTAGAAGAACAAAAATAGAAGAAAACCCAAAATATTTTTTATTAGGTGAGTAGAAGCTTGAAAGTATTCGGGTATTGGAGGGTCGATTGAAATTTTTGATTTTTGAGCTCTTTTGCTTGTAATTCTGGGTTGTCAAAGTAGCAGAAGATTGTAATCAAAGCCCTCAGCCTTTAGAAGAAGAAAAAATAGAAGAAAACCGTAAAATATTTTTTATTAGATGAATAGAAGCCTGAAAATATTGAAATATTGTATGATTAGTGGGAAGTTTGGTTTTTTGAACTCCTTTTCCTGGATTCCTGGGTTGTTGAAGTGGCAGACCATTTTTAATTAATGCCCCTAGCTAGTAGAAGAAGAAAAATAGAAGAAACCCCTAAAATATTTTTTCTTTTTTCTTTCTCTTTATTATAAATTATAATTGTAAAATACATTGTAAAGACTAAATGAGTCTAAATCATAATAAATTTATAATGTAAACTATATAACTCACATTAAGTGTAAGAAAGGTCCAAGAGACCTAACTATGTGAGATTTAAAAAAAAGACTTTCAATCAAATCAATTTCTCTCTGACACACTCACTCTCTCTCTCTCCCTCATTCACTCACTCAGTCTCTCTCAATCACTTTTTTCCCTCTCACTCACTCACTCAACAGCTCTCACCCCATTGATACATATGTCTTAAAAAGTTATGAAATCATAACAAAAAGAAAAAAATAAATTAAAAAATGTATTGTCAAATTGTTAGTAAAAACAAAACAAAAACGATTTTTTTTCCTTTCTCTTCATTATAAATTATAATTGTAAAATACGTTGTAAAGACCAAAAAAGTCTAATTCAGAATTAATGTAAACTGTAAAACTCACTTTAAGTGAAAGAAAGGTCCAAGAGACCGAACTATGCTTGATTAAATAAAACCATCAATCAAATGCTCTCTCTCTCTCTCTCTCTCTCTCTCTCTCTCTCTCTCTCTCTCTCTCTTCTCTTTCTCTCTCTCTCTCTCTCTCTCTCTCTCTCTCTCTCACTCAACAGCTCACACATTTTCTCACTCACCACTCTCTCCTCTCTCAATCACACTCACTCAGTCTCTCTCAATCACTCTTTCTCTCCCTCACTCACTCACTCACCACCTCACTCTCTCTCTCTCTCTCTCTCTCACTCAACAGCTCACACATTTGCTCACTCACCACTCTCTCCTCTCTCAATCACACTCACTTACCCACTCACTCAGTCTCTCTCAGTCACTCTTTCTCTCCCTCACTCACTCACTCGCCATCTCACTATCTCTCTCTCTCTCTCTCTCTCTCTCTCTCTCTCTCTCTCTCTCCTTCCTAATCTAGTTTTTAAGAATCTTATAAAAAATCTAATTTTGTTTATATAACTTGTATTATACTTTTGTACTTATTTACATTTACATTACTTAGCCAGAGTCTATTTATTCTTGTGATGTTACTCAACAATAACATCCTCAGTATAAAAATATAACTTATAAGTTTAACTTACTCTCTCACTTTAGTCGTTTACTTCATTGTTGATTTTACAACCAATTGTTATTTCTATTTTATGTCAGATGTGACTGTAAATAAATTTTATAATTGGAATTATACGTTAAGTGTAAGAAAGGTCCTAGAGACCTAACTTTTGCATGTATTTTAATTACTAAATAGTTAATCAACCAATCTCTCACTCATTCACTCACCATCTCTCTTTTTCCCCTCACACTCACTCTCTCGCTCATTCAACAGCTCTTACCTCTCTCTCTCTCCCTCTCTCAATCACTCAATAATGTAACAATAAAAAGAGGAAAAGATTGTTTTTAAGTTTTATTGATATTGAAAATGTATGAAATAAGGACGGTGAGACAAAATATTAAAAGGACAGACACAATGTTGTCAAAAACCGGCTGTCAAACGGTTGGCTTAAGGTCGGTCTTCCTACGTGCGAATCTGCCAAGGCAGTCGGTGTGGTTGTGGCAGCTGAGGAGCGGGCAGAAGTCCTGGAGGCCGTTCTGCCTCCTGCAAGGGCAGACGCGATGCAGTTTCCCACCGACGACGTTGTAAGGAGGCTCTTTTACAGTTTCCACTCCCATGCCGATGGCGTATGGAGGTCTTAAGTTCTGCTTGTGGGCGCTGTAGCCCCTATTTGCCCTCATCGTCCCATACGGGGTCGAAGATATCTTAGTCGGACTGATCGAATATGCGGATAACGAGGTGTGTACGGCCGAGTTGGAAGCGTCAGTCTTCTGCTGTTGATCCTGACTGGTGCTTAAGACGGGGTTGGACGTCGCCTTGAACCCGCAACCCTCTCCGGCTGCACCCTGGCAACAGTAGAAGCAGTTTTGGCTCACCGGCTTCTCAGGCACGTAACCCTGAGCGGGTTCGACGGTCAAATTGTACTCCCACACTTTGTCACATAAGTTCTCATTCTCGTCTATCGCTTTGTCTGGTGATTCCAGGTAAACGTTATCCATGTCAAAACGGAGATTATTAATCCCTTTATTTAACAAGTTTTAGTGAAAATGTTTTTTTATTTATTTTTAATTTTTTAAAGGGATTCTATTAAATTTTGTGTGTGAATGCTTCAAAAATTAACTATGTAATGATGAATAAAGATCATGTGTTGGCCCACGACCAGCAGTGTCATCTGATTTTATTTAATTTTTTTAAAAATTACATATTAAAATTAACATTCTTTCTTACTTTTATTTTATTTTATTATTTTTTTTAAGGGTTGTTAAAGAATTTTGTAAATATTTCATGTTGCATTATACTTTGTTTAATTACTTAATTACTCAATTTTAGAACTATAATACAAAAACTTTTTTTTAAAGATAAATTTGAGCTGTTTTGCTTGTATTTCTGGGTTGTCGAAGTAGCAGATGATTGAAATCAAAGCCCCCCAGCCTTTAGAAGGAGGAAAATAGAATAAAACCTTAAAATAGTTTTTATTAGGTGAGTAGAAGCCTGACAATATTGAAATATCAAAGGGTTTGTGGGAAATTTTGCTTTTTGAACCTTTTACCTTGAAATTCTGGGTTGTCGAAATGGCAGCAGATTTTTAATTAAAGCCCCTAGTAGAAGAGAAATAGAAGAAAACACTATATTATTTTTTATTAATTGAGTAGAAGCCCAAAAGCATCCAGATATTGGAGTATCAGTTGGATCAGTTTGCGATTTGGAATCCTGGGTTGTCGAAGTGGAAGAAGACTTGTAATTAATGCCCTCAGCATGTACAAGAAGAAAAATAGAAGAAAACTCTAAAATATTTTTTATTAGATGAGTAGAAGCCTGAAAGTGTTCAGGTATTGGAGGGTCGGTTGGAATTTTTGTGATTTGAGCTCTTTTGCTTTGAATCCTGGGTTATCGAAGTGGTAGAAGACTTGTAATTAATGCCCTCGGCATATACAAGAAGAAAAATAGAAGGAAACCCTAAAATATTTTTTATTAGGCGAGTAGAAGCCCGGAAGGATCCAGATATTGGAGTATCAGTTGGATCAGTTTGCATTTTGAGCTCTTTCGTTTGGAATCCTGGGTTGTCGAAGTGGTAGAAGACTTGTAATTAATGTCCTCAGCATGTAGAAGAAGAAAAATAGAAGAAAACTCTAAAATATTTTTTATTAGATCAGTAGAAGCCTGAAAGTGTTCAGATATTGGCGGATCGGTTGAAATTTTTCCATTTTGAGTTCTTCACCTGCAAATGCTGGGTTGTCGAAGTGGCAGAAGACGGGAAAACTTAGCCTGCGGAAGAAGAAAAATGGAAGAAAACCCTAAATTACTTCTTATTACCTAAGTAGAAACCTAAAAATATTGAAATAAATGAAAATATAGGAATAAAAATGTAAATATTTGTTTAAATTTTTTTATTAATGTACATGGAGATGATCAAGCAATATTGTTATATTGAATTTTGTGATTATCTCTCTTTCTTACTTTCTCTCTCTCTCACATTTTCTTTCTCTTAAACTTAGAAACAATAGGCACTATTTTGGGCGAGCCGTCGTACACGTTTGCAAAAAGGACAAGTTTTTGTTTTTTTACAGACAGTCCTTGGTTGTGTGTGTTCTTCCTTAGGCACTGGATTTTAGGCTGAAAGTGGTGGCGGAGGCATTGGGGCATCTTCTTCAAAAAGAATGGTCATCCTGTCGTACTCCATGTAGGAACGGGTTTTCTTCTGTTGAGCCGAGTACTGTGAAAAAATATGTATTTTTATTTTTTTTTAAACTTTTTTATTTTTATTTTTATTTTTTATTTTTATTTTTTTTTTAATTACCGATGTCGGTTTAGCTTCGTCATTGCTCAGTTCGCTTGAACTGCTCAGCTCCTCGAGTGTAAGCTGTTTGGAAAGTCCCTCGAGTTCTAAATCTATGTACATCTGGTTCAGCTGATCATTGACTAAATTAGGCTGAAAACAAAAATCGATTAATTAAATAATATACATTTTTCATAAATAATTAATTAATTACCTGGTGGATCCTTTCAAGCAATAGAAGGTCCTCTTTTAGGACTTCATCGAGTTCCCTTTCCTCGAGTTGGTACCTGAGAATCAATTCAGGAGTGACGTTGATGTCTTCGACCCAGGGGGCGACTTTCCTTATTGGCCTCGGTTTGCTACTGGTTGGCCAGGAAACTTCCTACATTTACAAAAAAAATTAGTCTAACCCTTAATCCTTATATATTAATTATTACTTTTTTCCCAACACTCACCTCGGTTTTGTCATTCTCCGATGAACTCTTGAGACTGCTGTCTGATTTGTCTGTCTTCAGGAAAGAATAGAAACTCGAATGGTAGCTGCTATCATCGCAAGGCACGCTGTAGTAAAATTCAAATGATCAAAATCAAGTTTCAAACAATTTTATTTAATTTATTTTCGTGTTTCTCAAATCACCTAGTTTCTGTGGAATCGGCTTCCGGGTCGGTCTTCTGATCTGACCTCGCATTCACCTGTATCCTCTCATTCAATAAACCAGTTTTATCCTGTTGGGCAACAACCTTGGTTATTTTGTTTAATAATTTATTTATATTAAAAAAGGCTAGGATAGGTTAAGGTGGCGGTTATTGGATAAATTAAGGATTATTGGATTAATAATAAGTTATGGGGTGCTTTTGAAAGGTTAATGTTAGTTGTTGATTGTCATGGAAGGTTGTGGGGTCGTATAGGAAGAATAAGAAAATTTTATGGATTGTGATGGAGGGTTATGGGGTGGTATTAGAAGGTTAAGGAAATTTTATTGATTGTGAAGAAGGCTTATGAGGGGGTATTAGAAGGTTAAGTTAATTTTATGGATGGGGATGAAGGGTTTTGAGGTGGTATTAGAAGGTTAAGGAAATTTATGAATTTGTGATGAAAGGTTATAGGGTGGTACTTGAAGTTTAAGAAAATATTATGGATTGTGATGAAAGGTTATGGGGTGGTATTAAAAGGTTAAGGAAATTTTATGGATTGCAAAGAATGGTTATGGGGTGGTATTGGAAGGTTAAGGAAATTTTATGGATTGTGAAGAAGTGTTATGGGGTGGTATTAGAAGGTTAAGGAAATTTGAATTTGTGGTGAATCGTTATGGGATGGTATTAGAAGGTTAAGGAATTTTTATGGATTGCAAAGAATGGTTATGGGGTGGTATTAGAAGGTTAAGGAAATTTGAATTTGTGGTGAATCATTATGGGATGGTATTAGAAGGTTAAGGAAATTTTATGGATTGCAAAGAATGGTTATGGGGTGGTATTGGAAGGTTATGGGTTATGAAAAGTTATAAGGTGATTTTAGAAGGTTAGGAAAATTTATGGATTGTTATGAATGGTTATGGGTTTTACCTGATGCGTTGCAGCCATCTGGCTGTGCTGGCTGCCATGTTCGACTTTGTTTGATGTCCCCTGAGCCGCCGTTCTTGTCTAAACATCAATTAATTTTTTATAAAACTATAATAAAATATCTTTTATCTTTTTTTAATAAATAAAACAACATACTTGCTGTAGAAGGGTGGTCCGTTCGCCATTTGCCCCTGGGTAAACAGGAGAAGGGTAGACGGTCAAAGGTGAGTACATCATCGGCGGCGTGCCAAACATTATAGGGTGGTACAGCATACTCGGGACGTATTGGACTGGAGATTTTCCCCAAAAGAAAAATAAAAGAATGATGTTTTAGAAATTTTTATTATTCTCATTATTTTACTATTATTATTTTTTTTAAACTTACGTTGTTGTGTCAAGTAGGCCGGGTGTTGGTGGTACGGCGACGCTCCTTCGGGCCTGGGGTTCGTAACGTAATACATGGGCATTAAAGCACTCGCAAATCCTGAGTAATCTCTAAAAAGTTAAGTTTTTCTCTTGATTTGTTTCCATTTGCCTTTACAATTGTGGTCTGAGGATTTTTGAACTTTTTTTTCTTAACCCCTTACCCACCCACTATTAGACTCGCATCGATCCTACACCAACCCGGTTCTATGGTTTTACTCTGCATTTAATCCTTGATGAAACTATCTTTTTTTTTCCATGTCTATTGGTTATTATTCATGAATATTTCTTATTCTCCTACATATAAATATAATGTAATTATCTAAACTATAATAATAACAATCTTATAGCTAACTTCTTTTCATAATGAAATTTGCTTTAACCCTAATGAATTTGGTTTTATTTTCAATTTTTCCTTAATTTCACGGAATTAACTGAGTTCATCAATTAAATGATAATTTAAATAAATATTTCACCTTTAACCCTACTATTCTCTTCTATGATTTATTTGTTTAATTTATTACTCTACACTGCTAAGTCTTTTCAAAATTTATTCTACCATCACTACAATTTATTCTTCATCACTACAATTATTTTTATTATTGAAATACCCCTGTTATATCAAGTAAATTTTAGAATGTATTTGTCTGAAATGTGAATGAATTTCCCTTCGCCTGCTGTGATCTTGAATATCTTCTACAACATAAAGTATTAAAAAAAAATATTTCTCACGCTGAACTTTTTGGTTGTGCACACGAATTTCTTTTACACCGTTCCGCCCTGAATCTGTCACGAATTTATCACTCTCTGTTCTTTCGATTCGGCCTTCGATTTAATCCAAAAATGTTCTTCCCGAATGTGCAAAGTTACAATTGAATTTTTGATCGGTATTTGCCTCAACTTGAGTTAATCGACACAAAATATAATGTGTAACTTTGAGGTTCAATATAACTGTTAATTTCTTTTTTCTTTTTAATCTGTGTCTCTTACCCTGTTACATTTTTTTAGCATGAACTCTTCTTACCATATCATAAGCATAAACTATAAAATTTATAATTTTATTACGATAAAAAAAGGTCTAACTTAAAAATTATTTATTTTTTAAACAATAGATTCAATTTAAAATGAAAGAAAAAATATAAAAGGTGATTCAAGTTTTTATATGATAATGATTACATTGTCAGATTATCATTACTGGATCGATAAGGAAAGGCTATGCATTTTGATGAAAGATTGATTAAAAGTTATGAAATGTTAGGAAGTTCATGGCGTGGTTAAGGAAAACTTATTGATTGCGATGAAAGGTTAAGAAAATGTTATGGGCTGTTATGAAAGTTTATAGTGTGGTATTAGGCGGTATTGAGAGGTTAAGTAAAGTTATGTATCATGATGAAAGGTTATGGGGTGGTATTGGATGGTTATTGGTTGTGTTGAAAGGTTATTAGGCGGTATTGAGAGGTTAAGTAAAGTTATGGATCGTGATGAAAGGTTATGGGGTGGTATTGGATGGTTATTGGTTGTATTGAAAGGTTATTAGGCGGAATTGAGAGGTTAAATAAAGTTATGGATCATGATAAAAGGTTATAGGGTGGTATTGGAAGGTTTAAATTAAAAATGTTTGTGGTGTTTATGAATAGTATGTAATTCTTTTTCTGTTTTAGATTTTCTCAGTTGTTCAGCAGACACACGGAGTTTTAGAAAGTTTTAGTGAATGAAAACAACCAGGCCCCTGTAAATTCAGTGCAGAAAAGTTGAAACTGTGGTTGAGGAAGTAAAAACGTTTGGTGGTAAATTTTTTTTAAAATCATTACTAAGCATAAATTTGTAGACCATAGACCAGGATGATCGAGGATGATACCAATATATGTAGGGGAAAAATCAGCTTAATACTATTTCAAGTTTTTATGTGACTCTAATTTTAAGACTATGACTTGTTTTCAAAAATTTGGCATAAATAATCATTCTATTGGGTTGTCCGGAAAATAATGCAGGATTTTGGTATTAAACAAAAAAAAAGAAACTAGTTACTTTAAAGCAATGTTCTTTAATCAAAANATACAAATGAGTAATCCTGTAAACGTAAACAGAATATTTTATATAGATTTTTTTTAATGAAAACTTAAAATCCTGCATTATTTTCCGGACAACCCGATAGTTTAGTAATACTTAAAAAAAAGTCTTACTGCCTTGAGGATTGTACTGGTGTGAGGGAGACACTGAAGGGTGGCCATAGAGACGGCTGGTTGGTCTCTTTTGGTTTGGACGGGTTGGACGGCTGCGGCAGAGCTGCAGTCTGCTCGCTTGAAGAAGCCTGAGTCTGACCGTTGTTCGTGTGGCTGGCTTTTATCGATTTGTAAGGCTCGCCATCCCACGAATGGCTTCCACTCCGTTTAAGGCCATGGTGGCCAGAAGAAGGACAGCAAAGCTGCTCTTCTGTATTGAAACACCCTTTCGACATATCCTAGAATTTTGATGAAAATTATTATTATTGTTATTTTATTATTTTAAAAATAAACAAACCTGAACTTTGTCTTTGAGGCGTTCTTTGACTTTGGAATCCCTGTCGCTTTTGTTCCGCATCTCCCTGTGCTTCTGCACCATCTGCTTCTCCATGTCTTCGTTGTGCCTGTCAAGAAGACAACTAGGTCTTTTTTAAAACGAATTGCATTTCTTTATGGTTTTTTTTTGTTCTTTTCATCCTGGCAGACTTACCGTATAAGAAGCTGTTCCGTCAAAGTCGGCGGTTTGCAGCTCTGCAGCGTGTTGTTCGACGTGTTCGTCGTCGTTTCGCCTGAATTTCCATGGCTTTCCGTGCTCTGCCAAGGACTGGTGCCTGAACCGCCACTGAATTAAAAATCAATTTGAATAATTAAATAAAATGTTGTTTTAAAATAATCAGAGAGCTTCTGTTTTTTATTTAATTTAATTTATTTAATTAATTTATTTTTTAACCGACCTCTTGGACATTGTGCTCAAATTAATGACCGGTGAAATTTTCCCCCCTTCACCAATGGCACTACCATTTTTTGGATCAGCGGACTCCTCAGAGAGTGTCGTCTTTGGCTTACTCTCGAAAAACCTTTAAAAATAGAACAAAATATTCATTTCAAACATAATTGAATTTTCAAATTTTATATTTTCTCCCTTTACCTTTGAATATTTTCATTGTAATTCAGCTGGTTGTAACTGGGTGGCGTTTCTGAAGATGATTTGCTGTCATAGTAGTCATGATGGGGCGATATTTCACCGAGCATGACCGAGTCACGTTCCTAAAAGTTAAATATTAAATTAAAAGAGTAAAATGATTTAAAAAAAGTGATTTTTTCTTAATTACGGAAAAGCTCTGCTCTTCAATAGGTACATCGACTTTAAGATCTGGAGGCTTTGTAATCTCGTCCATAAGGTTTTCCATGAATGCGGCTAAGTCTTTACACCTTTTCGACACCTGCTGTTTCGCCGTTTCCGATGTCCTGACGACCGTCTCATTCAAGAGGCATTTGATCTCCTCCTGGACAATTTTCGTCTCTTTGAGCACCTCAGCCGATATCTGAAGTGGTTCAGGGATGCTGACTGGCGTCACTACATCAGGATTTCTCGGCCCCTGGATTTAAAAAAAAATTAATTGTAAAACAATTAAATGAGAAATCTCTTTTTTTTATGTACCCTCAAAACTGAATGCTGGCCAATGATAAACTCCAGCTTTCTAGACCAGGGATTGATAAACGATGACAGTTCGGTTTCGACTAAAGCATAATCTCCATTCTGACATCTAAACCTATAAGGTTTCGATCGAAAAGGATGCCCTTGTTCCTTCATCACTGGAGAAAAAACATACAAAATTATATTTTAACTTGAATTGTAATAAATAATAGTAAAAAAAAATTGTGGGAATAGGTAATGGGGAGGTATTGTAAGGTTAAGGAAAGTTATGAGTTGTTATGGAACGGTATAGGGTAGTATCAGAAAGTTAAGAAAAATTTATAGTTTTTTGGTTAATGGTTTTGGTGTGGTATCAGAAAATTTTAGGTTTTTTAAATGAAAGGTTATGGGGTGGTATTGGTACATTAAGAAAAGTTATGGATTTCTAATGAAAAGTTATGGGGTGGAATCATACAATTTTATGGGGTTTTTTTATGAAAAGGTATTGGTAGGTTAAGAAAAGTTATGGATTTATGATGAAAGGTTATGGGGTGGTATTGTAAAGTCAAGAAAAATTTATGGTTTTTGATGAGTTATGGGGTGGTATTGAACAGTGCCAGGCAGCACTAAAGGTAATTACCTTGGCCCCTGGATTTAAAAAAAATTAATTGTAAAACATTTAGTTTTAGGTGGTAAATTTCCAGAGCTGTTTTGGATTGCAACAAGGCCTGTCAGACAGTGTGGACAACAAGAAAATTAACCTTGTTTGTATATGAGGGCATACTGGGCAAAGGGACAATGAGGAAACTGATAAAATTGCCTTGAGATCACCATTTGACCCTTTTGTGGTATACCAAAATACCAAAAACATGGATCCATCAGACAATGGGAACCGGAGGACAGAGGAAAAGTGTTGACCAAAGGTACGACCAAACTACTAAATCTAGGACATGTCAGAACTAGAATAATAGTTGGATTGCTGACTTCAGAGGAATATATACTCAGAGTGGTAGATATTGCCTGGAAGAAGGGACAGCAGTCAACATGTGTTGGTGAGAATGCTTATGTTGGCGAAGATTCCTTGGAGAGGAAAAGCCCCGGTCTGAAGGATACACACGGGAGTCCTTGGAAAAAAAAAAGCTTTGGGACTTTGTAAAAAGACTGAAGTTTAGCGAACTTTTTTTTGTGTACATGTATTGTAATGTATCACTGGTGTGTTGTACGAGATTATAAATAAATAGCTACCTGCTTCGTAGACTTCTTTAATGAAATGCAGATCTTCGGGGTGGTAAAAATCAAGTATGGACCTGCCCAACAGATCCTGAGGCAAATAACCGAAATAAGGCAATACCTCAGGGTCGAGGTGGTTCAACTGGCAGCTGGCCGAATGCCTCGTCATGAACTTGGGCGAAACGTTTGTCTCGACGGGATCTGCGAGAAAGAATGGAGTGGATGAGTCTCGTCCGACCGTCGGGGAAAATGCTTGCCACCTACATTTATAAGCGGACCTGACCGGTGTGGCGGTTATAATGAGGTATTCCTTAGCGACGGTTTCACCTTTTGCAGTGAGCTCTTGAAACGTGAGCGACAGTTGGCATGGGAGATACGGGACGCTTTTCTCGCTGACGTTGAACCCGGTGGATTTGAGCCCTCTGTACATGCGGAGGCAGCAGAAAAAGACGTTTTTCTGGTTCGTGTTGCTTCCTGCATCAAATACTATGTTAATTTTTTTTTTAGATATAACTTTGTAATTTTTAACTAACCTGGCCTGAGATTGGCGATTGCTGTCGTTATGTGGCCAGCGAACGTAGCCCTGTGCTTTGGCTGGACAAAGTCAATCAACGACCTGCCCAACCACATCTCCTTCGGGTAGTCGAGCACTGTCGCCAATCCAGACGTAAAGACAACTACCCCATCTGACATCGATACTACTATTTTGAGCTCATCTTCCTGTAACCCAACCGGAAGGCGAACGGAATTCTGTTTATAATGTAAGGCCGGGGACGGTCAAGTCCCCTAGTCAGAAAGCAATCAATAAAACAAAAAATTCAGTACTATTTTTTTTTTCTTTACAAATATACTGAGGCAATTTCAGTTGTCAAATCTCATAGCTACTCTAAAAACTCTAAAAATTATAAAGTAAAACACACTTTTCCATTGGGTTAATGGTTTTAAATCTGACCAAACATAAATTTTTACTTTGAAAAATTGCTTTTTCAATTGGGCATGTCTTTTCTCATATATTTTAGTTCAAATAAATCATTTTTTCCTTGACTTCAGTTTCAGAGTTTCACCCATGACCTGTTTCATGACCTGAACTGAAAAGGTTAGTTTTAATTACTTAGTAGTAGTTTAGCAGGTTAGTTTTTTTATTTTTATTCATTTTTAATCTTCTTTGTTAGAAAGTGGTGTCGATCAAATAATTTAGTAAAATTTTAATAATAATAAAAATAAATTTATTTATTTTTCTTTGTCTTTTACCCAAGACTACTGTTTTCATGACCTGAACTAAAAAAAGGTTAGTTTTAATTAGTTAATAGTAGTTTAGTAGGTTAGATAATTTTTAAAAATTTATTTTTAACCTTCTTTTTTTAGGAAGTGGGGTCAATCATACAATCTAGTAATAATTTAATAATGAATAAAATTAATTAATTAATTTTTCTTCGAGTTTTATCCAAGACTACCGTTTTCATAATGTGAACTGAAAAAAGGTTAGCGTAATTTCAATTTTACTTTATTTTTATTTATTCATATTTTTTAGGATGTCAATTAAACAATGTAGTAACATTTAATAATAAATAAAATTAATTAATTAATTTTTCTTTGAATTTTATCCAAGACTACTGTTTTCATAACCTGTACTGGAAAAAAAGGTTAGTGTAATTTTGATTTTACTTTATTTTTATTTATTTATATTTTTTAGTATGTCAATCAAACAACCTAGTAATAATTTATAATAAGAAATAAAATAAATTAATTTAATGAAAAAACGCCACTTGATTTTATTTTGGTATTTTTTTTTTTACTAATTTAAACAATTAAAAGTTTTAAGTTCATTTAACCTAAAATATCAAGGAAAAAGTAATGCCTCATTTTTTATTTACACTGGCCATTTCTTAATTTAATTTAAGAATTAAAATTAGTGCAATTATTCAATTGTTTATTATTCTAAAATAAAACAGTGGGAGGTATTTTTATTTCACCTGGCCATCGGAAACAAACCAAAAAGAATTCATTACTGTCGAATAACTATGAATCTGGATGATATCCTTTCCAGAAAAATAAGAAACTAAATTAATAACAAATAAAATAAAAATAAAAAAAATCAAACATTAATTTTGTTCTTTTTTGGTTTACGTTACCTAAAAAGTGGGCATTTGAAGGTAATTCTTCTCCTACAAGAAAATTCCATCAGAAAATTGTTTAGTATAGATTATAAACAAACGAAAAAAAGAGAAAAATGAACATTTTTTGTCTTTTCCTTTTAAGAAAATTCTCATTATTAAAAAAAAATTATTATTTTTTGCTTTGAATTTTAAGGGAAAATATAAATTTTAGTCATTTATTTTTATCGTACCTCGAGGGATTCTTGTTTTATTCCTGATGCTAGCTGGTCCAGATTAATGTCGATGATAGGCAAATTTGGTGTTTCCCCCGGTGACCCTGCGCTCTCATCTGGACAAACAGATCTAGAGTGAAATTGTCCTGGATGGACGGTGAGAATTTTTGTCTTTTTTTTTTTTTCGATGTGTCAGTCAGAAATTGTGTCGAGGGATCGGAAGGATACTTACGCCTCTTTTTTTTTTCAATTGTCATATTTACATCAATTCCACATACCTAGTATCTGGTGCTTCATCTTCTTCATCGACGACAACGTCTGGGACAATATGGCGATCTGCAAAACATCGTTGTCGATAGGTAGGACGGAAGTGTCCATCAACTGCGAACAAAGATAATTCTCCGTGTTCTTAATACCGGTGTACAGATCTTTTAAGGGGGAAAAAATCTTGTCTTCTCTTATTGAATCAAACTGAGATTTTTTTTTAAGGGGGAAAGACTATAAGGATTAAATAAAAATATGTACAATCGTGCCGAGAGTGGATTATGGAGTCTGACTCATTTTTGGCCAACCTGATGATCTTGGGTTCGAATCCTAGCATAACCCATGAATTTATAATTGAGTATAATATAAAAAAAACTTGTAAAATTGTTTGTCCCCTGGATACCCAATGAGTCTTTATTTTCTAAGTCCTCTATGGCTGGAAACTTAAATTTACTGGTCCAGCGGATCATGTTAGGGAATATGTCTGGTTTTTGGCCACCATGGCTATCCTGGGTTCAAATTCCAGCATAACCTGTGAATTTTTAATTGAGAATAATAAGAAAAAAATATTATTAATCCTAAGTTGGACTTACATGACTGGAAACTTTAATTTAGGGTACCAGTGTCATCACATTAGGGAATCTTACTTGTTTTTGGCCACCTTGGCTATCCTGGGTTCGAATCCCAGTGTAACCCTTGAATTTTTAATTAAGAATATTATGAAAAAAACATAGTTATGTCCGAAGTTGGACATTAAGCCCTCTTACATGACTAGAAACTTTAATTTAATGGACCAGTGTCATCATATTAGGGAATTTGACTTGTTTTTGGCCACCCTGGCTATCCTGGGTTCGAATCCTAGCGTAATCCATGAATTTTTAACAGAGGATAAGATGAAAAAAATATTGTTAAGTCCAAAGTTGAATGTTAAACCCTCTTACATAACTCTGAAAGTTAAATTTAATGGACCAGTGGTATAATAGTCAGGGAGCCTGTTTTGCATTTGCCGCTTTGGCAATCCTTGGTTCGAATCTCATCATACAGTATAAAAGTATTTATTTAACCAACAGGATTTTAATGGCCAATTTATATACATTTAGGCCGGTGGTGTTTTAAACTGGGAAATTTTATTGGGAAAATGCTAAATCAAGGGAGGAAAAATTAATAATACAGAGATTTCTCTTTCTCCTACGGAATTTGAACGTTGAATATAAAAATTTCAAAATTAGCCTTGGTTAAAATTTTAATATTCAACTTACATTTGTACATTTACATTACTATGTTGGGTTGAAATTTTAAATTCTACAGCACCATTTAATTTATAAAAGGGCAATTTACTATCATCCCAACACCCCCCAAAAATTTTTTTTTAAATAATTTTTTTCTTTGTCTACCTGATTGCCGTTCTTGTCGTCTTCATTCTGCTGTGGCGTGTTGTTGTTCGCCTCTTCGACGAGTAGCTGTTGTACGGATGACGCGCTGCTGTTGTTCTTGTTCTTTTTCTTCTTGTGTTCTTTTTCCTTCCTCTTCGCCTGGGCACCTCCATCATTACTGTTGCACGGACAAGTGGATTAATTTTTTTTTTTAAATATAATTTTTATTTTTATTTTCTTGAATGCTTACATGTTAAGAGGTGAAGTTCGCCCGCAATAGCCCGAGCTTCCGCTCGACGTGCTATGCCTCGATTTCGAGCTACCGGAGCTTTAAAAAAAAATTTTATTGCAAACAATTTAAAAAAAAAATTTATTTTTGTAAATTACCTTCTTTGAGATTGTGAATTGCTACAACTATTGCTATATCCGGAATCGGACACTTTTGTGTTATGTGTGGCTGTTTCTTCAACATCAGACCTGAATAAAATGCTAGTTTAATATAAAAAAAAGAAAATTGTTTATTTATAGTTTGCATTTTTAAAGGGGTGATTTTTTTTTGGATCTGTTCAGCCAGTATAAAAAGTTACTAAAAAAAGTGGTTGGTTTACAATGTCTTTGTATTTATAAATAGTCTTTTTGTTTATTGTTTATCCTCCATTTTTACTTCCAGCATTGTCCAAAAAAAAAAGCTTACATAAACATAAACAATTTCAGTCCCACCCCTAGGTCCGTCGTTACCCAATGCGGTTACGATTTCATCCCCTAAAAATTCCGGGTAAAAGGGCCCAACCCCTCTTTGTTGCATAATTTCAACCCTGCCAGGCCTCAAAGTCTTAAAACTGACCGGACCAGACGGTATTTTAGGTAATACCAAAGGAGTCTGCTAAATATAGTCGGGGCGAGCGAGACCACGCGGACCCAGGACAAGAGTATCCCACGGCACTTTAGAAAATGTAATAATACACCAGGAAGAAAAGGCAAGAATAGCGAACCCCGTTACTCCGCCTGCATAATTATTATTTATTTCATTTTTCTACGCGTTTTAAAGCTTGAGACATTATTTTATTATTACATTTTATACCTAAAACTTGGTAAGTTTATGTCCAACTGACAAGGAGTTACGAGGATGTTACCTAACAGTTCAGATTTTTTTTTAACATTGAACGTTACATAAAAATCTACCCTTTGCGAATTTTAAATATAAATATATATAGGCAAACACACACTAAAAAAAGGAAAAGGGAGAAATCGCTTAATTTTAAACGGAAAAAACCCAAACGAGGGTTGCGGAAAAAGAACGCTTCCTTATGGCCCGTTTTCCCGCTTTGACACCCTTCTTTCCTCGTTACGTGACAAATCGGAAAGATGAGAAAGTACGGGCGACAGACGTTGCGCTGGTGTGGCGAGGCACGTTCCACGGCCACGTGATGTACCCGGGGAAAAAACCGACAGTGGAAAGGATTCCATATCGACGAGACCCTATGAGCCTCTCATGGCTGAAAATTAATCTAAAACGAGCCACCTTTAATTTACTCCTTTTAGAGTATTGGTTCAGACTACTTCGGGTCAACCAGCACCTTTTAGGACAATCACTATTTCCGACAAATTCTGGGTGGTTCAAAGATCTCGGAAGCATTCGACAAAAATAAAAAATGAACTGAGAGCTTGATCAAACGGCTCATGAGGCCAGGTGAAACGACTTACTTAGACGCCAACCTGGCTTCGTACGCCTGGTGAAACGACTCAACTTAAGACGCCCACCTGGCTTCGTACGCCTGGTGAAACGACTCAACTTAAGACTCCAAATGGCTTTGTACACCTGGTCAAACGACTCAATCATGTCGCCGGGCCAAACGACTCACTTATGGCGCCTGGTGAAACGCTCACTCAAGACGCCAGGTCAAACGACTCACGGATGAAGCCTGGTGAAACGACTCACTAAAGGCGCCCACCTGGCACCGTACGCCTGGTCAAACGACACAATCATGATGCCTGGTCAAAGACTCACTTAAGACGACAACATGGCTTCGTACGTCTGGTAAAACCACTTATTTATGGCGCCTGGTCAAACGACTCACTCAAGACGCCAGATCCAACGACTCACGTATGAAGCCTGGTGAAACGAGTCACTCATGAAGCTAGTGAAACGACTCACTTAAGAAGTCAATCTGGCTTCGTACGCCTGGTGAAACGACTCACTTATAACGCCTGGTGAAATCATTCACTTAAAACGCCTGGCGACCAACCTGGCGTCAACCGCAGAGAACGTGTTAAAACAGTTAAGTTTAGCTCAAGGTGCAAGTGTATAAGCCCTGCAAAGAATGCAGAAACATCCAGACTCCAGTCACTAGTGCGGAATACAAAGAGTAGTTTAGTTCCCCAAAAGCAATCCGTTGTCACTATCACATACCGTAAGAAAATACTCACACGGCTATGGATGTAACGTACTTGACCTTAGAATCAACCGATCCAGTCGTGCTCTTTAGGTCAAGGACTGTTCAGTTTGGATCGAATTTATTTGATAAACTCCAAGAAAGCCGTTAACAATCAACAATAATCGATCCAACTCTTGTCTATTTAAAGAGGATTAGAAACAGAAAAGAATAAAAATAAAATACAAGTGTTAAAGTTGGGTATAAATAGCCGATCCGGATGAGGGATGGAAACCACGAGTGGCTCTGTTTTCGACAACGACAACCATTTTATCTCCCGGATTTTTATTTATCTCTTTTGTACTATTATTACTCACGTTTGACACGAGAATTATTTCTGGGATGACTTATGAACGGTTTTCATCCCGTCGGAAAAGTCAGGTTGAATACCAACATGCGGATGTTTTTTGCACTGGGAAAAATGTTTAAAAAACTTTCCAATAGGTTTTTCAATCTATAAGATTAGATAAATGCATAATCAACCAGGCACACAAAAATTATAGATGATACTTTTGATCACATTACGTGAAACACACAATAATAGGCAGCTTGGTTATACTCTAACCTAGTCACTAGTGGCATTCTTCACACTGAAGCGACAACTATTTGGATTATTAAAAATTCTTTCGAAAATACAGCAGTTTCAATGTTCTTAAGAATATACACCTTGACACTGCATCCGCTAAGAGACATCTACTCGGTTGCAACACCCAAGAAAAACTGACAAAATCATTCTCAATAATACTTTTTCTAATTCGTCTACAACAAAAATTGGGGTTGAATAGATTCAGACAAGAAAATGTGATAACTGCAGTGCATACAATGAAGGTGTTTTTAGGAGTTTTTCATCATACAGACAAACCCAGAACAACTACCGAACCCCTTTCAATGCTCTGGAGGCTAATGAATGCTAGCAGTACTGTCATGAATATCCCACTGCCCAGTAATGCCATGGATGAACCAAGCTGATCCGGATCGGTAGTAAACCACTCAATCCTAGCTGGACTCACGAATAATCTTGATCACTGTATGGTCTGGATGAAAAAGCAAATTTAATTGTTTCTGCCGTCCTTTCGACCTATTTTATCGGCCACCATCAGGGCAAAACAGACTTAAATATATCTACAAATTGGCATAATTAAGTTTTTAAGAGATGAAATTTTTTCTTCGAAGAACCACTCAATCCCAACATTCAGAATCCAGATCAGTCGTGACCGCTCAATCCTGCCAGCAATGTCATAAATGAATAGTACTGATCCGGATCGGTAGAGAACCACTCCATCCTAGTTTCACAGTCATGTATGAGCAGTGCTGATCCGGATCAATAGTGAACCTTTCAATCTCACCAGTGATATCGTTAATGAACAGTAATGATCCTGATCAGTAGTGATCCCTCAATCCTGCCAGTAATGTCATAAATGAACAGTACTGATCCGGATCAGTAGTGATCCCTCAATCCCACCAGTGTTGTCAAGAATGAACAGTAATGATCCAGATCAGTAATGATTGCTCAATCCTGCCAGTAATGTCATAAATGAATAGTACTGCTCCGGATCAGTAGTGATCCTTCAATCCCCCAGTGTTGTCAAGAATGAACAGTAATGATCCAGATCAGTAGTGATTGCTCAATTCTGTCAGTAATGTCATAAATGAATAGCACTAATCCGGATCAGTAAAAAACCACTCCATCCTAGTTGTGTAATCATGTATGGACAGTGTTGATCCGGATCAGTAGAAAACCACTCTATCCTAATTTTAGTGTCATGAATGAACTGTACTGATCCGGATCAGTCGTGGAAGCGTGGTGGCTCAATCCTGCTAGCCATGCCATAAATAAACGGTACTCATGCGGACCAATAGGACCACTGATATTACGAATAAGCAGTACTGATCCAATTAGTAGCGGATCGCTCCATCCACATAGGACTGCCTTGAACAATACTGAATCGGTAAACCCTAAATTATTCCTTTTTTCCCCCAACACATTCTTGTCGAATCAAGGTATAAGCCGGAAAGAAGAAAAAGCGTTTTCTTCGCCGATAAACCTGGCCCAGTTTGCAAATCGTGATTTTGTTTTAAAAGTTTAAAAGGTGGGTTAAACGATCGAGTAAATAAAAGCCTGGACCCACTTGACGATGTTTATCCGTAGTTGTTTGTTTTTTGTATTTTTATATAACTAATTGCGACGAGATCACATATTTCTCGGCATGCGTCGCCGACACGTGCTCGGCCCCTCAGCATTGCCGTTATGCAACGATCAAAACCGAGGAGGTCTAGTGTAATTGTTTATTTTATAAACCACCTCCTCCTCGTCAAAACGGTTTGTCGCGAAATGAGAAATTAAATGTATAAACAGTAATAATAATAATTGTTACTATTGTTACCTGATGAGTCAGGTGTCCTAAAGAACTTGGCTAAAAACAACACGCTGGCATGGCAATAAATGAGTCATTTAGACCAATAAGCACACGAGGAAAACAAATGTTTTTTAAAAATTGTGAAAATGTGGGTGCATCAGGGTGACACGATAACACCACTCTTGTTTGTATCGCTCTCGTTAAAAAAAATGTATAAACTATGTAGAGTTATTTTATTTTATTGTAAATATGCGTTAGATGTTGGTGGTCACTAATTCTTGCTTGATCGATAAATAAATCGTTAATTTATTCATTCATCTTCTCACTCACACACACTCTCTCTCTCTATCTCTCACTCACTCGTTCACACTCTCCCCTCTGCCACTCACTCACTCACTCGTTCACACTCTCCCACTCACTCACTAGTTCACTCTCCCTCTCTTTCCCACTCACTTGTTCACTAACTCACTCTAACTCGCTCCCCCTCTCTGTCACCTCACTCAATCACTCTCTCTCTCTCTCTCTCTCTCTCTCTCTCTCTCACTCGCCCGCTCACTAACTCACTCTTTTCCCACTCACTTGCTCACTAACTCATTCTCACTCGCCCCCTCTCTCACTCGCTCACCCTCACTCTACCGGATCTCACTCTCTCGCTCTCTCCCGACTCTCACTCACTTACTCTCACTCGCTCCTCCTCTCTTTTCCCTCTCTATCTCACTCAGTCACTCTCTCTCACTCCCCTTTCTCTCATCTCTCTCTCACACTTCTTTCTGCCTCTCTCATCTTTTCTTTCTTTCTCCTCTCTCACTCACTCAGTCCATCTCTCTCTTTCCAATCTTTTTCTTTCTCTCTCTCCCCCTTGCTCTCATCTCTCTCTTCTTTCTGTCCGTTTCTCTCCCTCTTCTATCTCCCTCCCTCCCTCTCTCTCTCTCTCTCTCTCTCTAATATTTTTCTTTCTTTCATCTCTCTCTTCTTTCTGTCCCTTTCTCTCATATTTTCTTTCTTTTCCTCTTCCATCTCCCTCTCTCTTTCTCTCTCTCCACTCTCTCACACTAACTCACTCTTCATTCTGTCTGTCTGTCTCTCTCTCTCTCTAATATTTTTCTTTCTCTCATCTCTCTCTTCTTTCTGTCCCTTTCTCTCATATTTTCTTTCTTTCCCTCTTCCATCTCTCTCTCTCTCTCTCTCTCTCTCTCTCTCTCTCTCTCTCTCTCTCCCTCTCTCTTTCTCTCTCTCCACTCTCTCACACTAACTCACTCTTCACTCTCTCTCTCTCTCTCTCTCTCTCTCTAATATTTTTCTTTCTCTCATCTCTCTCTTCTTTCTGTCCCTTTCTCTCATATTTTCTTTCTTTCCCTCTTCCATCTCCCTCTTCCATCTCCCTCTCTCTCTCTCTCTCTCTCTCTCTCTCTCTCTAATATTTTTCTTTCTCTCCCTCCCCTTTCTCTCATCTCTCTTTTCTTTCCCTCATATTTCTTTCTCTTTTCCATCTCTCTCTCCCCCATCTCTCATCACTCTCTTTTCCATCTCTCTCCTATTTTGTCTCTTCCATCTCTTTCTCTCTCCACTTCTCTCTCGCACACTCGCAAATGCAGATTTTTCTCTTGTTCTACTCCTCTTTGGAAGTCTCACCTTCTCTCCCCAACTTTATTTCTTCGCTCTTTCATTCTCATTTTCCCTCTTTCCACGGCACTGCCATTTGAACAACGTTCTCTTGTCACTACCACCATCACTCAATCGCAGGGGGGACACTCGCACCTTTCACTCAACATTTCTTCCCTTTTCCTTATACCTCTTGACTGTCTGCCATTACCTCTCGCCTCCTCGAAAAAAAATCTAAAGCCTGTTTTCATAACATTTTCGAATAATAATAATTTAAAAAATTTATTATAACCTTGGTTTTTTCCCTTCAGATTAGTTCTTTTAATGATGTGAATTTTGTTCATTTATCGCGATTTAAAACAATTGTTTACCCTTTTCTTATTTTGATTCTTGGATTTAATCTGTGATCAAATTGATTAATTAATTATGATTAGTGTGATATATGGGGGGTGTTTTGGATGGAGGTATGTTGTTGGGGGTTGAGTCGAAGCGTGACACAGCGGACCCACAGGGCACTGGAAGGAAACATAAAAAAAATAATTCGGCTCCCACCTTGTCCTGATCTGATCGACGTCCATGTCGCTGCTGTTGGGGCTGGCTCCTTGGTCCATGTCTTCCCCAGTTCTGGCCTTTTTCAGTTTTTCCTCGACTGGGGCCACAAAGGGAAGGAGAAAGGGAAGTGAAAGGGAAGGGGGAGAAAGGGGCAGGCGCTGCCGCCACGTGAAAAACCCCGTCGTTGCGTAATTTTGGGTTGCAGAGCACACGGCTAAAATTAGACGAGGGGGGGTTGTCGGCTTTGGGGTGGACGGACACCCCTTCGGTCGACAGCCGATCGATCTAAACTGAAATAGAATTTACTACGATTGTTTTTTTATTTTTATTGTTGCAATCTTCACAACAGCTACTGTTCTATACCTACAGAAAGGTACTATATCATAGGAAAGTCTAATGCTAAGGACTAGAGCTTGGTTGGTCAAAGACACGCGTTCGTGAGATTAAAGGTCAAGAAAGTTCCACTAAGTTTGGATAAACTATTATTATTCTTCCCCAAGCTCTGTAGCCTCGATTATTGTAATTTTGCTAGTTCTTTAGTTTACTTCAATTGTATAAATCCTTCTTTTCAGTAGAGGTCATTGATGATGGTATTACCCAAGCTCTGCAGACTGGATTATTCTCCTTTTCCTAGATCCTTAATTCAGTTCAATTGAGTCGATCCTTTTATTTAAGTGTAGTAGGTCATTGATGATGATGATGAATTGATAGGAAGCAGGGTTTGGTTATTCCCAAGCTCTGCAGCCTAGATTATTATACCTATCCTAGTTCTTTAGTTATCCTCAGTTGAAAGAATCATTTTATTTAAGAGTGTAATAGCTCATTGATGATGTTGATGAATTGATAGGAAGCAGGGTTTGGTTATCCCCAAGCTCTGCAGCCCAGATTATTATACTTATCCTAGTTCTTTAGTTAACCTCAGTTGAGTGGATCATTTTATTTAAGAGTGTACTAGCTCATTGATGATGATGATAATAATAAATTGATAGGAAGCAGGGTTTGGTTATCCCCCAGCTTTGCAGCCTAGATTATTGTTCTGTTTCTTGTTCTTTAGTTCAGTTCAACTGAGTGGATCATTTTATTTAAGGGTGTAGTAGGTCATTGATGATGATGATGATGATTTAATAGGAAGCATGGTTTGTTATTCCCCAAGCACTGTAGGTCTGGTTTCCTAGTTCTTTAGTTTACTTCAATTGCGTCCTTTCAGTAGTAGGTCATTGATGATGGTATTACCCAAGCACTGCAGCCTGGATTATTCTCCTTTTCCTAGATCCTTAATTCAGTTCAATTGAGTTGATCTTTTTATTTTAGTGTAGTAGGTCATTGATGATGATGTTGATGAATTGATAGGAAGCAGGGCTTGGTTATCCCCAAGCTCTGCAGCCTAGATTGTTATACTTATCCTAGTTCTTTAGTTAACCTCATTGAGTGGATCATTTTATTTAAGTGTACTAGGTCATTGATGATGATGAATTGATAGGAAGTTCGGTAATACCCCAGCTTTGCAGCCTAGATTATTGTTCTGTTTCGTTCTTTAGTTCAGTTTAATTGAGTAGATCATTTTATTTAAGGGTGTAGTATGTCATTGATGATGATTTAATAGGAAGCATGGTTTGTAGAAAGCACGGCTTGGTTATCCCCAAGCTCTGCAGCCTAGTTTGTTATACTTATCCTAGTTCTTTAGTTAACCTCAGTTGAGAGAATCGTTTTATTTAAGAGTGTAATAGCTCATTGTTGATGATGATGATAAATTGATTAGAAAGCCGGGGGGTTTGGTTATCCCCTAGCTATGCAGCCGAAATTATTGTTGTTCCTTGTTCTTTAGTTCAGTTCAATTGAGTGGATCATTTTATTTAAGGGTGTAGTAGGTCATTGATGATGATGATGATGAATTAATAGAAAGCAGGGTTTGGTTATCCCCAAGCTCTGCAGCCTAGATTATTATACCTATCCTAGTCCTTTAGTTATCCTCAGTTGAGTGGATCATTTTATTTAAGTGTAGTAGGTCATTGATGATGATGATGATTTAATAGGAAGCAGGGTTTGGTTATCCCCAAGCTCTGCAGCCTAGATTGTTATACTTATCCTAGTTCTTTAGTTAACCTCATTGAGTGGATCATTTTATTTAAGAGTGTAGTAGGTCATTGACGATGATGAATTGATAGGAAGTTCGATTATCCCCCAGCTTTGCAGCCTAGATTATCGTTCTGCTTCTTGTTCTTTAGTTCAGTTTAATTGAGTGGATCATTTTATTTAAGTGTAGTAGGTCATTGATAATGATGATGATTTAATAGGAAGCATGGTTTGTTATTCCCCAAACACTAGGTCTGGATTTTTGTACTTTACCTAGTTCTTTAGTTAACTTCAATTGTGTCCTTCTTTTTGGTTGTAGTTCATTGATGATAATGAATTGATAAGATGCAGGGTTTCATAATACCCAAGCACTGCAGCCTAGATTATTGTATTTTTCCTCGTTCCTTGGTTCAGTTCAATCAATTCAATCCTTCTTTTAAGAATATAGTAGGTCATTGATGATGAATCGATAGGAAGCAAGGTGTGGTATTCCCAAAGTTCTGTAGCACGGATTATTGCACTTTTCCTAGTTTTTTTTAGTTCAGTTCAATTGAGTCGACCCATCTTTTAAAACGTCATGTCATTGATGCACCAACTGGTTTGCGTGCAATTTATAGATATACAGCCCAGTCAACCGTCAACCAAATGAAACTGTACTGCTGAGGTTGTTTTTGAAAAAAAAAATCCCATTTGTACATTGTTTGGATTTAAATCTGAGACTGAACCAGTTACTGACCTTACAGTGATGAGCCTCGTGTCAACTTAACCGTTGTCACTACCAACAACTGTAGTGAGTGACTGAGAGAAAAAGTGACACAGAGATAGATTAAAAAAAACGAGAGCAGGAGAGGAAGTGAATGTGGAGAGTAAGGGACTATATATAAGAAGAAAATTGACAGAACCGACTGCTACGACATAACGTTTTACACTAACTCCATAATAAAAAGAAAAAAATAAAAGAAATGAGCAAAACAGGTTTCCGTGAGCTGTGTTAACAAGAAACACAAGTCAGTACAGACTCAGTGTCATTACCAGAGGATCTGCTGTGTACGACATCCAGAGGAGGATAAGGATAAGTGTTTAATATTTTGAATAAAGGAAAAAGCAAGCTTCAAAAATTTTGATTAAATTTTCACGAAACTTTTTACATTTCTTTTTAAATAAAATATTTTTAAAAAAACTAATATTTTATATAATATAAATAGTACATTTCTTTGAAAACAAGTTATAAATTCAAAAAATAAAATAAAATAAAAAACTATCAACCAAGTTTAAAAATGTATAAAATTGAACTGTGAAACTTAAAAGTCCATCGAAAGAAAGAAAATTTACAAGAAATACAAGAGATCTTCCAGTCCGACGTTGGGCGACCTGTGGAGCGACTGACCGACTAGAAAGGCAAGCTTGTGTGCATACTGGCACTGAGCGGGTACTCTGACGGTACCCTAAGGGAAGAAAAATCATTAAATTTTTTCCTGGAGTATTTTTTTTTTTACTTACACTCCAGTTGAAATACAAATGAGTCATTTTGTAAGTGAGTCTCTGCATCCTGTCCGGGCTGAGCTGGCTCGAATCGTCAATGACGTTGTATGCTGTCGGGCTGACTGTTCCCTGCCTCACGGATTGTGAAACCAAGAAGAAATCGTACCTTTTGACAAAAAAAAATTTATTATATATTTATTTATTTTTGAAGGGGGTTGATGTTACTTTTCAGGGCTGGTGATACAATCGTCGATGACTGTCCCTGGAGGTGGATTTTTGTTCTGGTGAAATATTCTTGTGTTCAAACGCTTTGTGACGATAATGAAAGCCATTTTCGGCAAGGCTCCGTTGTACAGTGCCATGAGTTTTTCCTTCATTTCATTCAAAAAAATAAATTAATTATTTTAAATAATTTTTAGAAACGTTTCGAATTACTTTTATAATCTGGACTTCGTGGGAAAAGACAAAAGGGATTTGCCCCTCACCAACACCATCTCTGTATATCATAACGTAAGCCGGGAGTTTGCCGTCGTTGTACTGCCGATATTTGACCATGGCCTCTGTAAACAAAAATGAATTAATTTAAAAAAAAAAAAATTAAATTCGTTCGGATTACTCACTGACTAAATTTATGGACAGGTCGTTTGATAATTCCTCGCCGCTCGTGTGGGGCGTCGCCGTTGAATAATATCTCGATAGAGTGCTGTTCAACGATGCCACCATTGCACCGTACGATCGACCTTTATTCATTGTGTCGTGACAGACGTCATACCCAACAACCATCAAACCCTTTAAAAAAAATTGATCAAATTTATAAAAGAATTATTTTAAAAATGACTCGATACGAACCAACAACGGTATGTTCACGGACCAAGGTGTCCCGCCGATTTTACAGTTGATTTGTACAGCGATTTTAGTCGCTATAGACATGACGCCTTTTGACGTTAAATTCTTCGCGACGACAACTTGCGTTGGGACGGCCCTGTCGACGCAGCACTTCTTCTTAATGGCACTGTACCTGTCGGCCCTGTTGTTCGGCACAATGCACATTATAAGCTGCGGATTCTTCTGCGATATCAGCTGATCAAGTGCATCTATGTAAGTGCCGCATCGATCGTCATGTAACTCCCTCCTGAAAAATTAATATATATAATAAAAACAATAAATTTATTTAAAAAAAAAAAAAAACTACATTAAAGGTTGTGGGATTGTGAATCTCAATGATATGGCCGATTTGGTCAGAGAGGCTAGGAAACTGTGAACGTCAGCCTTGGCCCTCGCAACATAACATATCGCCCAGTTTTTCAAATTGCCCATTACGAGCATCGGGTGGTTTCTCATCGACTTGGTCCAGTCCGCTTCTTTACCGGCTGCCAGCTGCGATCCGGATCCGTATGTTATCGTCTCCTGCGGAATGATACGGCCTTGGAACTTGACGAGTTCCGGAGCCAATTTCATATTCCAACACGTCAAGTCATCCTGGACCTTAAAAAATAAAATGTAATATGCTTAATTTGCACAAAATAAATAAAATAAAATATATAAACAAATAAAAATAAAAGAAAATTTTAATACGTTTTTGTTTATTCGTAATCTGTTGCTGAAGCTGTTCAGCTTATCTATTCTTGACTGTGGTTGGACCCTCGTGTGTTCTGCAAGCGCCCTCATCAATTGGAAATTTGATCTAAAAAATATTTTTCATAGACAACATTTGAAAAAGAAGAAAAACAAAATTGATCAAACCTCATGTCGTCTGTCAATCCTGTCAGCTTGCATAGTTCGGGGACGAGGTAGATGATCTCTGTCATACCAGCACGGATTTCCCTCGGCTTCGCTTTCGACACCAGCATCGGCTGGTCTCTCGCACGGATTCTCAATTCGTATCTCTGCACATATAAAAACTAGCATTGAAAAATACACACATTTTTATAAAAGTTCAGAAAACACTTAACCTATTAAAATACATATATGTCAAAAATCAGTTTCTTTTATTGTAATTTATTCAATATTTTACTCCTCTTTTTCACTCCTTTTTAAGCAGAAGGTATATTAAACAAAACATTGACAAAAGAAATTTTCAAAAATTCGTATAGTTTGAGCTGGTCTTGGTCTTTCGTATGACTCACTCACTCTCTCTCTTTCCACACTCTCCTTTTTTTTTCTCTCTCATTCACTCACTGCCTCTCTTTAATTCTTTCACTGTCCATCTTTCTTACCCACTACCTTACTTTGACTCACTTATTCTCTCTCTCTCTCACATTCACAAACTCTCACCCACTACCTCATTCTATTACTAACTCTTCTCACTTACTCAAGTAGTTTTTTCTTTCATTCACAAACTCACATCCACTGCCTCATTCACTTACTCTTCACTTTCTCTCTCTCGTTCCCTCACCATGCACAAACACTCACTCATATGCTCACTCATGCACTACCTTTCTCTGATTCACTCACTCTCTCATTCTATCTCGCTCTCTGATTCACTTACTCAATGCTTCTCTTTAATTTGCTCACACTTCATCTCTCTCACCCACTACATCACTCTGATTCATTCACAAACTCTCTTCCACTGCCTAACTCGCTTATTTTCTCTCTCATTCACAAACTCTCCACTACTATCTCATCCCTTACTATCTCTTCTCACTTACTCATGTAGTTTTTCTCTTTCATTCACAAACTCTCACCCCATTACCTCGTTCTATTACTATATCTTCTCACTTTTTCTTTTCATTCACAAACTCTCACTCACTATCACATTTACTTACTGTTTATTTCTTACTCACTCACTTTCTCTTTTCATTCACAAACTCTCACACACTACCTCATTCACTTACTATCTCTTTCTCTCCCACTCACTTTCATTCACAAACTTTCACCCACTACCTAACTCACTTTCTTTCTCCCTCATTCACAAACTCTCCCCTACTACCTCATTCTATTACTATCTCTTCTCTAACTTACTTTCATTTACGAACTCTCAGCCACCACCTCATTCCCTTAACATCTCTTACATTCTCTCTCTCATTTGCTCACTCACTCACGCACTACCTCCCTCCTCTCGTTCCCTTGCTCTTAATCTCTCACCCACTACCTCATTTCCTTATCTCTTCTCACTTTCTCTCTCTAATTAACTCATACACAACCTCTCTCACACTCTACCTCCCTCGCATTCACTCACTCTCTCTTTCCACACTCCTATTTTCTCTTGCTCTCTCATTCACTCACTCACTACCTATCTTCAATTCGCTCACCCTCCATCTCTCTCACCCACTATCGTTTCTCATTCTCTCTCTTGCTTTCTTTCATTCATTCACACACAACCTCTCTCTCATTTGCTCTCTCATGCACTACCACTCTCATTCGCTCTCAATCTCTCTACCTCAATCACTATCTCCTCTCACTTTCTCATTCACTCAAGTTCCTCTCTCTTATTCACTCATTACCTTTCTCTCACTGACAATCTCTCACCCATTTACTATCTCGCTTGCTCATTAACTAGTTCCCCTACCTTTTTATAATTCTAAGAGAAAACAGTACTGTACTAAATTTGTACACATGAAAGATAAAAGTTCAGTTCATTTCAGACCCTCTCTCACGTTAAGTGTAAGAAAGGCCAAAGTTTAACTTTGCACGATTAAAACAGTCAATCAATCACTCACACTTTCTTTTCTCTCACATACAACTTATTCACCCTCACTCTCTGTCCTCCTATGGAACAATTATGTACCATCCATTTCCTTTGAAATACCGAGTTCTTGTATTTTTTCCGGTTTGGAATACTGGAATGTTAGGAGTACCCAAGTTCGGATTCGCGAAAGAGCACTGTAATAAAAGCTTGAATGATTTTCAGATAAAATTATTTTTATAAAAGGTTTTTTAATCTTTTTTAAAAAATTTAAGCCTGATTTTCCCAACATTTTCCAATTTCTATTACATTTTCTTTCCATATTTACAAAAGAATTTACAGTGGTAAGGTTTCTTCAGGGACACTGCCATCTTTTTACCATTTTAGTAACTTTTGTCATTAGTAAAATCAGTTGTGTTCACAAAAGTTCAGTAGCGGCAGAATCACGTGTATTGCATTTTTTGTTTTTGTTTTTAGATTAAAAATCGATTAACGGTACAGAATTCAACAAATACCTTCATGTAATATTCGATGTAAGAGCATTCTTCGTTGTTCCTCAGTTTGAATTTTGAATCCGGCCTTGTATCAAAATCAATATCGTCAACTCTGTATGTACGATTGTTGTACTCAGTGAGGACTACAGAGCCGATGACTGCGGCTTCAAACAACGCCTGAAAAAAAAAATCCAAAAATGTATGACAGGAACTTTAAACAAAAATTTTTTTTTCACCTTCCATTCTTGCTTATTTCGGTTCATGCATTCGTACATCAAATCCAACGCCGTCTCTTTGCGCATGACCTTGTGAGTTATCTCGACACACATTAGTATATTCTGTTCATGCTGTCGTATCGACGTGACATAACCGGGCCAGAGTTCCATCTTGTAATCTCTGATTTCAACCTGGGTGTGGAAAAAGGGTGAATTTTTTTTTTCTTTATACGTATAAATTTCACGACAGGGCTCACCTTCGCTGATGCGTCGAAGAAATTCCGCCCGACTATCTGCAAGTTGAGATTGTCCAAGCACTTCCTCATGAGTATGTTGAAGAGTTGTATGTAATGAGGATCGCCCATGACAAGGTCGCCGGCTTTTTTGACTAGAATTCTTATTTTCGCCTGGTCGCTGTCACGTTTCGAATATAATTCCAACGGCTGAAATAAAAATCACGTCATAAACCTATAGAAATATAAAATTAATGGTGGATGTCAGTTTGAGAGTCGTGAACTCATGCTGAACCATGGTCTGTCTTCACTCGCAGGTGGACTAAACGCATTGCTACATCTTCAGTGAGGATGGAGGCAGACCTGATACTGACTCAGTGCCGGTTCAGTGGTTGGTCTGTGAGTCCGTACACAGAGTGAACTGGCACTGACTCACTAGGTCGATCTACCCTGTTTAAAAAAAACACAGTTCCTCACTGAAGATGACAAAGCTCACGATTGCGAGTTAAACCTGTTGATCGAATCGAAATGCTCGTCTTTATGTTTTTTATAATTGTATTATCGCTAGACCATTTGTTACCGGACAGGGAAATTATTTCATAAAAATTCTTTTACTTCGGGTTGTAATCGGTGAGAAACAAACAGAACTGTCCCGTCGAATATGTATCCGCCTAGAATTTCCTTGTGTACGCGCAGCAGCGCTTTACGCATCTGGGTCCTGTCTTCCTCCGGCGCGAAGTCCACCCTGTACTGATACAGCGACCAATCTGTGTGGGTTAGAAGGGCGAAAAAATTCGCCGTGAGGTCAACCGGGTCGCCAGAACATCCTGTAAAAAATCAATTTGATATAACGGAGGGGACGAAAATATCGAATCAAAATGCGAACCTTTTTTGTTCATCAGCCCGACTGGTTTTGTATTGATCGTGTCGAGGCTCAGCGGTTTCCGACCGCGAAAATTACCCCTAGATGGAGCTGGACTAGACAACTGCCCCGTATTTGGACCATCACCCGACCCAAAACCTTAAATATCAAAACATGTAGTTTGTCTGAATAAAATAAATAAATAAATTAATTAATTACTTGATATTGACATCGAATCTAAATCTCTTGCGATGCACATCTGCCTTGATTTCCCACCCTGTATGTAAAAAATATATATATAAAAAATAAAGTAACTCATGATTATAATCGTAGAAGAAATCAAGCCAAAAATAATTTTTAACTGTTTAAGGCTAGGTTTTGACTCGAGCGTTTAGAGAGAAAAAAGAAGACAGTGAGTCATCCAGAGTTGCAATTATTGAACACAATTTTTCAAAACTGACTCGTACGGTCATCTAGACCACTACCGACTCGGTTACAAAACTGACATGTTGCTACAACTATGGACTGACTGACTCGGTTTTTCTCTCTACGTAGACTCGTGTTTTCTCAGGTTTCTCTTTATAAACAGTGGTCAAAACCACTGCGTCATATGCCCAAAAGGCAAAAAAACAAACCATCATCTTCAAATTTTTGGCTTGACGTTCAAGCTGAAAAAAACCCCTAGAAAATTACATGAATCAATTACTCAAGATTGCGGTACCGCTGTTAGCCAGACAGCTCATAGACCCGCGGTCATGGGTTGGATTCCCACCATATTAATAATTACATATCTGGGAGGAGGAAATCTAATTTCAGAACACCTCAATGTTCTGTCATTGCACCCTTGCTTTTAGATATCGCTAAATCGCTAAATGTCAAAAGAAAAAGAAGTTTAAACATTGAATTCATTATTAATTTTTGATAAAAGTGCCACCTCTCTTAATGGACAATTTTTTCCATTCCCTGCCGAAATACAATAGAATTTCTATACATTTTAAACCCTTCCTTACAACTCCCAGAGTAATCAATCTCCCCTCTATAATGGACTTTTTTTAACAATTATTTCAGAAAGGTTGGCTCATTGTAATCCTTTACTGAGAAATAACAAAAATAGTTCTGTTTAAATTTCGTATTTTGAAATTCTGCATAATTTTCATCTTTTTCTAAGTGCTACTTTCCCCCCCCCCCAAGTTCCTTTCAATATTCTGTGATCATTTGAACATATCTTGGTACACTTTTTCTTTATTTGTTTCCTACTTTTTTCTAAAAACTACTTTTTGTCCTTATACGTTCTGTTTTCTTCTTCAAAAGCTTCTCATTCATGGAGGAACTAAAATTTCTTGCATTTCAAACACTGTTGACTCTGGTTAAAATTAACAGCACCTGGTCCAATTTCCCAAATGAGCATTAAAACACCTCAATAACGGGGGGGGGGGGTTATTATAACAAAAACACTTATTTCTTGTGTGTTCTTTATAGAGAAGTTTCACTGTAGACAAACCATCTTTTGCACGTGAAAAAACGTTAGTATTTATGAAACATGTGTTTACGCCATTTTCAGTTTAGTTTTCAAGTCTTGCCTCTGACAAATTAGCTCCCGACTACAAAAATCGTTCAATTTACGTTCCTAGTATCATCTAAAATTTTGCCAATAAACCGTCGCTTTCTACATGAATTTATCACTTTTTAAACATGATTTCTCCCTTGTTCAGTCTGCTACTTTTCAACAATTTGCCTCCTTTCGCGAATTGCTCATGAGAAAAGTACTCACGCTCTGGGTTTGGACCTTGAAGGTATGCAGGGTTTGATTAAATTTTACGCCGAAGGGCAGGGTGCATTTTAGTCAGCCCTCAGGACGAGCAGGGCAGGAATTGAAGCAGTCAGTCAGGTCTTTATTTTGATTTTCGTTGTTCTTTTGAATTTTTTTATCTTAGTTTTGCGACAAACCAACACGCAAACATATTTGGCCCTCCGGGCCGGATTAATGGACTCCTTAAAAAGCTAGTTGGTTGGTAAAATAAACAATAAAAATATTACAAATGCACTAATTTAAATACATAATTTTAAAAAAATCAATCTTTACTCCCTGAAAGCAAACCATGCCAAATAAATCAGAAGAAAAAATCTTACTCGACTTATTCCATCGCCGCGCCCCAGGCCGGTGTCTGACGGCCTGCAACGTCCCCTTGATCTGCCACGCATCGCCCTTCTGTTTTCCTCCATCTCCTTAGGCCTTGATGAACAACTTTTTCTATATATGTAACAAAAATAAATAAATAAAAATACGAGAAATATAACTTAATGCTTAATAATTTATTATAGGTTATTACGAATCAAAATTAATAATTTCAATATTCACAATAATCTCCTTATACAGACAAAAATTACAATTATTTTCTGCTCTGAATGGAATAATTCTTGATGTTTTATATAATATATACAGGGTGGTTCTATATGAGATGCTTAAAAAAATATCGATAGTAGACTATAAGTAGATTTTTCATCGGAAACGGGCTCAGTTTGAGAACCTATGTATATTGTCTAAAGTCCAGTCACCTGCTGGTCTGTTTCAGTCCAACCGATATTCGTTTCGCTGGCAAAAAACTTACAAAACTTAAAAAGAACTCAAGAAGAAGAACCACTTGAGCTATCGTGGCTTCGTTCCACTTGGACACCAACTGTACCATCGAATTTTCGCTCTTTTTTGCCATTTTTTTAAATGTCGTGTAATCAAGATTCGATTTTCACCGACTTAAGTGGCCACATTTGAAAAAATGGCAAAAAGAGGTCAAGTTCAAAAGGTTGTAGATCGAGACAGGGAGTTGGCGTCCGACTGGATCAAAGTCACGATAGCTCAAGTGGTTAGAGCAGCGGCGTATTGAGCCGAATCCTGCTCGTGACACTTTTTCATCTCAAATGTATTTTTATAAAACAGAAAATAATCCTGATTTCAATCTGGATGAATAAACAAATTCAACTGTTAAGCTTTCGACTTATTTTAAGGGTCGTCATCAAGGCAAAATCATCTCAAATACGCCTAAAAACTGACACCATTTAAATTATTAATAATTTCCTTGGCAATTTTGTGTTCGAATCTTTTTCACCTTTTAAAAAATCAAAAATTGTGCGTATTTAAGATCGTTTTGCCCTGATGACGACGCAAAAAATAGGTCGAAAGCTTGGTAGTAACAGGTGAATGTGTTCATTCGTCCAGACCGAAATTTTTTTTTTTTTTTTTCGAGGATTGACATAAAACTAAATCATTAATTTTTCATTTATGATGAATTTTTAAAAATTTATTAATTGAAACGTGTCATAAAATAAAATGCGTTTTAGATATAACGAGGTTAAGTATTTCCAGACGACTCGACTGAGCCCCAAAAAACTGCAATAATTAATACAATAAATACATAAAAAAGCTAAAACTAGTTAGTTATAATTAAAAAAAATTATGAATTGAAAAAATTTGTATATATTTATTTAAGTCCGTTCGAGACAGTTAATCAGGGCCATGAGGCGGCCGCCATTGCGTACAGACGCGGGTCTCTTCATTGAAATAGCCGGATAAAACAATTAGTCAACAATCAAACGCGAAAATTAAATATCAAGCACTAGCGAAATTTGACGGGTTTACCAAAATAAAGTCCGAGGATGATGCTCGAAGGTCTTGTCGACAAGGAAAAAAAAATGGAGAAGCAGCGTGCAGAAATCCGGCCAGTGGAAAATCGACCGTTGGACGGCGTTGCAAGTGGTCAATTCGGCCTACTTGATTTTTTCCCCCACCTAAACCACTTTCTAGGATTGATTTTTATACAAGTACAATATTTTGTATTTAAACTATTGACCTTTTCTTTAAAAAAAAAAAAGAAGAAGAAAAAGCACTATATTTTGCTTATATTTTCCCTGAGTGACTCGATTACATTATAGACGACAATAACATAGACCATAGTGGTCGACCCTAGTGGAAAAATGTAGAGCCAACAAGCTCAGAGAATTTAATTTAAATTAAAAAAAATAGAAACCCAGATTCAAAATTATTTTCATAAGGCAGAAACCTTGATTTCTAGTAAAACTAGCAACAGTAGGAAGACCATAAAACGACCCAAACTACATCGACAAAATTTGTTCTCAGTATTAGAAATATCGAACACTTTTTCACTCACGAACACTGGATCAGGGTATGGCGTTGAAGAAAAAAAGCAAATTCAGTTGTTACTGCGAAGCTTTCGACATATTTTAAAGATCATCATCAGGGCAGATATGTATTTATTTCCTCATGTTTGACAGAACTCACAGAGTTAAAGCTTCAAGTTCTATCTCAATTTAAACTGGTGTATCCGAGGCTCTATTTCCTGAGCGGAGTGACCAACCGAGCTACGCCAGGGGATGCCCGCAAGGGGGTGTATGCTCACCTCTACTGAGGACGATGGTAGATGAACTCCTACGAATCCTGGAAGATTTTATTGCCTACGCTAAAGCCTTTATTCTCCTTAGAGCAATTTTTTTTTTCCGCTTTCCTTAGGCTCAGTCTGCTTATCACCTTCAATTTGATTATTATTCTTGCATTAAATACCATTATGATCTTAAAACCGTCGTATTTCTTCCTATATTAATGTCTTCAGTAACCTTAACATTCTAAGGACTTATAAACTTACAATTTTAATATATATCCACCCTCTATGTGCACAATATCCGCGGAGAAAATAGAAGTGATTTTAACTTTATTTTACAGTAGGAAATCAGCAGGTCTTGGCAATATTCCTTTTATTCTTGTCGCTAATCGTATATCTTTTCAAATCTGATGATAAATCCAGTGTATGTAATTATAAACCCATTTCCATCCAATCCATTTTTTTCAAAATTTGAATCTTTGGTTTGCAAAAAGGTAAAAAATGATCTCATAAAGATTATTGTCGGTTTCAATCAATTTTGGCTCTCTGGGTAGTTTCAGTCAAATATGGATTCCATGTGAGCCACTGGTCTAGTGTGAGCCCTAGATATTTGACCTCTTTGGAAAATGGAATCAGGGTCATGTTTAGACTCCCTATTGTCCCCTCTTCCTTGTTAATGGAATCATTATGGTTTTGTGGGGGGTTAATATATAGCTCTTCCCTTTTGCACCACCTGACAACCAAATTGAGGGCTCGTTGTATACCAATGTCTGCGTGGTGGCCCTTTAGCCTAGACAGGAAAATCCTTCTTGTTCCAGCATTTGTAGGAATTCGCCTACCATCGTCCACAGTAGAGGTGAGAGAACACCCCCTTGCAGGCAACCCCTGGCTTAGCCCGGTTGGTCGCTCCGCCCAGGGAAATAGAGCTTCGGGGTACACCATTTTAAATTGAGATAGAACTTGAAACTTTAACTCTTTGAGTTCTGTCAAACATGAGGAAATAAAGACATATTTTCCCTGATGATTACCTTTAAAACAGGTGGAAAACGAACAGAGACAGCAGTAACAACTGAATTAGCTTTCTTCTTCAAGACCTGTGTTGGAGAGGGGGGGTGCTCGTCTTTCTTGCACAGCCACCCCTCCGTTTCAACAATGCTGGTCACCATCGCTGGAGAAAAAGGGAGAAAAGGAAAGTGATAAAGAATATAGAAACGAAACGACGTAAATTTAAAGATTAGGAAAAACTACGAATTTATTGAAGAAATGATCTTGACAAGAAACAAGCAACAAAGAGAAAAGGGAAATTGAAATGGAGAAATTCTCCCTGTACAATACAAAAAAAAATATTTAAAAAAAAATTTCTGTTCTTTAGCATGCAAACAAATATATATACCTGCAGGTTAAAGTTAATTTAAAATGGTGATTCCTTTTATGAAATAAATCAAATTACAATATATGTCCTAGAAAATCAAATCCGAGTTGAATATGAATCATCCACCTGGGTACGACGAAATTTCCACGAGGTAGGCGAAATGTCCTTTTTTTTGGCCGGATTTTCACGACTCAGACTGGAACGACTCATGGCGATATCCTGACGAGACGGTCGTGCTGGTCCTCAATGACCGTCTTCTACGAGAACTGAAGGGGCGCACGATGAACGAAGGCTAATGACTAAACTAGGTCTCCAGAAGAGTCTGCCAGCCATTTTTCGGTAGAGAAAATCAGCCACCATGATCTCGTTGATGTTGATGATGATAACAATTGATGGATCGCTTTGTGTGAGGGATGAAACTCCCCACTCGACAAATTCCAGAGAGATGACCATCTTCAAATGTGAATGATCGTGGACTGAGCCGGCAGTAGCCCTTTTGATCCTCAGGGCCGGTACCCCTCCCCTGGTAAAAACAATAACACCCTGATCCAGTGCTCGTGAGTGAATAGTGTTTGATATTTCCAATGCTGAGAAAAAAACGTCGATGTAGTTAGGGCTGTTTTTTGGTCTTCCTACTGTTGCTGGTTTTACCACAAATCAAGAGTTCTGTCTTATGAAAATAATTTTGAACCTAGGGTTTCTTTTTTTATTTAATTGAATTTGCTGTGGCTCTACATTTTTCCACTACAGTCGACAAATATTGTGATCGTGTTACTCAGGGGGTACATAATTAAAATATAGTTGGTTTTTTTCTCCACAATAAACGATATTGTACTTGCTTAAAAATCATTGCTAGAAATTGTTTTAGGTGGAGAAGCATATTTACCTAGGTCCGTCAGTTCAGACTTTAGATTTCTTCCCGAAGACTCCAGCACCGTGCCCTTGTTGGTTTTGGAGCCATTAGTGTACCAGTAGGAGTTTGCCTTTAGCGGTAATTTGGGTAATTTTTTTTTCTAAATAACCTCATTTAAACATTTTATACTATTCTGTTGGTTTACACCATAAAAAACATTTAAAAAAATAAATGTAACTTTCATAATTTTGCTAATTATTTATTAAATAAAGAATTTTTTTATTACATGTGAAACTAGTTTTAAATTGAATCACCTCCAGCAGCGTACTGGTAGATTTGTTTTTCTTTATTAAATAAGTTAACGAAAGCCTTCTTATTTACAAGTGTAGCTTTGGAATTGTTATGACATGAGCGTCTCCGTGCGGAACATTTCCTTGATGTCGGTGAACCTCGAACGCAGCTCTGGGGCCGTCTCGTTGGCCAGGGTGGCGCTGAACCTCTCGAAGAACTCTTGTAAATGCTGATACTCCTTTTCGTTTCTCCCTAGGAACGAGAGGGGGGGAGGGTGAGAAAAAGGTTTTACTTTTAACTTACAGATTTTAGCGGAGTTTTTACCTCGAAATGTTATCTGCAAAGATTGCAGCAAGTTGAGCGCCTCTTTCTTGAGCCTGGTATTTTTCGGCAGATCTGAGGATTTTAAATTGAATCGATAATTACAAAAAAATAAAAAATAAATAAATAAAAGCAAAATGATTTTTAACTTACTAAAACAATAATCCATTGCTTGCATTAACTTCTCTAATATTTTGCCTACCACGATTGGATCTCCATCACGGAGAAAATCTCTCGTCTTTGATATAACCTGTCAATTTATTTATAGATATAAAAAAATTAATTAAATAAAAATAAAAATAAAAAATCTACCGAGCAGAGACATGCGACGATAGAAACCTGGACGCGGGAAGTGGACGATACAAGTTTTTCAATCGTATTATTCAAAACTTCCTCGATATGTATTCCTAGTTTATAAAAAAAAGGTAAAAATTAAAAAAAAAATATTTCACTCTTTTTTTTTAAATTACGTACGCTGTGTTGATATGTTACGAGGCCAGCATTTCCCCAGCGTGTCATAAGACGTTTCTAAAAGTTTTAACTTTGAATCGCTCTTTTCTTCTTTGTCGCCGTTGTCGAGCTCATCACGGCGCAAAATTATATCTTTGAGTAGCGAGTACGCTTCTTCGAATATGTCGGCATTGAGGGCCTCGGCGACGTCGCCAAGCGCGACAAAAGCGTGTATTTTGTAGTCAGACTTTTCCTTTTTACACTCTTTAAGTATCGACTCGATTAATTCCTGTTCAACCCCTGCCTCCTTGATCGCTCTAAAAAACATAATAATAAAAAAATAAAATTAAAATCTCAATAGTAATTTTTTTTTATACTTTGGATCTTTGACCATAGCGGACAGTGCGTGTAGGACGTTTTCCTTGCCGTCCCACGTACGGCCGGGGAGAGACGCGATGAGCAAGCGTGTCAGCTCGAGCCTCTTTTCGTTCGAAAGCCCTTCCCTGAGCCCGAGCGTCCTCGCCGCTCTCGACATCTGCGCTTTCGTCTTCCACGACTGCGATTCGGCAACGCTCTTGAGCAGTTCGACCACTTTGTCCTCGTTATTGAGCAGGACGTTGTTTGTATAAGCGAGGTCGTTCCAGACTTCATTCCAATCCTCGACTTCTGATTTGTTGGATCCATCTTTAAAAAAAAATCATCATTATTAAAACACGAGAAAACACCAGAAAAGTGAGCAATGTGTGAAAGATGAGTAAAGAACTGGATTTTTGAAAAAAAAAAAAAGGGAAAATATAAGGATTAAAAGAACTAGGAAAAGAACATTTTACTCTACTTAGAGTTATTCTAATTGTTCAACCATAAAGATCCGGATCAGGAATAGATCAAAAAGGATCCAAAACATAAATTTACCTGGTAGTGATTCAACATGCTTAGCAAAGAAAATGAGCGGCAGTATGAGATCTTCTTTGTCTTTCACACTATCTTGCGAATGAGCCGATATCGCCTGGATTGTGTGGCAGATCGCCTTTCTAACGCCTTCGTCTTTATCAACCGCACACAAAAAAAATAAAAATTTAAACTGACAAAAAAAAATCATGAGAAAAAAGTCAAAACTGACCTTCTTTTTCAAAATATAAGTTCTTGATTCGTTCAAGAAGACGTTCAATGCTTGAATCCTTTGCGGAACGCAGCAGTTGTCCTATGCTGCTTGCAAACTGCTTTCTAATACCCGGACTGCGGTCGGTCAGACCTGAGAGTAAAGAACCGAGAAACTTGCCGACCAAAGGCTGAAACTCTTCTTTCGTCAAGTGGTGCGACATCAAAACGATAAAATGCGCTGTGACTATCCTCGTCCCGAACCCGGCTGACGGTTTTAGCAAATCAACTAGATCTGAGTGTAATTGACTCGCCATATCGGCGTCTACATATGGCAAGCACTAAACAGAAAAAAAAACTTTTAAACTTAGAAAATATGCCAAATAAAATGTAACCCTTACAGCCAGAATGGCCTGTACGACGTGGTTACTCTTCAAAAGCGGTATGCGTATCTTGTCCAGCGTCTCGGCCGCAGAGTTTCCCGGCACGTAAATATTCGCCAGGTCTAAGTCGGCGCAGGACTTCAATAGGTTTACTATTATGACCGGAGCGTCTTCCTTTGGCAGGCCTTCCTTGACCATCTCAGACACTGTCGATACACTGACAGGAAAATCCAGTATTAAAATTTTATTTCTGAAAAGTTTAACTTACATTTTTTTTACCTGATCGCCCTGATTTCAGATACAGTACTCTTGATACCAGAATTGAGCAACAATTTAAGAACATTTCCGGCCAATTTTTTCCCAGCTTTCCCTCCCTCCTTGGCCTCTCTGATGCATATCTAATAATAATAATTTTATTTAAAAAAAAAAAAAAATCGTTGGGAATCAGAATTTGTCTATTTAAAGGAGGGTGTCAACTTTTTTATTGATGTCCATTAATGGAAGTTTCACTTCATAATAAAAATAATATTGAAACAAATAAATATAGAACAATTTCTTTGACAGTGTGGCTTATTTGTTCATTTATTTTTATCAAATAAAAATCATGATTTTTTAAAGTTTAGGCAATCGTAAACCATTCTGAAGTTATATATTTTATTTCTGGAAACATTTTGATTTTAATGATTACAGATTAAGCTCAGTTACTACTTAATATTTCTAGCAGCACGCCGGCAATTCCAACATTTGTGTAATTTGCAATAAATTACTGGTCCTGTGATTCAATACTTACGTAGTTCATTCGTGACATGTTAAGATATAGCAGTTTACTAATGATCTGAATCTCTAGTGTTTATTCAAGACAGTCCTGCGAGGATTTAGTGGTTCTCTACTGATCTGGATCATTTTTTTCATTCAAGCCTATTCTGCTAGGATGTAGTGGTACACTAATGATCCAAATCTGAATTGTTCAGTCAAGACAGTACTGCAAGGATTTGGCGATTCACTGCTGATCTAGATCAGTATTGTTCATTCAAGACAGTTCTGTGAGGATTTAGTGGTTCCCTATTGATCCAAATCTGTATTGTTCATTCAAGACTATTCTGGTAGGATGTAGTGGTACACTATTGATGCAACTCTGAATTGTTCAGTCAAGACAGTTCTGCAAGGATTTAGCAGTTTGCTGCTGAACTAGATCAGTATTATTCATTCAAGAGAGTTCTGCGAGGATTTAGTGGTTCCCTATTGATCCAAATCTGTATTGTTCATTTAAGACTATTCTGCTAGGATGTAGTGGTACACTATTGATGCAACTCTGAATTGTTCAGTCAAGACAGTACTGCAAGGATTTAGCAGTTTGCTGCTGAAATAGATCAGTACTGTTTATTCAAAGTCAGTCATGTGAGGATTTAGTGGTACACTAATGATCCAAATCTGAATTATTCAGTCAAGACAGTATTGCAAGGATTTAAGGGACTTTACCCGGGTGGAGACAGCCCCGGTTGCCTAGCAAGAGTACCGTTTCAAGTGTCATCCCAGCCTTTTGACGCGTGTATTCCCAGTGGTGGCTCGTATATTCGGCTGTACTGGCATCTAAGGATCACACCTGAAAGTCCCGGTTTGGCCAGGAACCACCACATCTGAGGATAAGCCGCTCTCCGAAGTTCGAGGTTGAAAATAGTACAAGATTGCCTAAACTTCTCAAGATTGTCATTTTTATTTGATAAAAGCAATCAAATAATAAGGCCTACTGTAAAGAAATTTTTCACGTGCAAAAAGAAAAAAGATAACAATTACAAATAAAAGAAAAATAAATAACTTAATACAAACTTTAGAGAGTATTTTGCTCGTTGAAACAGCCGAATTCCTCGTCCCTTCGTGTATGTCGTCCATCACTCTGATAAGCTGTGACCAAAGTTCGCCGACTTTCTCAGGGTGGTTCTTTAAAAGTTTAAAATTGTGTAAGAATATAAATTATATTGTTTAAAACAAAAGGAAAGAAGAAGGAAAAAACCTCTGTTATTTTATTCCAAGCAGGCCTTCTTATAAAATCTTGCATGGCAGCCGAACACGATATACGCACGCGCCAAGCAACATTCGTCAAATTTTCAAGAAGATCGTTGAAAATTTCCAAATAGTATTTCTCGACCTGGAAATTTTATTGAGAAAAATTAAAAAATAAATATTCCACTTCCGGCGTATTATTTTATATATTCACTGTATCTGGTGAAGCGAGAGAAGACCATATGTCTGACATGGACCGTTGGATATTTGGCATAGGGTCATACTGATAACGGTACAGTTTGACGAGCACTTTCGGCAGCTGGCCCTCGAGCTGGTCCCCGGCTTTCGAGATGAGAGATGATATTGTATACGCTGCGCCTTTTTTCGAGTTCCATACCGAGTTGTGGTTCGCTAGTTGCATGAATTTATATATTAGATCCGGCTGGTTGAGGTCTGACGCAAGCTGGCAGAGTTCTTTGTATGTGGAAAGCTTTCCGCTGTAATGGTTAAATAAAAAAATTAGAAAATTAACAACAAAAAACAAATATTGAAATATAAAAAATTAATTATTTATGGTATACATTGTTAAATATGATTATTTAAACTGTCTAATAACTTTATCAGGCCCATCCAGCTAGGTTTAGTGGTTCATGACTGATGATGTATTGTTTATTCAAGACAGCACTGCTAGGATTGAGCTTAATGATCAAGAGTTCATTTATAACAGTATATGCTGCTATGATTTAGTGGTTCACTACTGATCTGGATTTATATTTTCATTCAAGACAGCCCTCTAGGGTTTAGTTGTTCACTACTGATCCGAATCTGTATTGTTCAATTAAGGCAGTTCTGCTAGGGTTGAGCACTACAGATCAGGTTCATTCATAACAGTACATACTGCTAGGATTTAGCGGTTCACTACTGATCCGGATCAGTACTGTTCATTCAAGGCAGTACTGTTAAGATTTAGCAATTTAATACTGATCGGAATATGTTTTGTTTACATTTATTTTTTATTTACATTTGTACTCAAGCACTTAATTAAGGTTTTAAGTTGAGATAAAAAAGTCAGTGTCATGAGCGGGATTCGAACCCACGACCTTTGGCTTGATACACCGCTACACTACCACTTGAGCTATCGTGACCCCTCAGATCCCATCTCAACCGCACCTTTTGAATTTTCCCTCCTTTTCGCCATTTTTTAAATGTCGTGTAATCTATTTGATTCTCGGCGATGAAATGGCCAAGAGCTTTAGTGAAGTATACCTCATTTTAATTAATTAAATTCACTATTTTTTGTGGTCCGCTTGACCAATTAATATCAATCAATTAATTAAGGTTTTAAGTTGAGATAAAAGGTCATAGGTTCGAATCCCGCTCGTGACACTGACTTTTTTATCTCAACTTAAAACCTTAATTAATTTATTGATATTAATTGGTCAAGAGGACCACGAAAAATAGTGAATTCACGATTGTCCTGCTAAGATTTAAAAGCTCACTAATGATCTGGATCAGTCAGTTCAGTTCATTCATGATAGTTCTGCTAGGATTTAGTGGTTCACTTCTGTTCTTATTCATTGAAAATTAATGAACTCAGTACTGAACAGACTTGACAAGCATGAGATGATTCAGATTTAAAAAAAAATTCTCCGACTTTTCTGACATATCCATGGGAAGAAAAATGAGTACAAAAGTAAAAAATACACTAAAATGCCTATGGAAAGCGTTGTAACAATTAATGTTGGTTATACGTTAACTAGAACTGTACAACAGTAACAACCAGTTTTACCAATCTAGCTAGGTTCAGTACGACGGCTGTCCTCTCCTGATAATACAACACTCTAATGAACCGGGTACGAGCGGCCATACGTTTATAGTTAAGTCTGTCGTGTATAAAATTTAAATTTACCCAGTAGGAGTTTCGCCCAGCTCATCGGGTTGAAATAGCTTCGTGTCATCGCTGACTTTCACAACGGATTTGCGACCTAGTGTTATCTGCTCGATGACGACCTTGAGCAGCATCGATTTCATTTCCTCATCCTGCGTAGCTTCGTATACGAAAGCGAGTCCTTTACCAGCTCCTTCCTGGACAAGATCTAGAGAGAGAAAAAGTTTTAAACCCTACCAATAAAAATAAACAAGTATTTTTAACCATTGCTGTCGGCGAGAAGGTCGATAAAGCCATTTTGTATGTCTGTAAGCCATTTTTCAACGATGGGAAGGAATGAACATTGTTTGACCAGGTTGAGCAGCCAGAAGCAGAGAGCCTAGATTTATTGTTAATGTGTAATTTTTAATTTTTGTGTTAATTAAAATTAGACAAACCTGACGAGTGTTCGGGTGCCTGTCAGTGTTGAGCATTGTAAGGATCTTGCTGAAGGTTGTTTCGAGAGAGAGGCAGGCTTTTTCAGCCGCCGGAGTCAAGCTGCCGCCTTTGACGAGTTCGTCTTTAAACTTTTCAATCGAATCCGCATCCCTGAACCACGGGTTGAGCGAGAGCGTGCTCGCCTTGCCTAGAACTGCGCTGCAGACGACCTCACTTGTCGAAAGGCACAAATCGACGTCTTTGAACTGTCTCAACGATCCCATTAACTTTTCAATTATGACTTGTTTAAACTGAAAATCCATCTCGACTGTGCAAAAGCTGCACAGCGTCGTGCATATCCTATCCTTGAGTTTCGGTGTTAATTTCAAATCGAGCGTCATATTGAGCAGAGTATCAACGAGCTTTTCAAAATCGTCCTGGTCGAGAGGCAATGGCTCCGTCTCGGAGGCGTGGCCGAGTGAAGTGACAGTGGCGTTTTGCAAGTACGAGTGAGTCAGAAATTCGATTAAAGCATTCACGCCCTCTTTTGTTGCGCCGCCATGCCTGGCGGCGATGAAGCCGAAGAGATAGATCGATCCGTGAATCTTCTCGATGTCTTTCCCCCCGGTTCTTATGTTCTCGACGCATTTCTGAAGGGTTTTCGGCGCTAGATCCTCGGGGGTGATTAATGCTGAGATCTTGGCGCATAAAATTCTCACTTCCTCCCTTGTATGAGTGGTGACAAGTTCCTGTACAAATCATTTAAGTAATAAAAAAATGAATAAACTATTAACACTATAACAAATTTCTTTTGAGTGGTCAACAATCATTCTACTAATTAAAATAATGATTTTTCAAAAATATAGAAAAAGTAGACATTTATCTAAATTTTAAATTGAATTTTTTTTTTTTTTTTATTGGCCTTATGATCTTGCATATTAGCCATAGTACGAATTTTTGTCTGTTCAAATTGGGGGTTATCGGGAAAAAAAGGGCCAGAGGTGACGGTGGGAATCGAACCCACGACCGCGGCGTGAGAGTGTCTCATGCTAACCGCTCGGCTACCGCGGTCCCCCAGGAAAAAAAAATCAAAAGTATACAGAAACTATGATTAATAAAATTTTATTAATATTAATTAATAAGCCTTTATTATACCAGAAAGAACAAGCAGCTACATAATAATATATGTAGATAATAAGTTGTAATTCTTTATTTTGTCTACAGGGTAATGAACGTAAAATTTGGTCGTTACCAATCATTATGGTCTGCCTATGAAAAAGTTCATGTGTAATATTACTGATCTAGATGAGTAATGTTCATTCAAGACAGCTCTTCTAGGATTTGGCGGTTCACTACTGATCCAAATCTGTATTGTTCATTCAAGACGGTCCTGCGAGGATTTAATGGTTCAATATTGATCCGAATTTGTATTGTTCATTCAAGCCAGTACTGCTAGGATTTGGCAGTTCACCACTGATCCAGATCTGAAATGTTCTTTCGTGAGAGTCTTGCCAGGATTGAAGGGTTAACTACTGATCCGATCTGTGGCCTTATCAATCGATCAACAATCTTTGAATTATCCCTCATTTTAAGGTGGTGGGACAGGACTTGTTCGTCGCTTGAACAATCATTCTCATCTCTTTCATTCACCCAGAGGGACATACTTCAATACTTTAGGAAACACAGTGACAAAAGGTGGTATGTTAAGCTGGGGGGGGGGCTACCTGAAAAGGTGAACCTCGCGTTCTCAGCCCTTTCCTTTTTTCAATCCAGGTCCCATGGCATAATTCCTTAACACCTTCCAAGACCAAGGATTCTCTTAAGCACAAGCTGTATTCATCTGATGGCTATACGTCAGGAGGTGGGCAGAGGGTGCTCGGACGGGTTAGTGTACCAGATCCTGTCTACAAAGAAGGGATTGGTGCCCAAACAACTGAACTACAGGGTAGCGCCAAGTTCCAAGCCTGGTAGAGTGCTACATGGGAATGGAATCTTAGGGGCCCACTAGTTAGACCCCTGACGGGTACTTAAGAGTACAGCCTGTTGTTTGGTAGTGCTTTTATTTGCTTTCTTTACCAAGGCAGTGTTCCTCTAGGATGTGGTTAGAAATTCCAATATAAAGAAATTCTATGATTGGAGTGGATCAGGCAGTTCTGACTCTAGTGGAGCCCCAACACTCTGGGAGAGAAAGAGTCATCTTCTCTATCTAGATAGTACAGCAGGTTAGTCAACTGATGCATTTCAGTACCAAGCTTTCCAATAGCAAAGTGGCACAGGGGTGGGTAGATTGCAACCAACCCCTTGGAAGGGGCAAGGGGGAGAAATCACCTTAGTCTGTGGATAAGTAGCTTCTGCACCAAACTTCACAGGATTAACGGACCACTTGTGAGCAGAGGTGTGTCGCTCCTATCTTGAGAATCTAAACATGTGATAGGGCCATGTGCCAGATTAAAGAACCTCATCATTCTGATCTGTAATGTTCATTATTGATCTGAATCTGCACTGAATCTGCAATGTTCATTTAAGACAGTCCTACGAGGATTTGGTCTTAAATAACTTGCTCATTGCACTTTAATATGGTACTGTGGAAAAGCCATCATATGGAGTGGTTTTTTACAAGTTTATTTTATCTCTTGACCTATTATGTTCTATCATTGTCTTCTATCCTGTTTTGCTAAGGTTCTGATAATTTGGTCATTATTGATCATTTTCAATCTGCCTAGTCTCACTGCATTGGTCCGCCATGACTAGCTAATAAATTCTTAATTCCTGGGCGTTTTCTGCTAACCGAGTGTTGATCGGTAATGACGAAATTAAAGATACACTGCAAGGGGAAGAAAAAAATATAACATTTTGTTAATTACCAAAAATGTGTGTAATTTGTTCAAAAGATGGTTCGAAAGGACTTCGGGTAGGCATCCGACGAGTTCGAAAATTGCGGACAAACAAGGCACACCTGCGGTAAAATCAATCAATTAAACAAACGCTGAAAGAAATAAGTGCAAAACGAACCTGGTTCTGTTTGTAGGGATTTGACCAGAAGATTGAGGTACAACGGTAGAAGTTCTGGGTCCGCTGAATTATAATTCTCGAGTTTTTTTCTCACGAGAGGGCTTGCCTCTGAAGGGTGTATCACCGAGGAGAGCTCGCCGACTTGGGATGTCTCCTTGGCAAGGCTCAATCTCAAGTAATTAACAATCTGAAAAATTGATTAATCGTCTTGGTACTCTTTTCTTTGTTGAATTTTGTCTTACTGCATTCAAAACGGTGAAACTATGCGGTGTAATCTTTTCCTTGGCGAGCACCAGGGTCAGGAGTTTATCGAATTCGACTAGACTGGATACAAACTCTTCTTGTTCGCACCTTTTCGACTTGGTCGTTAGATAAAGAGCCTTTGTCGCTTCTGCACACGAGTCTTCATCCCTTTAGAAAGAAAAAAAATTTACATTCTTAGAGAGTTAAAAAAAAGTCCTATTTTACCCTAAAACCGTCGCGTTGAGAAGTGTGTAAACTTTAAGCGGGCTGTGGCTACAAGCTTCGGATATGAATCGCACTGCGGCCATTCTAGACGCACGCATTCCTTCCAGCTGCTGCCCCGTCACACTTTTGACACTGGATAGCGGGAAGAGTTTCGTAGTCAGGAGCGAATACAGTAGTTTTTCCTGATCAGGCATAATCCCCTTGTAGCCTCTTGCCATAGAATAAGCTGCATCACGAGCAGCGCTGGTCAGGTCCGGATCTTCCTCCTTTTTTTTAAAATATTAATATTTTAATCTGATTCAGATTTTTTTTATATTTTTTTACATTTTCAATCGTGCTGAACACGAACTCGATGGGAGAGAGGTCTTTTTTAGCCAGGTCGGAACACTTGAGAATGAGCAACGGCAGTATCTGCAGAGCTAGAATTTTATTCTTCCTGTCCATCTCCTCTTCGAGAAGCTTCATGATCCCGGCATTGAGCAGTACTGGCCAGACCTGTTCGATTCTATCCTGGGAAAGACTTAAAAAAAGAAAAAAAAAAAAGAGAAAAATTAAGTAATTTTTTTCTTTTCTTAAATCGTGTTGACGTACTCGCATTTACTTTCTAATCATGGATGACGCAAAGTTGAGAGCGTGGTTTCTCAGCTTGGGAGTCGTAAAGCTTCCATAGAGGGATTCGAAGAGCACCCTCATCGCCGCCGGCCAGACTACTGCCTGGAATCTGCTCATGTTCTGGAGAAGTTTGAGGCGCGTCCTCGGGTTCAATGAGGTTATCATCGATCCATTGGTGCCCACTTTCAAAAAAAGAGCATACAACGGTGCGACGATGTTTAAATCATTATAATTTATATCCCTAAAATGGGTAAAAAAATAAATAGAAAAAGAATAAACAAGAAAGGTTAAAAGAGAAAAAAAACTTACGGTAATTGTTTTAGCTGGCTTTCGGCCAGTTCACTTACAGCCGACCTGTCATCAGCGGATGCAACTACAAGGTGAGGGTACACGTCTGTTGAATCCAGCATGCCCAAAAATTGAACAAGAGTAATTTTAAACTGAAAAATAAAACATAATTATTTAAACATATATATGAAAAATCAAATAAATATCAAATAGTATTATAAAATAACTTGAAAGAACAATACAGATCCAGACCAGTAGTGAGGCCTCTAATTTATAACAAAACAGTTATGAATGAACAATACAGATCTGGATCAGTAGTGAAGCGCAAAATCCCAGCAGGACTGTCTCGAATGAACAATATAGATACAGATCAGTAGTGAATCACTACATCACAATTATGAATGAACAATACTGATCCAGTTCAGGAATGAACTGCTAAATCCTAGCAGTACTGTCATAAGTGAACATTACAGATCCGGAATGAACCACTAAATCCATAGTAGGATGTCATGAATGAGCAATACAGATCCGGATCAGTAGTGAACCGCTTAATCCTACCAATAATGTCATGATTGACCAGAACTGATCTGGTTCAGAAGTGAACTGCTCAATCCCATTCTTGATGTCATGAATGAAGAATACAGATCCGGATCAGTACTGAATTGTTAAATCCTAGCAGTATTGTCATGAATGATTTGGATCAATAGTGAACCACTTTATCAGGATAAATAAATGAATACCTGCTCGAAATAATCCCCATTCAGCTCCACGAGGTCATCCCTTGTCAAACGGTTGAAAGACTCAACGGATATGTTGGTCAGGTTGTCCTGACCTGTACAGCTGAAATTTTGAAAAATGTAATTTTTGACTAAAAGTAGACGGTTTATAATTTAATCATCTCCAAACGAACCCATAAGGGAAAAGCATAACATCCATAATTATGTCCAAAATGAGCTTTCTTATATGAGGAAGCTCCTTGAGGTTGAATACATTCGCCCTTTCTGTCCTGTCTTTTGGATACGGGTAGTTTTTAAGATTTGTCAAGAAGAGAAGGCAGAGGCTGAAAATTGAGAATTTTTTTTAATGTTTGTTTTAAATAGTGTGAGTACAAGGGGAATACCTTTCTTGATGTTGCACCGGGCGGTTTTTACAAACTTGGATTAACTGTGGGAGTAACTTAATCCTCTCATCGTGCTTTAATCTTTGAAAGCCCATTTTGATATAGATAATTGTGAAGTTCTACAAAATAAATAAAAGAATTCAAGTTGAAATATTCAGGAAAGTCGATTAAATATTGATTGTCTCTGGTTTATTTATAAACCAACGAAGATGGCAAAATGCTTAGAAAGTCTGAGACAATTTTGGATTTTTTTTAAAGGAATTCTTAATTTAAATAATTTCTTAATAACTCACGGTTTGAAATGAAGAGGCATTTGGGTCGGCGTAGATGTTCAGGAGTGTCTCAACTGGCAAGACGATGCTCTTTGTCCCGCGTACACGTTTTGACACGTGTGACAACACTTCGACAACCTTAGTGCGCACGTCTGTGTGCGGGCTGCCAGATTTTTTTAATACGTATGGCAAGAATTTGTGTAAGCAGGTTTCAAACTGTTCGTCAGTCTCAGTCATGACAATGCTGAGAAACATCCTTTCAAGGATGGCTGAAAAAAGAAAAATTTAAATTAAATCAGTCACTTTCAAAATGATAAAAATTAAATTCAACCCTCACATATTTGTTTAAGCATAAAACATTCATATTTATAACAGGGTGGTTCGATATGAGATGCCAGATTTATGTCTCATTTTCCTGATCAGTAGTGCTGATGTCATGACAGTGCTGCTAGGATTTAGCAATTCACTACTGATTAGGATCTGTATTATTAATTCAAGACAATTCTACTAGGATTGAGGGGTTCTCAACTGATCTGTATGAGCACAGTTCATTCATGGCAGTACTGCTAAGATTTAGCAGTTCACTGCTGATCTGATCAGTACTTTTATTCATGACAGTGCTGCTAGGATTTATTTAATAAGATATCTGCTTATTATTAATTATTATTACCAATTTTTATGCAAAGGCGGTAAAGAAGAAAAATTATTGTTATAAGTGGGACTCGAACCCTTGACCCTCAGCTTTCAACTTTACGTTCGTGACACTAATTTTTCTATGCAACCTTCATTGCAAATTGCTATTTTTTAGCAATCCATTAATGATATGAATCTGTTCATTAACAAATCTGTTATGATCTAGCAGTTCACTACTGATCCGGATCTGTATTGTTGAGTTATGACTGACATGCTAAGAATTAGCCTTTCACTGATCCGGATCAGCACAGTTCATTCAAAGCTATCTAATTAGGATTACCAGTGTATATTGTTAAGTCATGATTGGTCTGTTAACAATTAATTTAACACTGCTAATTCGGATCTGTATTGTTCACACATGACCGTCCTAAAATTTAGTGATTCACTATTGTTGAGTCATGACTGACACGCTAAGATTTAGCCGTTCACTATCAATCTGGATCAGCACAATTCATTCAAAGCTAACTAACAAGGATTTAGCAGTTCACTACTGATCTATATCATTCTTTTCATTCAAAACAGCACTTCTACGATTTAGCAGTTCACTACTGATCCGGATCTGTATTGTGTCATTCCATGCTGTACAACTACGATTTAGCAGCTCACTACAGCACCAGATCAGTAATGACCAATATTCATTCTTCACAGTACTGCTAGGATTTAGAAGTTCACTACTGATCCCGATCTATATTGTTGACCAATTATTGACCTGTTAACAATTAAGGGATCACTCTGATCCGGATCTGTATTGTTGAGTCATGACTCACCTGCTAAGATTTAGCAGTTCACTACTGATCCAAATCTGTGTTGGCCATTCAAGACAGTCATGCTAGGATTTGACGGTTCATTACTGATCCAGATTGTTATTGTTCATTCATGGCTGTCCTGCTAGGATTTGGCAGTTCACTACTGATCCAAATCTGTGTTGGTCATTCAAGACAGCCATGCTAGGATTTATCAGTACTGATCCACATCAGTAATGTTAATTCAAAACAGCCCTGATGATTCTGGGATATTCGATAATTTGTAGCTATCTTCTAAAATACTGATCAAAATCGAAGTGAGAAACACTATTCCTCGATACAGCTACAGTTTATTAACTATAAACTGTTCACTTCAAGTAAAAATTGTATTTTCGTGACTGGCAGTTTTTTGTTTTTTTATAGCAAGAGTTTGAACGCTCATACTTATCAAAAACAAAATGCGCCATTCCGACCAAGCCTTTTTCTCTGAAATTTGGCCCAAATTTGCCACAAAGGGTGATGAAGTTTTTCTTTTTATTCGATAAATGCAAGTACTCAATTATATCAAAAATTAGTAACAAAACCGGCGTTTTATTGTTTTTGTATTTATGTTTCTCAAGAGGTCCTGAAGTGAGGAAAGTTCCAATCAAACCAAAATTCACCATTAAAAAAAAAAACTTTTTTCTTATTTTAAAATATCAGGAAAAGCTCACCGCACTCCTGGCCCGACTCCGACTCCATTTGTTCTGTGCTTTTTTTTCAGTCCGGTTTGAAACGATTCTGGGGGAAAGGCTGAGCTGAACGAGTCTTCGAAATTTATAAATTAATTTGTTTTAATAAATTAATGTCTTAAACATTTAAAGGGTGGAATGACAAATCAACAAGTTCAAATAGGAAAGAGGCTTCAAACTTCAAATGAATCCAGTCATTTCGATCCTATAACCTCCTCGATACTCGATGGGGGAAAAAAATCGATAAATCATCAGTCTAATGATCCGGATTGTTCATTCCTGACCGTCCTGCAAGGATTTAGCGGTTCACTACTGATCAGGATTGTTCATTCCTGACCTAGCAGGACGGGCATGAATGAAAATTAAAGATTTGAATCAGTAGTGAACTACTAATAAATCTTGTCAGTACTGCCATGAGTGAACTGGGTTGATATGAATCAGTAGTGAATCCTTACAGAACAGCCAAGAATGAACAATACAAGTGACCCACTGAATCTTAGCAGTTCTTACATCAATGAACAATAAAGATTTGAATCAGTAGTGAATTAATAAATCTTATTAATACTGCCATGAGTGAACTGTGCTGATCTGAATCAATAGTGAACCACTGAATCCTAGCAGTTCTTACATGAACGAACAATAAAGATTCGGAAAAGTAGTGAACCACTACATCCTAGCAGATTAGTCTTGAAAGAACAAGATCTAGATCAGTAGTGAACCGTGCAACACAAGCAAGACTGGCTTGAATGAGTAGAGTGAACCGTTAAATCCTAGTAGAACAGTCATGAATGGACAAAACATATCTGGATCAGTAGTGCTCAATCGAAGCAGTGCTATCATGAATGAACAGTACTGATGTGGGTCAGTCATGAACAGTTAAACTCTAGCAGTACTGTCACGATTGAATAGTTTTGATCAGTAGCAAACTGCTAAATCCAAGTTGGACTCCAATGAAAAGAATGATCCGGATCAGTAACGAACTATTAAATATGCCAGTATTATTAGAAAAGAGCAGCACTAATCCAGATCAGTAGCAATCTGCTAAATCTTGGCTGACTGTTTGTCAGTGTGGTAAGACTGTCTTGAATGAAAAGGATGATCTGGATCAGAGTGAATCCTTAAATCCTAACAGGACTGCTATGAATGAACAATAAAGATCCGGATCAGTAATGAACCACTAAATCCTAGCAAAAATAGTCTTGAAAGAAAAGAATGGTCCGGATCAGTTGTGAACCATTCAAATCTGACAGTATTATCAGTAAAGAGCAGTACTGGTCCGGATCGGTAGTGAACCACTAAATCCTAGCAGAATAGTCGTGAAAGAAAAGAATGGTCCGGATCAGTAGCGACCATTCAAATCTGACAGTATTATCAGTAAAGAGCAGTACTAGTCCGGATCGGTAGTGAACCGATCAATCCTAGTAAGACTGTCTTGAATGAACGATAAAGATCCGGATCAGTAGTGAAATACTCTTGTCTATTAGTAATATCCTGAAGGAACACTACTGATCCGGATCAGTAGAGAACTGCTAAATCCTAGCGATACTGTCTTGAATGAACAATACTGATCTGGATCAGTAGTGAACCGCTGAATGGTAGCAGTTCTCCAACGAATGAACTGTGCCGATCCGGATCGGTAGTGAACCTATCAATCCGAGCAGGACGGCCATGAATGAACAATAATTATCCGGATCAGTAGTGAACCGCCAGATCCTAGCAGGATAGCCATGAATGAACAATAAAGATCCGGATCAGTAATGAACCACTAAATCCTAGCAGAATAGTCTTGAAAGAAAAGAATGGTCCGGATCAATAGCGAACCATTCAAAACTGCCAGTATTATCAGTGAAGAGCAGTACTGGTCCGGATCGGTAGTGAACCGATCAATCCTAGTAAGACTGTCTTGAATGAACGATAAAGATCCGGATCAGTAGTGAAATACTCTTTTCTACTAGTAATATCCTGAAGGAACACTACTGATCCGGATCAGTAGAGAACTGCTAAATCCTAGCGATACTGTCTTGAATGAACAATACTGATCTGGAACAGTAGTGAACAACTGAATCATAGCAGTTCTCCAACGAATGAACTGTGCCGATCCGGGTCAGTAGTGAACCCATCAATCAATCCTAGCAGGACAGCCATGAATGACCAATAATGATCTGGATCAGTAGTGAACCATTCAAATCTGCCAGTATTATCAGTAAAGAGCAGAACTGGTCCGGATCGGTAAGAACCCCTTAATCCTAGCAAGGCTGTCTTGAAAGAACAATAATGATCCGGGTCAGTAGTGAACCCATCAATCAATCCTAGCAGGACAGCCATGAATGACCAATAATGATCCGGATCAGTAGTGCACCATTCAAATCTGCCAGTATTATCAGTAAAGAGCAGAACCGGTCCGGATCAGTAGTGAACCGCCAAATCCTAGCAGGACAGCCATGAATGACCAATAATGATCCTGATCAGTAGTGAACCCTGCTTGAAGGTCCTCTTGGACTTCCAATTCCCCTTTTTCCTGCTCCTCAGCCTATTTGAGATCATAATTTCGTAAATAGGCGGGCACTGTTTGAAATCGGCGTCTGCCCATTTACGGGTCGGCTAGGCTGATAACGTCCGTCCCGTAGCGCTCGCCGTGGCGTCCCTAGACGGTCACCATCTTGCTTCGAGTGCTTTTTAAGCTCCGGTCCCTGTTCCGCTGTTGTTTTCGTCCCGTTCTCCCCTTCGGGAAATCGGGCCCGACCGCCTCTCGACGACCTGCCCGTCAAGGAACACAGGCAAATTTCAGGATGAACAAACAGTGAGGCGGTTTTTATTATTATTATTTTTAAATATTTTATTATATATATTTTTCGACAACATACTTCCAGGACTATCAATTTGTTTTAGTCTAGTTCCTTAGTCAGTAGTTGATCCAGTCAGTCAAAAATTGTTTAAATCTATATTTCCTACTAAATTCTTGACCGTCTATGTTCACCATAACAATATTGTTATCTTATCGTTCCCTCCTGTCAGACAAAATTTTTCAGTCTTAAACTTCTGTAAAAAAATGAAGTGTAGACAGTAGAACACCGGAATGCAGAGCTGTATTGATGAAATGAGGATAACCAACGCTCTGACTAATCCACGATCTACGGTACAGGCTGGTCATGTACCCCGAAGCTTCATTGAATCGTCAACCTTGTACGGAGAGACTTTTGGACAGTCAGAAAGCTATAAATGCTACAGACTAGTCTGGTTATGTCTAAATTGCTCTAGGAAAACACAGGTTTACTATAAAGTGGTTTCCAGGTTGTACAGGTAAAAAAATGAATAATACTCCTGGGTCAGTAGTGAATCGCTAAATTCTATCAAAACTGTCATGAATAAATAGAACTGATCTGGATCAGCGGTGAACTGCTCGACCTTAGGAGGATTGTCTTGAATGAACAATGCTGATCTAGTTCAGTACTGAACCGCTCAATTCTAGCAGGACTGCCATGAACAGTACTGATCAAGATCAGTGGTGAATTGATAAATCCTAGCAGTATTGTCTTGAACAATACAGATCCAAATCAGTAGTGGATTGCTGGATTAATAGGGCAACCAACTCCTCGGAAAGAAAACCACTAGTGACTCGGATGATCTCACTGTTGAACTTGAACCAAGACAGAATGCAAAATAGCATTTATGTTCCCTCTGACTCTAACCGACCCAGTACAAGCTGGTCTTACAATTTTGCTAAGACTCAGGTTGTTGTGAATTTTGGATGGTGAGGATGGTCCTGATGAGTGCATGTGACCTAGACGTTAGCCAATTTAAAAAAAATCTTCCTTTATGGTCAAATTTTCAAACAAAAGTGAGCCTTTTTAAACCTGCTTTTATTACTTTTAATTATTTTTTTTCTAGCAAATCTTACTGCTTTTGTATTCTGCATACTGATTTGGATCAGTAGCGAACTGATAAATCTTACCAGGACTGTCATGAATGAACATTGAACGGTACTGATCTGGTTCAGTAGTGAACTACTAAATTCTAGCTAAATTTTAGGACTGTCTTAAATGAACAGTACTGATCTGGATTAGTAGTGAATCGCTAAATCCTAGAAGTACTAGTGAAGCACTAAAGCTTATCAGCATTTTTAAGAATAAACAATAGTGATCCGGATCAGTAAAGAACTGCTAAATCCTAGCAGCATGTTTATGAATAAGCAATACTAATCCAGATCAGTAGTGAACCACCAAATCCTAGCACTAATTTTTTTTTTATTATCCCATTTTCTCCAGACTGTTGAACTCGATGAATCGTAGGCGTATGTCATGCCCCCAGGTCGTCCAACAACTCTGGGATGCGGTCAAGGTCATTCGGTACCAGCGCCAAGTTCCAAACGTGGAACGCATCGCCAAGTACATGAGCCGCGTTCATTCAGTCAGCGAAGGTTTGTATTATTAATAATTGGTCAAGCGGACCACGAAAACTAATGAATTATTAATAATTTTAAATCGGGCTGTTTTAATTTGTTCTTTTTTTCTTTTTTTTCCAGAGGAGGTTGTAAGCCAGTTGGACTACTGTGTCCGTGACGGACTTCTGCTCATTACAAAGCGAAAGGGTAATAAAGGTTCCAAGGTAGGAGTGGAACAAGAGGGCTACAAGCTGCCAGACGCTCCGGTATAAAAAAGAAAAAAAAATTACAAAAGAAACAAATTGACCAAATTTTTTTGCAGCCTAAACATGACAAACATGACTGGTATTGCTCTGAGTGTCATACCGGAGGAGATGTCATACCGTGCGGCGTATGCCATCGCGTCTATCACTTGTCATGCATAAACAACCTGCTCGGAAGCAAACAGAAATTCAAATGCAGCGTTTGTCAGGTGAATTTTTTATCTTGCTTTTGATTTAACAACGGAAGAAGTTTGAGTTTTGAGCGTGTTTTATTTATTTTTTCCTTTTCCCATCAGGCATCAGAAGTTGATAATTCTCTTCCAAACATAAAACAAAGCCAGCTCAACAAGCTTTTAATGATGGTCAGCCGAGTGCTTCGAGACAAGGTATTTTAAAAAAAGAGATACACATTGAAAAAATAAAATTAAAAAAATTTAATTATTTTGATTTTAGTACGGGTCTTTGATAAATTCATCTGAGTTCCTCCAGCGTTCAATAACAATTGGTGCTCCGGGTGCACAGATCGACATTGGCTCTGAGGCGTGGCGTGTATCCTTCCTGATCCACCGGCCGTGTGACATTGGCCGGATGGCTGCCCGGGCTAAAATGGCCGGCTACGAGAATTTGAATGAGTACTCCTCTGACGCAGCCACAATCGTTCACAACATAGTAATCTTCCAAGGAGGTATTTTCCTTTTTTTCGTTTATATATAATATTAAAAAAAAATATATATTTTTTTTTTAATGAATAAATTGAATAGTTCATAGTGACCTGGCAGATACGGCAAGACAGATGTTGCGCGACTGTTTGTCCGAAATTGTACAAATGCAGACGTGCCACACTTGTTACCAAACGACGGGCGCTATTAAAGGCTTACCAAGGAGGAAGTTTACAGCCGTTTGCCGTCCTCCGCACGAACTCGTCTACGCAAAGGAAAAAGGGTCTCAATACTGGCCAGCAAAGGTTTTTAATAATTTATTGAAAAATATTTTTATTATTTGTGAATTTTTGTTTATCCGATGGCCTGGCTTCATTTTTGGGTGTCAGTCACTTTCTTTTATTAATTAAGTGAGAGTAAGAGTGAGTGAGTTCGAGTTAGTAACTGATTCAGTGAGTAAAAGTGAGTTTGAGCCATAATAAGTGAGTAAGAGCTCTTTAGAGAATGCATGGATTTGAATCGCCGGCACATGGAGCAAATAAAAGAAAGTGAGTTTGAGTCATTGAGTGATTCAGTGAGTAAGAATGAGTGAATTTAAGTCACTGACTGAATCAGTGAGTAAGAGAAGATGGATTTGAATCACTGTCCGTTTCATTGAGCAACAGTGAATGAGTTTGAGTCACTGTCAGATTCAGTTAGTACGAGTGAATGAGTTTGAATCACCGTCTGATTCAGTGAGTTAAAGTGAATGAGTTTGTATCACCGTCTGCTTCAGTGAGTACGAATGAATGAGTCTGAGTCACGGTCCGATTCAGTGAGTAAGAGTGAATGAGTTTGAGTCACTGTCCAATTCAGTGAGTAAAAGTGAAGGAGTTTGAGTCACTGTATGATTCAGTGAGTAAGAGTGATGGAGTTTGAGTCACCGTCTGATTTGATGAGCTCCAATGAACGAGTTTGAGTCATTGTCCAATTCGGTGAGTATGAATGAATGAGTTTGAATCGCCGTCTGATTCAGTGAGTTAAAGTGAATGAGTTTGAGTCACCGTCCGATTCAGTGAGTTAAAGTGAAGGAGTTTGAGTCACCATCTGATTTGATGAGCTCCAATGAATGAGTTTGAGTCATTGCCCAGTTCGGTGAGTATGAATGAATGAGTTTGCGTCATTGTCCGATTCGGTGAGTATGAATGAATGAGTTTGAGTCACTGTCCGATTCATTGAGTAAAAGTGAAGGAGTTTGAGTCACCGTCTGATGCAGTGAGTAAGAGTGAGGGTTGAGTCACCGTCTGATTTGATGAGCTCCAATGAATGAGTTTGAGTCATTGTCCGATTCAGTGGGTAAAATAGGGTGAGTTTGAGTCCCTTTCCGATTTGGTCAGTACAAATGAATGAGTTTGCGTCACCATCCGATTCAGTGAGTATGAGTGAATGAGTTTGAGTCACCATCTGATTCAGGGAGTAGGAGTGATTGAGTTTGTGTCACTGACTGAATCAGTGAGTAAGAATTATTAGGGAGCGAATGAGCTAACAAAATCAGAACTTGAACTTTTACGAGTTTCCAAAGTTTTTGGCTCTGAAAATAGTAGCAGATATGGCTCTAAAAAAAAATTTGCCCCTTCTAAATGAGCTTTAAGCAGCATATACTTAATTTTGTAAAATTCATCTGTCACCAGTGTAAGAAATAACATTTAATCTTCAAAATTTAGAATTTTTCTATTACGAATACTGTTTAAAAAATATCATATAATCATCTAATCTAAGCCAAATAAATTCAAAAGTTTCACTTCTAACTTTGAAAATTTTCAGGTGATCAAGGAGCACGACAGTGATAAAGTGGAGGTTTGGTTCTTCGGCAACCCTCACCAAAGAGCGACAGTCGATAGGTGTAACGTCCTTCCAATTACGACGAGCATGAACAGTCTGGAAATAACTAAAAGGACATCGAGTTGGAACAGGGCATGCGAGGAGCTTAAAAAGCACCAGGAGCTTTTAAAACGCCTTGAAGAGGGAACTTACGAATCGTCATCGTCGAGTGATGTAAGTTAAATCTTAAAAAAAAAAAAAAAAAAATTATCATAATAATTTTATTTTAAGAGCGAAGATTCAGAGAAGAATGAAAAAGTATCTGTAAGTGAGAAGCCGAAGAAAACCTCGAACCCTGTCAAGAGGCAGAGGAGGAAAGGCTCCGACGAGGAGAGCAGCGTCGATGATACAGATGCCGACGATACGCCCAGGACGAGCAAAAAGGAAAAACCCGTCAAAAAGCGAGGACGGCCTCCCATAAACAAATCCCTTGATGAAACACCACCAAAAAGTACTAATTTCTTTCCCAAAACGAAACAAAAACAATTAACAAAAACATTTTTTTATTCGATAGAAAAACGGGGCAGGCCGCCTAAAAAACCAGCTGAGGCTGTCGAGAAGAAAGACGAAATTGAGGAGAAAAAGCCTGACGAGGAGTCGCAAGTTAAGGATGAAAAGGAAGATAAAACGGACGTTATTTTACCGGAGGTCGCGCCTGGTCAAAACGACCTGTTGAAGACTGCAATGTCGCCAATTTCAACCGTAGGTTAATTAAAGGCTAAATGTCGACACGTTCAATATGTTTTTTCCCTCCCGTTTTTAGAAAAACGAAGAGGAAATCGTAAGCTCGTCGTGCATGGAGCCGCAGGTGCGCAGTTTCGGCACTCAGACTAAACACGACTCGAAGAAAGACCGAGCGAACAAAGAGCTCATTGCGAAACTGCGAGAGGAGCTTGACAAGCTCAAAGCGCTTCATGCGGAACAAATCAAGGAGTTGAAACAACGACACAGCCAGGAAATCGCCATTGTCAAAAAGAAACAATGGGTAAGTTGAATTTTGTCAGCCATATAAGTTATAATTACTCTTGGAAAGCACACTTTTCCCTACAAGATTTAAGCACTTTCCTCAGTGCTTCTTTGCACACTTATTTTGGCAGGAGAATTGCATCACTGAAGTGGCGATATCGTAATTGGGCTAATGATTTGCATTCACAATGGATATGTACTGATCTCTGTGGTTTTTCTCAGCAAAGACGGTTTCTGCCCATTTTTGCTCGTCTTTAGGATGTAATTGTTTTAAGGCTTATTATTTTCTTCACATCGTGTATGCTAAGAGGAGTCTGCTTTCCTTTTTGAGAGATTTACACATCCAGTAGGTTGCCTTGAATCTCCAGGAGTTTTCTTCTTTGAGTCATTTTTCGAGTTTAAATTTTTACCATGTTGGTGCATGTAGTTGTGGATGTTGTCCTTAGGGTGAGAAGAACCTTTTTTTTTTTATGGCTCGTTGGACAGTGTTCATTTCATAACATACCTGAATTGCTGTGGAATCCCAACTTTCAAGTAACTTTGTGTTTTCCAAGAGCTATTGGACAGCAAGAATGATCCGGATCAGTAGTGAACCCCCTCAATCCTAGCAAGAATGTCTGGAATGAACAGAACTGAGCCGGATCAGTATTGCTCAATCATGAGTGAGTACTCGCACTTAATTTAATGGTTAATTATTGATCCAAGTCAGCACTGTTCACCGTTCTGATAGGATTTAGCAGTACACTACTGATTCAAATTTGTATTGTTCATTCAAGATAGTCCTGTTAGAATTTAGCTGTTCACTACTGATCCGGATCAGTTCTGTTCATTCCAGACATTCTTGCTAGGATTGAGGGGGTTCACTACTGATCCGGATCATTCTTTTCATTCAAGACAGTCCTACAGGGATTTAGCAGTTTGCTGCTGATCTGGATCAGTACTATTGAATCATGACAGTACTGCAAGAATTTAGCTTTCATGGCTGATCGGGATCAGTATTGTTCATTGATGATAGCACTGCTTCGATTGAGCACTACTCCAGATTTGTTGTAAATTCACCGATCTGCTAGGATTTAAAGCATCATTTACAGATCTGAGTCATTCTTTTTATTCAAGCCAGTCTTGCTCAGATTGAGTGGTTCACTACCGATCTGGATCTGTATTGTTTGTTCAAGACAGTTCTATTATGATTTAGCGGCTCACTACTGATGTTCAGCACTGTTCATTCAAGACTGCTGATAGGATCCTAGCATGATGACCTTGAAAGAAACAACTGATCCGGATCAATAGAAGATCTTTGTGGTTTTAACTGCTTTCAGATCTCCAGTTTGAAGCATTTTCAGTAGGGACTTATTTCATTTTCTGCCGAAGCCTGTTTGTATTCTTGTAATTTGTCTGTTGACTATCAGATCTACAGTGATTTTGTGAGTCCATTCCAGTTTCTTTAGGAGTTTGCTGTTTTGCCCCCTCTGAATCCTCTTTGCTGCTTGTCATTTTGAAGGTCTACAGCTTATGTTTCTTTTTATTTTATATTTGGGCCCTTATGAATTCCAACAGGTGGCTAGTCAAAAAGTCAGCCCAACCGGAGCCTTTTCTGGAGTTCGCTTTCAGGAAGGACAAAGGAGGAATGCGGCTTCTTTTAAAAATTATTTAATTTCTAATTTAATCTAATTGTTTTTTTAAATTTTAAAAATTTCTCTTTTTTTTTTTGTCTTCTCTCTCTCGAAAAGTGCTACAACTGCGAGCAGGAGGCGATTTACCACTGCTGTTGGAACACGGCATATTGCAGCACCGAATGTCAGCAGCTCCACTGGCAAGGTGAGCACAAGCGCATCTGCAGACGTAAGCGCTAATCAGGGCCAAGGTTTAAAAAAAAAAAATCAGGCATTTTGTCTGGCAAATGCAGAAACAACGATATGTATTTATACATCTATATGGGGAAAAAACATATTTATTGTATATGAAATTAATATATTACAATATATTAAATATTGTAATATAGATTTTTTTTAAAAATAATCACGATAGATATATTCAATCGTAATTGTCTTTGTAGTGTTGTGGGTTTAAAAAAAAAAAAATTGCATCCCAGTTTTATAAAACTGTGGACTTTTTATAGAAACGCGTGTATGTGTATTATATGCTATACGTATATATAATTTATACCGCACACATGCTCCTATTTTTTACGTACCTGAAATTTCTTACTCCATAAAAAAAATTAAAAAAAAAAAATTGACAGCCTCAGAGCGTTTAACGCGTCAGGGAACTTGCTTTATATATTCTAGCGTATAAAAAAAGTGTGTATATATATGTAAATATTCCCCACTACACAATTTTATATATTTCAACAGTCTAGAGAAAAAACAAACCATTTTGTTACTTATTTTCTATAGCTTTATTATTATGTATTTTTTACCTCTGCCCTCCTGCCGATTTGTCTGATTTTAATTTAATACAATAATGGGTAGGAATTAATTATATATAGTTTAAAGAGAGACGAGAGGGAGAAAAAAAGTAAATAAAAGTGTGTATATTGTGTTATATGTTGTTCTTTTTTTTTCCCCATGTCTGTGTTTATTTTATGCCATTTCCTCTTTAGCGCAATCCAAAGAACCAGGTGAGAAAATTCGAATGTGGTAAGAAGAATAATTTTTAATAGTATTGTAGTATACTATGTATAAATCATAATTTATATTCACTAATTTTGTGGTCCTCTTGACCAATTAATATATTACAATTAATTAAGGTTTTTAGTTGAGATAAAAAAGTCAATGGCACGAACGGGATTCAAACCCACTAAACTTTTTTATCTCAACTAAAAACCTTAATTAATCATAATTTATATTTTTTTAGGGTAATTTTACCCATTTTTTTCCGGGTCTTTGAAGGTTAGTTTATCTTTGTCCTCCAGTACTGACTGGTATGATTTGGAAGGAAAAGAGGAATTGTGGGTTATTAGGAAAGGATGGTCAAGGTAGGATTGAGGTAGTTTAAATTGGGTTGGGGTGGTTAGATCTAGTTCACAGTTTGGAATTTTTCCTCCAAATTTGAAGCACAGTTTGGGGGACAGGGAAAGAATAGGGGAGGTATGGTTGATATTGTTTGGTTTGTTAGGGATGGTTAAGGTTGGAGGTGGGTGGTTAAGTTTGAGCTGGAGGTGGTTTGATATGGTTAAGCTTTGTGTAGGGTGGTTAAAAATGATTGGGCTGGGGTGTTCAATTAGGATTAGGGTGGTTTTGAAATGATGCGGTTAAAATTGAGTTGGGGTGGTTTGGTATGGTTAAGGTAAGGTCAGGGTAGTTTGGTTAAAATTGGGGTTGATTGAGGTGGTAAAAGTAGTATTGGTGGGGTGGCTTGAAATGGTTGGGTTGGTATGGTGTAGTTAAAGTTGGGTTGGGATGGTTTGACATAGTTAAGGTAGGGTCAAGGTAGTGGGGTTAAAATAGGGTTGGGGTTGATTGAGATGGTCAAGTTTGGATTGGGTTTGGGTGGTTATGGTGATTGTTAGGGATGGTTGAGGTAGGGTCGGGGTAGTGTGGTTAAAGTTGGGTTGGGGTTGATTGAAGTGGCCAAGGTTGGATTAGGTTTGGGTGTTTTGATATGGTTTGGTTGTGGTGGTGTGTTTTGGTGTGGTTAATACCACACAACAACGAAGGTTAGTCACCTTTATTTTTGAATTTATTCTATCATAGTTGACTTAAAATTTTTTTTTAGAATCTTGTACCCAAATGTTCTTTCATTTATGTAAGAAAAATAATTTGTCTAAATTTGATGAAAAACTGACTTTTGGTAAGAGTTTGGGACAATATTAGTCTTAATATATTGTTAAGATTGATTCTAAAAAAGTTGGGCTTTGTTTATTTATTTTATTGAGTATTTTGAAATTTTCCATTTTTAATCAAGCTGGAAAACATGTGATGGAATACTTTAGAAAAAAATCAATGTTGTAAATAAAAAGTGTTGTATTAAATCAAACCGTCGGAGGGCTAGAAGAGGCACAAAGCTCCCCATGCTCCTCGATTTGATGACAGCGTAAAAGAAAAAGTGAAAAGAAGACATGCTACTCGAGGCGGAATGCATGGGGGGTGAGCCGAGCAAGAAGAGAAGGAAGAAAGAAAAGAAGAAAGACGGCGACTTGTACCGTGACTCCAACCTTCGGTATGCCGGCTACTCGAACGAGATAGGCGAGGCCCTCCGGCCATTCATAGGGCGCAACCTCGTGACGGCTAGCTACGCTCTAGCCTCCGCTTATGTAATCGCTGATGTTGGTTCGAAATCAGCCGACGCTTGGAAGAACACCAAGGGCAAGAAGCCCGATGTGAGAAGAAAAGAAACATTTAAAAAAGGATCGGACGCTCTCGTTTGGCAGTCCCTCGCCTCGGTCATTGTACCCGGCTTCGTCCTGAACAGGCTTGCTGCCATATCGAGGTTTATTATATGTAAAACACCAGCGTATCAGTTCAGGACGTTGTTGACTGCAGCTACCAGCCTAGCCGTCATACCTTTCATCGTTGAACCGATCGACAGATTCGTTGATGGCTTCATGAAAGATTTCGTACGACCTATTTACAACAAAAAATAAATAATTGTATAAACAATTTAGTTTTTTTTTACCTAACTGACAGATAATTTCAGGTCGTCTCTCTATCAGTTGTAAGAGTACTTCAAGGGGGTAAGAAGGGTTGTCATTCCATGAGGTGCTGACCCTAGAGGAGTTCACCACCCCTGTTATGCGGCTGGGTCGCTAGTATTCCCATTGAGTCAGATGCCAAAATAATTTCACACTAATAAATACACTCAAATATAACTTAAAACAGATCTATATACAATTAAAAAAAATAAAAATAAAAACTTTTAAAAAGCGCGATAGGGACCCAGAAACTCGCTACAGTGCCAGAGAAGCATTCTTAAATCCCACATCTCTCTATAAGGAGCCAAGATATAACAAGCATCTATTGACTGGTACACATCTGGATCCATAGTGTTCATTCAACACAGTCTTGCTAGGGTTGAACAGTTCACTAATCCGGATGTGAAGATTCCTGCTAGGATTTAGCGAATCAGTATTGTTCATTCATGGCAGCAATGGTAGGACTCAGTATTGTTCATTCATGGCAAGAACGGTAGGATTCAGCAGGGTTCATTCATGGCAACAACGGTAGGATTCAGCAGGGTTCATTCATGGTGGCAATGGTAGGATTCAGCAGTTCACTAATCACAGTTGATCCAGATCTGAAGTACTCATTCAAGACAGTCCTGTTAGGATTGAATGGTTCACTACTGATCCAGATCTGAAGTGTTCATTCAATACATCGGTTTACTACTGATCCGGATCTGAAGTGTTCATTCAAGACAGTCCGGCTAGGATTGAACGGTTCACTACTGATCCAGATCTGAAGTGTTCATTCAATACAGTCCTGCTAGGATTGAACGGCTTACTACTGATCCAGATGTGTTCATTCAAGACAATTCTGCTAGGATTGAACGGTTCACTACTGATCTCGATCTGAAGTGTTCAATCAAGCCAGTCTAGCTAGGATGAAGCGGTTCACTAATGATCTGGAACAGTACTATTCAATCATGACAATACTGCTAGAGTTTAGCTTTTAACTACTGATCCAATTTGCATTGTTCTTTTCTGTTTGGATTTAGCTGTTCTGTTCTGAATCTGTATTGTTCATTCACAACAGTCCTACTGGAATTCAGCAGTTTATTACTGATCCGGATCAGTACTGTTCATTTCCTTCTATACATTCATGGCCTGAGACCCACCTGATGAAAAAATGGAAAATTATCAAAAATCTTCCTCTTCTTGGTTGTCGACATCTGCAAATTTCAAAGGTTTATCCAGAAAGAGTCGGACGGGGGAGGGGCACATCGTGTTTTGTAATAAATCTCATAAATAAACAATATCGTCAAAATTAATAAACCAACTTTATTTCTTATTTATTGTCACATTCCTTATCCTTACTTGTTAGACAATATAAACAATTTACAATAATATATTTTTTCGTTTTATTAATATAACAGTATCTCGTATATTTATATATATATATATATATATATATATAGTTTTCTTCTTCTGGTAAATACAAATCCTACTTGATTTTTTGTAAATCGTTTTTGCGTGATCCCAATTTTTCTTACAATTTTAATTTTTAATCGAAGAAAATCTTTTCAATTCTATTGTCGGGTGGTGGAAAGGAGGAGGAAAGAGAGAGAAAAAAGTAAAATTATTTACAAATTACAAAGTAGTTTTGGTTAATAATTTTTTTTGGCATTTTATCTATGCGAAAAAAGGAAAAAAAAGAAGATAAAAGGCAAAATAAGAATAGAAGTTAAACATTATGGCACAAATTTATATATATTATATATAATAATTAAAATAATAATAAACAGGCAGTAGCTTCAGCTTCTCTTTGCGCTAAAAAAATACAACTCACAAGCGTAAAAATTGGAGGAAAAAAATAAAATGAACACATTTTACTTTATAAAATTTCACAAAAATCAATTAATGATAATAAATTAAAAATAATCTAAAAAGCTTTTTTTTCCAAACCAGTCAGATGACATTTATGGCACGTAACGTTGGCTGCAACATAACTAATTGATAGAGTTGTAGTAAACGCTGAGTAAATCGCTAAAAAAATGAATAAAAATAAAAATAAATAAAACAAAATTAATAAATAAAAATTAATAAAAATTAATCGGGATGGTGGGTTCAGCAAGCGAATTTCGGTTTAGGAACATTAGTTTCTCTGCCTTAATTATTTAAGGAAGACTGAAAAGTCAAGTTAGTATGATTTTTTTCAAGTAGAATTTTTTTCATATATATATATTTATTAAATTTAAACAGTTTATCTAGTTCTTAAAAAAATTTAATATATACAAACAGCCTTGTCAAAAGAAAGAAAAAATTTAAACCTTGGGGAGGACACTGAATTTGGACCTGTTTTTTTCTTTTTTCCTAAGTCCAAAATTATTTCGCACAAATTTTTTTTTACTTTTAAAATTTGTGTGGATATTCAGACGATAAAATTTAAATTTATAGAGAAAAACAAAACAACAATAAGTCTAGACTTTCACCTCTCTTGATATGTACAGCTTGTATTCAGGACGTTATTCGTTTTTTAATTAATTTTTTTTTAATTTTTTAAAAATTTCATGTTAAATATTTACTAATATAAATGATTTGCGTAGTGTATTGGTCGCTGTGGATCATCCTGGCCTTACTCGTTGTTTTGGCCTGTCAGGCGCGTTCGGCGTTTCACAGCCTTTGGCTGTAGGTTTGAACGATATCATCTAGGGTGAGAAGGGATAGTTTGAAATGGGTGGGGTGGTTAAGGTGAGTTGGGGAAGTAAATTGTTACGGGTGGGTTTGTTACACATAAGCCTGAGTTGGGTAGGGGTGGTTTGTTTTGGGTGTGCAGGGTTAAGGTTGGGCTTGGGTGATTTGATATGATTAACAGTGGGATTGGGTGGTTCGATATGGTTGTTGGTTAAGAGTGGGTTGAGTTGGTAGGGTTGGTTTGTGGTAGTTGGGTTGTAGCGATTAGAGATAGATCAAGTTAGGTTGTAGTAGTTAATGATGGGGTTTGGCTGGGATGGTTGAAGATGCTTGGGGTGGTTAGTAAAGGTTAGGCAGAGATGGTTTGATATGATCTGCGGTGATTAACATTGGTTAGGATCAGTTATATATGGCTAAACACTGGACATTATAATATGGTCATGGTTAGTGATGGTCGCTTGAGACCATGACCACCATCACCTCGGTGAAATGTGGTTTAAGATTGTTATACACCGGATCTTCTGGGTGGATTGAGATGGTGAAACTCCAAAATGCGTTCGACAGGTAGAAACCATGAAGCCCGATGTGCCGGTATGGCCTAGAACGACCTACAAATCCGTTGACCCGCAAACTTTGAGATAATAAAATTATTTCGTTTAATTAAAACAAAAGATCAAATTAATGGTTTAAAAGGAAAAACGATTAAAAGAAAATCGTCAGGAGAAATTGGGTGAGGAGAATGAGCAGGAACGAGTATGCCGACAGTGTTGAACTGCCGGGAGGTGGCATAGGCGGCGTCGGCGCCTCTGGCTTTTTCGTGAAGACCAGTGATGACGGCACCCAGTCATAGCTTGAAATTGTTAGTAAGGGGATTTATTATTAGTGTTAGTCGGGGGATTTAAAATTGTTTTTCTACCTGGAGCATGGTTTGACGTTCCTCGCGTCTACCTGTGCCACTTGGAAGTTCACCGGTGGTTTCCTGTTGAGCTTGAAAGCCGCGATGCACCCTTGAAACCCAACCTCGAATTTCCCTCCCGTCTTGAACTCGATATCAGGCATGCCTCCTATTATAAATATAAAATTCATGATTTAGGGTTAAAAAAAATGTTAAATGTTTTTTAAGGCTTACCGATGAAGACGTTGCCTAAGAAGTCATTGTCGCGTTCTGTTGTAGTTGATGCTGTGGCCTCTGTCTCACCGTCTACGCTCAGCTGTAGTTCACCCGGTACGTAGAGGACAGAGACGTTGTGCGGCCGGTCGTCGTCCACCCTGTGCAGAGAGATCAGTTTCATCTGATCCGTCTGCTCGTGAGCCATAACCTCCACATGACCTCTCTCAACTGAAAACCGTTATATTTCAATCAAGAAATCTAGGTTTAATTTGAGTACTGACCAGCTATGGATAGGTATTCCAGTTCTCTTGTGTGCTGGTCACGGCCTTGCCAGAAGATCAGACCGCGCGGCGAAGATGTCTGCATCATGAAAGACACTGCTTTCTCCTCGTACGTACTGGGTAAGTAAGACTCGGGCAGTTCGATGTAGGAGTTTTTATCGAACTCGGCACTTGTTTCGATGTGTATGACCTCGTTGCAGTACTTGCCCTTGTAGCCAAAGTGGCAGTGGCACTTGAACCCGGGCGAGTTTGGATCTCCGTCGTTGTGTGTCTTGCACTCTCCGTGCGGCTTACACAGGTGATCCATCTTACAAGGCGTTTCCATTTCACAGTAATCACCCCTGGAAAAAAATTAATGTCAGAAGTTTGTTGAAAAAAATAAAAGTTTTTTTTAATTACTGGAAGTATTCGTTGCAAACGCAGAACTGCCTGTTGTTCTGGGTATTGCAGATACCACCGTTTCTGCACGGTTTGATTGGGCAGAGCTGTTCACCGATGACCTGCTTGAGGTGCCTGCCTGGAGTCTCTCCCTGGCACTGGTGCACGTTGGATCCGACAAAAGATTTTAGGTTGAGATGTCTCTCGTTGAGCTTGATGAGCCGGATGCATCCATCGAATCCGTCGTAGACACCGACATGCCTGTCTGGTTTCATTTTCAACGAGTCATACCCTCCTACGTATAGAGTCTTGAGTGTCATCGGATCGAAGTTGTTCAAGTCGAGGTTGACGTTGTCATCCGTCGTAGTCAGAGACAAAAAGTTGTCTTTCTTCTGAACAGACACCCTTGTCCATACGCCCGGTCTGACCCTCGTCCTGCTCACCAGCTCCAAAGGACTATGCTTGTTCACAAAGATGAAATGTAAGTAACCGTCTTTCATAACAATCACTGCGTATTCTTTAGAAGGTTCGTGTCCGACGGCGTACATAAGTATGGCATCATTAAGGGTTTCTGGTTTAATTTCCATATCAAATGAGAACTTCCCACCAGAGACGGGTACGGCGTAAGCAAGGTGGGAGTGTGTTTTGAAATGAGGCACTGTGACAGTGACCTTGTGCTCACAGTGTTCTCCGTAGGATCCGAGCCTGCAGTGGCACCTGAAACTCCAGTCGAGGTTCTCGCAGACACCATCGCCGCAGAGCCCTTCGTAGCAAGTAGTGCCGACCCTTTCGCAGTTGGCGCCTGTGTAACCTCTGGGGCACATGCACTTGTAACCACGGTAGTTTGGCTCTTCCTGGCAGGCGCCGTTATTCTGACAGAGGTCTTCGCTGCATGTCTCGCACTCCTTGACATTGTGCCATTCCAACGAGTCCTTTTCCGCGATGCTCTCGACGACATCGCCCATCCTGAACTGGCTTATGCACCCTTTGAAACCCTCTGTGAACCCGGTGTTCGGTTTCAAGCTGTCAAATGAAGGTACGGATCCGAGGTACACCGGCGCCGTGAGGTCCAGACCTTGGAACCGCCCCTGACTCGTGCCGACCACTGGGCCTCGTCCGTTCACCCACAATTTGCCTTCTTTCTTTTCCCGTTTTATCGTGATGTTGGACCATTCGTGCAGCGGCAGGATGGTGTTGGACTGTAGAATCGCTTCACCTGACCCGACATCGAACCTACACTCGACCCGTCCATCTTTAAGTCCCACAGAAAAGAAGTCCCTTGCTTTTAAGTCCGAAGTGTATAAGAACATACCTACAGAAAAAAAATATTAAACAACATCCAAAAAAACAAAACAAAACACCCACCATCAGGATGTTCAGGCTTGACCATAAAGAATAGATCCGTCTTTAAGTAAGCAAAGCTCGAGAAGCTCCTCAGTTGGATGTATGATGATTTGTCAAACCTGGGGATCGTCCCTTTCACTATGAGGAAGGTTGGGAAGTCAATTTTGATGGCGTTGTTTGAAGCTATGCACACGTATTCACCGGCGTCTTCGTGTGTCACCTTTTCTAATCTCAATGTGTGGTTCTTTGAAAAGAAAAACGAGTATCATCAGCAAAGTCGATCCCCAACATAATATCAGAGTTTGTACATCAGAATTTGTAGTAGCGATAAGAGAGATAATTAGAGACCATATATCTATTTTTCCTGTATGGCTGGTTAGAGATGGTAAAAGTTCATAAAGGGTAGTTATACATCACACTGGATACAATGATAGCTTTGGAGACGGTCAGATACCATGTTAATGTGTAATAAGGGATCGTTATTGACCAGATATCATGATAGTTTTTATGGTACAAATATAGTTTTAGAGATGGTTACAGACCAGATATTAATATAGTTTTTGGGATAGAGATTATTAGAGACCAGATAACATGCCAGTTTTAGAGATGGTTACAAACCAGATATCATGATGGTGTTTTATAGAGATGTTTACTGACCAGATATCATGATAGTTTTTGGGATAGAGATGGTTCATAGACCAGATGTCATGATTGTTTTTTTATAGAGATGGTTACAGAGATACAGACCAGATATCACGATAATTTTTTGAATAGAGATGGTCATACACCAATGTGTAAGCATCAGATTCCATGGTAATTAAAGATAGTGATCGTTTTAGAGATGGTTACGGACCAGATATCATGATTTTTTTTTTGAAAGAGATGATTACACATCAGATACACTGATAATTTTGGAAAGAGATAGTTTTAGGGATGGTTACACACGGAACGATGATAATTTTGGATAGAGATAGTTTTAGGGAGGGTTACAAACTAGATATCACAATACGTTTTTGGATAGAGGTAGTTACAAAACGGATATCAATAATTTTGGATAGATATAGTTTTAGAGATGCCACGCCAGATATTGTGACAGTGTAGTGGCCACCTGTAGTTACCAAAAGTACCTGCTAGGTGCCACTACTGGTTATGGAATTGTCTCGCCCTCCACTCTGCAGCCAATCAGAGTAGTGCCCTTTCGTATTAAGCAGCTGACTTCTGATGCGTCTCCCTGACAAGGTCTCACTTCTCACCTCGAAACTCGTCTATCTGACAAGCTCTCCCCAGTCACTAATGGAGCACTGACATCAACAATGACAACAGCAAGGATACTCGCAGTATTAGTCTGGATCTCGCATTCTCAACGCAGCCGACTTGGTTTTACTGGCCAACTGCTGCACTAAAGTCCGTTCAACCACTGCAGAGTCAACCGACTCAATGCCCTGGTCCTCAGCCAACAGTTGTCCAGTCACAGACCACTACTAATGGCACACACCCAGTCTCGACCAAGATTTATCGTTTCAACCTTACAGAACAACACCAGCCCTTCTCAGGGCCACCAAAAACTCTCAGTCACTAAAGATAGTATTACAGAGAGATAGCTTTAGACCATACACATTTCATTCACCAATTTTTTCAATTCATACACCAATTTTGGATAGAGATGGTTACAAATCGTGATAGTTTGTATGGTGATTGTGGTATATCAGGCAAACTGCATGATATTTTTCGATAGGTTTGGTCAGAGGTGGTTAGATGCTGGTATCACGATAGGTTGTCATTGGGCTGGTAGGGACGGTTAAATCACACACATCATAATAGTTTGCTATTAAGTTGGTCAAAGATAGTTATGAGTTGGCTAGAGTTGGTTTTCTTTCAGTTTATTCTTTTTTTTTTCACCAAAGGACTGGACTGAATCGGTTACATGACATTTATCACAATAGTTTGTTGTTGAGTTGGCCAAACAGCCAGATAAAGATTGTTACATAGCACATTTCACCAAAATTTGCTATTGGGTTAAGTTAAGGTGGTTAAAGGTCTGTGAAGTTTTTCAAAGGGTTGTATAGAGACAGTTAATATAAAATATGAATAAATAATACAATCTCGACTAACTTTGGCGTTAGGCATCGGTTTTCCTTGTCCTTTGATCCAAGTGTAGGTGGTCGGCGGTTCGAGGCCCTGGTCGCACTCCAGCTCCACCGTCTCACCAACAGCTGCTCTCTTTACTTTGGCGGCTTTTTGCATTTCATTGTCTTTAGAGAGAGAGAGAAAGAAAAAGGAAAAAATTAATAATGAGTAAATTCAAATATGTTTTAAATGGGGGGGGGGGTCAAGGGACTTTAGGGTTAGCTTACCATGAATAATTCCATTGGAAAATTTGCAAAAATAAGTTTTATTATTATTATTTTTTTTTTAAAGTAATTTTTGTGGGTTCTTTATTCACCTTGTACGACTAGAGTGTAGACATCTTCAATATCGTAGCCAGCTTGCGTCTTGGCATGGCACCTGTACCTTCCGGCGTGCATAGGATGAACTTTGCTTATCCTTAAATTTAAAAAAAGTTAAAAATATGTTTGTTTTGTTCTTTTATTCATTTTCGGTACCTTAGAGTCCGTCCTAGTATGGTCATCGACTCCCTCGCCTCTTCGCTTCCGTCGAGTATCTCCCACTGAGGCTGGTCCTTGATACGCCCGGTCGTTTTGCATATGAGGTCGATCTCTCCTCCGACCCTCACGACATCGATGCTCGGCTCGATCCTCAGCATCGGTGCAACGGCGCCTGGAGGTTAATCGATTGATCAATTAAAACGAACCCGGAACAAATTTTATTCTGGTTAAATCGAAAATCATGCTCTAGTCTGACCTGAAGAACTTAACTTACACCCTTGTCAGGTTAAGAAAATTAAAAAAATTATTTTCTTTTTGCTCTCAAAACAAATTAATTAATTTGTACAAAAATGAAAATTAGTTTTTAGTAAGTATGAAAAATTAAAATAAATTACAACAAAGTGCACAGGTGTTACCTTTTGTATCTTACACATTAGAGTTGTTTTCTCTCAACGATGGGTAACTTTTTATTTATTTATTTCACTTGAACTCTTTTTAAAATTAAAAAAAATGAACAAAAATTTAAAAAAATATATATAAAACAAAATCAATAGAAATAACAATACAATAAAACGAGACTAGCACATCCTGATTTAGACAATTCAAAAAAATATTTTTAAAAAAGTGACAACAAAAACACAAAAGCAGAATTAAAGTATCAGAATGTTTTTTTTTGTAAATTTAATTTAAAAACTAAAAAAAAAAAAATAAAAAAAAAAAAATAAAATATTAAGGTAACATTGTATTAGGTGAGTTTGAGTCACTGACTGATTAAGAGAATAGAAGTGCTTGAAAGAATGAATGATTTTGATTCACTGAGAGATAAAGTGAGTCAAAGTGCTTTAGAGAGTGAATGGGTTTGTTCCACTGGCATATAAAGTGAGTAAAACTGAGTGAGTTTGAGTCATTGACATATTGAGCGAGTTTGAGTAAGTGATAGATTAAGTGAGTTAGAGTTTCCATGGACTGAACGGGTTTGAGTAACTGATTGATTAAGCGTGATTGAGAAAGTGACAGATTAAGTGAGTAAGAGTTTTTAGTGAACAGGTTTGAGCCACTGATTTTGATTAAGCGAGTAATTTGAGTCTGGTTATGTGAATTCTTTAGAGAGTGAATGGGTTTGAGGCCCTGACTGATTAAGTGAGTTATGTGTGTAAGTTTTAATGAAATTAAATTAGTCAGAGATCTTTAGGGAATGAGTGACTTTGAGTCACTGGCATGTTGAGCGAGTGACAGATTAAGTGAGTAAAAGTTTTCCAGAGATTGGACTTGTGTGAGACACTGGCATATTGAGTGAGTTTGAGTAGGTGAGTAAGAGTTTTTAGAGATTGAACTGTTATGAGTCTCTGATTGATTAAGCGAGTAATTGGAGTCAGAGTGAGTGACTTTCGATGATATTAAGTGAATCAGAGTTATTTAGAGAGCAAGAGAGTTTGAGTCACTGACACACTGAGCAAGTTTGAGTAAGTGACAGATTAAGTGAGTAAGAATTTCTAGAGATTGAATGTGTTTGAGTCACTGACTGATTAGTGGGAGTGAGTTTGAGTCAGATTAAGTGAATAAGAGTTTCTCAAGATTGAATGGGTTTGAGCCACTGATAGATTAAGCGAATAATTTGAGGCAGAGTTCTTTAGAGAGTGAATGGGTTTGAGTCATTGGCTGATTAGTTGGAGTGAGTTTGAGTCAGATTAAGTGAGTAAGAGTTTGTAAAGATTGAATGGGTTTGAGCCACTGATTGATTAAGCGAGTAATTTGAGTCAGATTAAGTGAATAAGAGTTCTTTAAAAAGTGAATGCATTTGAGTCACTGACTGATTAGTGAGGGAGTTTTACTCAGATTAAGTGAGTAAGAGTTCTTTAGAGAGCGAATGAGTATTAGTCACTGACATATTGAGCAAATTTGAGAATGTGACATATTAAGTGAGTCAGAGTGCTTTAGAGAGTAAATGAGTTTGAGTCACTGAGTGATTAAGCGAGCGAGTTTTAATGAGGTTAAGTGGGTCAGAGTGCTGTTGAGAGTGAATGGATTTGAGTCACTGACCGATTGAGTAAGTAAAAATTGTTAGTGAGTGAACGGATTCGAGTCAGCGATTGATTAAGCGAGTAAGAGTGAGTGCGTTAGAGCCATAGGTGAGTAAGAGCTCTTTATAGAGTGCATGGACTTGTATCACTGGCGCGTTGAGCCAATAATAGAAAGCAAGTTTGAGTCACTGAGGGATTCAGTGAGTAAGAGAGATTGAGAGCACTGACCGATCCAGTGAGTATGAGTTGTTAGCGAGTGAACGGATGAGTTTCCAGTTGATTAAGCGAGTAAGACTGCGTGAGTTTGAGTCAGATAAAGTGAGTAAGAGTTTTTTAGAGAATGAATGGATCTGAATCACTGACTGATTAAACAAGTCAGAGTGAGTGGGTCCGAATCACTCACTAATATTTGAATCATTCCGTAGGGGGAAACGGATGCCCTGTCCAAGAAAACGAATTGTTCGTATCTTTAAAAAAAAACATCCTGACTTAATACTTTTTGATTTAATGATGAAATGAAAAAAAAAATGATTTTGATTGTGATAAAAAATCATGATAGCACGAGGGCAAACAAGACAATGCCATCGTTCTCGTTTTATTAAAAAAAAAAAAATAAAAAAATATATTTGTTGAAAAATCAAAAAGAAAATTTTTTTGAGTTAAAAAAAGAAAATAACAAAAAAAAATTAGTCAAATCTAACCATGGGCTCTCCTGTAGCGAGAGAAATCCTTGTAGTCACTGGGTGGACAGGTATAGGTGGACGGGATGCAGGTCCCGTCTGGGCAAACTTTTTCCCAGTGATTGCACTTCTCTGCAATAGTTGCCGGTGAGATATTGTGCGTGAAAAAGGTTAATAATAATAAAAAATGAAGAGAAAAAAATTAAAACAATGAAGAATGAGGCGGTAAGATGAATTAAAAAGGGTTGAAAAAGGATGAAGCATGTCGGCGAAGGGAGACATTACACACACACACACACACAAAATAATAACATTGCAAGTTGTGTGAAAGAAGACTGAAATCAAAGCAGTGTTAACAAAAAAATAAAATAAAAAAATATTAAAAAATCATACAATAAAAAATGAAATAAAACAAAAAAAGAAAGAAAAATTTGACCAAACACCTCTGAATATATAATATAATTTTTTCTAAAATACTACCACCCTTTTATTATTAATTTTTACCCTTTCATAGAGATTTTTTATCATTTTAATGAAAGTAAAAGTAGGAAGATAAAATAAGTCCGAGACGGGGTTGATCATGGTCATGGAAAGAACTGCCATGATGATCAATAGGTGAGATTCGTTCAGTACGGACAGCCCACATTTCTCAAAAACTTCTTTTATTTAATATTCTTATATTCACAGTAAGAGATACAATGATGACCTGAGATCTAATAATCTAGAGCTGTGACATGTCATGGATGATCATGATGACCATCCGTCACTTTGGTCCAGTATGGATTGCCCGCTTTTCTCAAAGCCTTACATTATCAAATATTATATTCACGCTAAGTTCTAAGATCCAATGATGACCTGACTCAATGAATTACTTCAGGTTGTGATATGTCATGTATGATCATGATGACCATCAGTCAACTTTGGTCCAGTACGAACTGACCTGGCTCATTGTTAGGCATAAAAGGATCTTTTACATTTTCCATTTTTACATGTTTTGAGGTTTTATAACCATCAGTTTTGATTTTTGATTTGATGATTTTTATACAATAAGCAGTACTTCCTGACCATGCCAGTAAAGAATGCTCATTGATCAAAATGACAAAACTGTCTATGAAAGGATAATTTGGTGAATATTAAATGTTATCAAATGATTATTTAGCCAAGATGTCAATTTGATAGTTTGATCTTTCCTCCGACTTACTCCTGACGTGTATTGTGACTGTTTTCCAGCCAGTTTTGTAGTCGTTCGGCATCATTACGGAGCACAGGTAGTTGCCGGCATCCTCAAGGCGTATGTTGTCAATTCTGAGTGTGTTGCCTTTAGTGACTGCATTGTCAGGCATTTGCTCTTGTTCCCTTGTCCAGAAGATATGCTCGCCATGGCGATTGGCGGTGCACTGGACTGTGACTGAGCCACCCTCAGTGACGTATCTCACTGGGTCACCGACAACGCTTATGATTGGTATATGCCTTTCGTTCTCACCTGAAAAACAAGGGTGACAATTCAGGTTTGTACATTTTGCTAATTGACTCTAACCTTTAACGACAACTCTGGCTTTGCCCTCTGCTGAAAAATTGTCGGTTTCTGCAATACAGACGTATTCTCCGGCGTCTTCTTCTTGCATGTCTCTGAACTGCAAAAAGAAAAAGTTGACCCTTTCTAACTTTTAAACAGACCCGTGTACTTACCCAAATCGTGTGACCTGAGACGTGAGCGCGGTTTTCAGGTAGGTCACGGTTCACACCTTTCCACTCGATCCTCGCATCCGGCTCGTCCTCCATTTTACACTCGATATGGGCGTTGTCGCCGATGCTCACGACCTGTGTCTCCGGAGTTAGGCGTACACCTTTGAGATCTTTAGGGTGAAAGAATTAGTAATAAGTCTATCATCCTTGGCACCATGACTCACGTTTCACGACAATCTTTAATGTCATCTGCTGCAGTAGGAATCCTTTGCGGTTCTTCAGCTGGCATGTGTAATAGCCTTCGTTCTCCGGCTGGATCTGTGTTATGACCAGTTCACCATTCCTTTGTCTCACATTAGAAGGCAGAGGGAGACCATCGTTCCTGACCCATTCGATTGAATCCTCAAGTCCTTGATGGAAAAAACGTGATTAGACTTTCCGTTTCATGCTAAAAGGTGGTGGATTGATACGGTTAAGTATGGGTTGCTGAGTTTTACAATGATTAGGTTGAGGTGGTTTGACTAAGGCTGGGTAGGAGAGGCTTAAGGTAGTTCAGGTTGGGTTGGGGTTGTTGGATATGGTTAAGGCTGAGTAAGGGATGTTTGAAGTAATTTAGGTTGGGTTGGGGAGGTTTGAGAAGGTTTAGGTTGGGTAGAAGTGGTTTGAGTTGGTTTAAGATTGTCAAAGGTGGGTTAGGGCGATTCAAGGTAAGTTAATGTTAGGTAGAGGTGGTTTGAAATGGTTAAGGATGGGTTGGGGTTGTTTTAGATAAGTTAAGGTTGGGTAGAGGTGGTTTGAGATGGTTAAGGATGGGTTGGCGTGGTTTGAGATGGTTAAGGATGGGCTGGCGTGGTTTGAGATGGTTAAGGATGAGTTGGGATAGTTTTCATAAATTAAGATTGGGTAGAGGTGGTTTAAGAAGGTTTAGGTGGGGGGGGGATAGTTTGGTACAGTATAGGTAAAAAACCGATTAAACCATTAGAAAATGAGATTTACCTGCTTGGAAGTTGCAGGTGAAGTTGTTAGTCGTCCCTTCATAGAGAACATGTGTCTTGCCTCCCCTTGGCTCGTAATCTGGGTTCAGCGGGCTTTGATCTCCCCCAGGTCTAGGTGCACTGCCTTCGACATAAACCTTAAAAAAAGAATGTTAAAAATATAACAAGAATGGAGCGTAAAGCGATACATACTCGAACTGTCTTTCTGTCTTCTCCAAGTGAATTCCTAGCGACACACGTGTAATCATCTTCATCGTCTTTGGTCACAGAGATGACGCTGTAGGTCGCCTGTCCCAAATTCGGCCTTGCATTGTACGTTTGCCTGTAAAGTTTTTAATTTTTAAATTCTGTTTAGGGTTTATAAGGGCTTTGGGCTTACTCTGATCCTTTGGTGAGGAAGACGGAAGGCTCCGGGTATCCTTCAGCAGTACAGATGAGCTCAAACCTTTCACCGACGGACAGCCTGACAAAGCCGTCATGGTTCATCGTGACGACTGGTTTCCCCCTTAGAGACAGTACAACTGTACCTGTTGCCCTGCCAGCTTCGTTTTCCGCGATGCAGACGTACCTTCCAACATTGTGAGACGTCATGCCTTCAATTCTGTACAAAAGCAGTTTTAGTTTTTTAAGATTTTTTTTGTTGAGGTTTAGTTGTTACCTAAGCCGTCCGTTGTTATCGTGAAAGTTGGATGGTAGCTGTTCATTGTTCTCCCTGACCCAGTAGACTGAAGGTGTTGGGAAGCCTGTAGCTCTGCAGTCGACTTGATGGTACGACTGAGGGTTCAGCTCAACAAGACCGCTCGGCATGAGGGAAACCTCAGGCGGTATTGTGTGCTGTACCTGCACTACGGCGGTACCGGAGCTCTCTGATCCATAAAGATTCGCATTGCACACATATATTCCTGTGTCTGACCTTTCTGCATTCGGGACGTAAAGGGTACGGTTTCTGTTCAAGAACTTGACCCTGTGTTCGGGCAGCGAGCCGCCTGATTTCCTCCAGCTGAGGTATGCTGATCCATCACCGGTGCACTCGAGCCTGATGTCCTCGCCGACGTTGACAGTTAGGGTTTCTGGCCTGATGGCCACCCTTGGCACCGGGGCGTCAGTGATTGTTATGAACGCTCTGCCCTGACCGATCTTGTTGCCGGTCGAACGCCTGAATCCAGTACAGAAGTATATGCCCGAATCAGCTGGCGTCACGTCATACAGGGTCAACTGGGTGCTTGAGTAGTTAGAACTGGTCACCTGATTCGGTGCCAAAGGAACTCTGTCCCTCTTCCAAACTAGCTCGATAGAACCGTCATCATTGTTGCTAACCCTACACTGTATGATGATCGTGCTGCCCGAACCCGCAGTAACCTCCTCTGGTACTATATTGATTGAATTTGTATCATTGACCGCAAGACCTAAAACAATTCTCCTTAGCTCAAATCTATAAATCAAAGATGACCAATAATTACCTCTGACACGGACGAATATATGCTCACTGCTGACTCCACCATAGTTTCTAGCTACGCACTCGTATTTACCTTCGTCCTCTTTACGAGTATTGGGAATCCTGAGCAATCCGTCTGTGATCTCAACCTGAAAAATTGTCCATTTTAGGCCCATCTTGGATTACGATTTGAAAGACTTACCTCTGGGTTCATGGCGACTTGTCTGTCTGATGCGTCGTAACGCCTCCAGTCGATGCTTGCCTTCGAACCCCTTCTGGCAGTGCACTGCAGCTCTATAAGCTCATTCTCCATTACTTCGATGTAATCTGGCTCGATGCTGATCAGCGGTGGCAGTTCACCTCCAGGCCTCGGCACTGAAAAAACCAAAAAATTAACAAAAACACAAACAATTTCCACCTTCCACGATACCTGACTCAAACAATCTAGGATCCAGTCCTGCTTGTAACAATAACGTTTTCTTTACACATCTGTACTTACGTTCTTTCTTAGTCTTTTTTTTTTTTTTTAAGGTTACTGACCTACTGTGATGGTTATGGTAATGGTGTGCGATGACATGTTGTCGTGACCTGTACAGACATAGATCCCAGAATCGGATTCGTTCACATCCCAGATTTGTAAGCTGCCGTCATCTGCTTGTCTGTGACGACCGTGCGGAAGAGATCCACCGTCCTTGCTCCATTTGATCCTTACGTTACTCTACAACAATAGAAGATGGTAAACTGCAAGCATAGGAATGAATTTTCTTTCACCCACCTCTCTGGATGAGCCGGTACAGACAAGCGTGATCTGATCACCGACCTCGACCGTCTTGTTTGGAGGGTATTCAACGATGTTCAGCGTGATCTGCGGTTCTGGAGGTGGCACTGGTGGACGTCGGTCATCGACTGCAATACACACAGAATATTTTTACAAAAACATCAACATTAAAAAATTCACTGTTTTGTTAGTTGACACCACAAAATCACAATCCAGTTTGTACAACGATTAAAGCGAACTGAGATTTTTAAACCGGTTTCTTTGTGTGATCTTGTTGACCAGGAGTTAAATCAGCTCTAGTCATGGACCTCCCAGACCCTTTTGGCATTCAATAATATGGATGGTTGCATATCAGGTGTCACTCGTTGGGCTGGTTAGGTATGGGTCAAGGTGGTCACATATGATTGACATTTGATCGAGGTAGTATGAGAAGGTTTAGGCTCATTTAGAGTAGTATGAGATTGGTTAATGACAGTTTGGAGTATTTCAGGATCGCTAAGGGTGGGCAGACGTGGTATTACATGATTAAGGATGGGTTGGTGTGAGAAGATGATCGGGGTGGTTTGAGATAGTTAAGGTTGGTTCGCAGGTGTTAGTTGAGATTGGGTAGGAATGGTTTGAAACCGTTAAGGGTGGGTAAAAGTGATATGAGTTAGTGTTGGGTTGGGATAGTTCCAAGTATGTTAAGGTCGGGTAGAGGTGGTTTGAGAATGGTTAAGGTTGGTTTGTAGTGAGGTAAGATTGTCAAGGGTGGGTTGGGGCAGTTTTAGGTATTTAAGGTTGGGTTTGGATGGTTTGAGAAGGTTTAGGTTTGGTATGGTTCAAGAAAGTTTTGGTTGTGTTGGATAGCTTGAGATTAGTTAAGGTAGGATTGGATGGTTTAAGATTGTCATGGGTGGGTTGGGGTGGTTCGAGGTAATTTAAGATTGGGTAGAGGTGGTTTCAGAAAATTTCACCTGGGTTAGGTCAGTTTGAGATAGGCTAAGGTTCGTTTTGGGTAGATTAGAAGGTTTAGATAGGGTTGGAGTGGTTTGAGATAGATTAAGGGTTGGTGCGGTTAAAGTTTGTTTAAGGTTAGGTATGGGTGGTTTGTGAAGGTTAAGATGAGTTGGACTGATTCAAGATGGTTATTAGTGGGTTGGGGTGATTATAGATGCATGAGGTGAATGAGGAATTATAATTAAGGGTGATATCACACATGATAACGCCGTAATTTGAGTTATGATTTCATTGAGATGGTAAAAACAAATTGTAAATATCTACGTCTTTTATTAAAAAGTTGGTAGATCATTTTTGTTAGTTTGATGATTTTTATTTTGGCGTGCAATCGATTTTGTTATTTCAAACTTACAATTAAAAAGGGTGAGAAAAAGGGGACGTCGTGAGATGTGTCCACGTCACTGTGATTAGCCATAGAGAAATTCTGTACAAGTGGGACGATATTTTTTCCTTCCCTCCCAGATGAGTAGTGACGATGAAAAATGTTCGAGAGGTACAAAAATGAGTCGAGAGGGCAATCAAAAAAGTATAACGACAGCCATGTACTTTGAACAAAGCGACATTCTCTGCCAAGTGACACACACAAGCACAACATAAATATGTACAGCTCTCATCTGTTTCTTCTTATATTTATGATGAAAGGTTGTTCCTCTGTGAATATAGATGAGAAATACAAACAGTTGCATACCAGATATCGATGAATGTGTGGATATAGTATGGAAAGGAGGCAAGGATGGTTAGCAATGGTTAAGGCAGAGTAGAGGTAATTAACGTTAAAGTTGGGTTGGGGTGTTCAAGGTAAGTTAAATTAGGGTAGAGGTAGTTAAGGATAGTCAAGGGTGGGTAGAGGTGGTTAAGGTTTGATTGCAATGGCTAGTTAAAGACAGGTAGGGGTGGTTAGAGAAGTTTAAGGTGAGGAAGAGTTAGTAAAGAGTGGTTAGTTAAGGGTGGGTAGGGGTGATTAGAGATGGTTAAGGTTGGCTGGAGTTGGTTTGAGATAGTTCAGGTTAGGTTGTGATGATTAGTTAAGGGTTGTTGGAGATAGTGTTGGGTTGGGTAGTTTCAGATTGTCAAGGATGGGAAAGAGATTAGGTAGAAGTGGTTTGGATAAAGGCTAGGTTGGTGTGGTTCGAGATAAGTAAAGGTGGTTATTTTAGGCTTGCGAATGTTAAGGTTGGGGTGCAATGGTTAGTGAATGGTGATTATGGCTGCATAACTCATCAAATATTGACTTTATAGGCATTTTTGTACAATTGGTCATGGACTGACAGGCTCTTTCAACCATTTTTACACACGTCATGTCCATTCGTGAATTATTTACAACACCAATTTAAAATGGGCTGGTTTTCAGTTTTGATGCTGGGGTGATTTTATTTACAACACTGACTTGGAGAAAAAGCGAGAACAAGAACAAAAACAGGGGACTTCGGTCGGAATGAAAACCGGCAAACCTGCGGTGACGTAAGATCTGGCGTTTGCGATAGCTTTGTGATTTTTGTTGAATAGAGTGCAGGCGATCTCGCTCAGCCTCCTTGTGACCGTGACGGTCAACGACTTGCGCCCTTCGGTTGTCAATTCCCTGAGCTGGTGCGGCCCTGACCTCGAATATCCGTCATACGTGCCGTTGACGTACACCTCGTTTAACACAGGGTAGACACTGAGCGTGCCGGTGAACTCGCAATGGAACGTAACACGGGTGCCGATCGGCTCAACAATGAAACCGGCCGGCGACAATGAAAGGCTTACTGTGCTCGATACTGAAATATTGTCTTACTCAAAAAAAAACAAAAAAAAAAAAAAAACAGAAAAAATAGACCCTCCCAAAATAATAATTATAATGATAGGAAGATAAAGAATGTACCTCTTGTCTCGCAAGTTGGACCGGTCCATTCATCAGGGCAATTGCATACAAACTGATAGTTGGAGCGGATCTGACATTGTCCTCCGTTCTGGCACAGGCAGGGTTGACATCTATGGTAGTTATCCTTGTAATAACCATCGATGCATTTCTAAGGGGGAAAAAAATATAAAAAAAGTTAAAGCAAGAAACGTTTTGAAAGAAAACGTTTCCAAGTTTCAACCTGGCATGATGTGCCTTCGTGGCCAGGAGGGCATCTGCAGACTTCAACCTCCAAGGCAGGTCGTCCGCCGGATCTTTCTGCCCTTTCCAAAGTGACGTCACTTATGTAAGAGTATTCCGTGGTTGGGCCGACAACCGCTTGGACGAGGATGGCCTCCACACTGGAGAGTATCTGGAGCATTTGGTGCTTGGAGACCGGCTTGACTCCGGAGCGTGGGTTGAGCATCATAAAGTCCCGTTCGACCAGCTTGACTGAAACTGACTTCCTTTCATCCGGGTACAGCTCCAAGTCAAGGTTTTTGAATACTGTGACTCCGTTTCCTGTAAGCATGACAGCCCTGTCACCATGATGAACTGACTCGTAGCTTGTTCTGTCCGTGAAGCTCAGGGTGAAGGTCAACTCCCCTCCGTACGACAGTACCTGATACAGATAGATTATCAGACGAGCATTCACATTAGGAAATGTATATGAAATACCTGATCGCCTGTGACATCTGAAGGAAGAGACCAGTATCTTTTATCATGCGGGTCTGAGACTTTGAATCCGACCTCACTCTTGTGAAAATTGTGTACTAGTTCCTCACCACTCCTGCCACCGCGTCTGTAATGACCCGATGGTGGGTGTCAAACTGTGGTCTAGGTTTGATATAGTTAAGATTGGGTTGGGGAGATTTCATGTGGTTCAGAGTGAAGTGAGATGGTTCGATGTGGTTAAGGTTGTGTTGGAGTGGATTGAAACAGTTAAGGGTGGGTAGAAGAGGCTTCATATTATTAAGAGCGAGATGAGGTGGTTAAGGTTGGGTTGGGTTGGTTAGTTAAGTGTGGGTAGGGGTGGTTAAGTTTTGTAACATATAGGGGTGAGGTACTTACCCGTCGGTGAGTGTAAAGCCGTGATCAGCGCTCAATATCGTTATAGGAATTGGCAAGTAACTGTAGCCGGAGCTTCTGCAGTCTGAGGTCTGCCCAAAGCAGTAGCACTCCAGGCAACCATATTCGTTATGCTCTGAGAGTCCATACGTTCCGTTCTTGCATTCATTGCACTGACTTCCGACTACATTCGTTTTGCACATGCAGCGACCGTCGACGCAGTCGGACAGTACACTTCCTCTCGGGTCGCAGCTGCAAACATCCGGGTAATCCCTGACGCACCTGCCTTGTTCCATCCTGTATCCCCTGGCGCAGTTTTCGCACCTTGGGCCATCTCTGTTGTCTCTACAGCCCTGTAAACATTAAAAAAACAAAAAACAGTCCAACTCGTTCATCCTTCTAAATGTATAATCAACATACCAGACATTCCCCTGTTTCGGGGTTGCAGTCGTCAGAGTAGCCATTGCACTTGCACAGTTCGCAAACGCCGAGATAGACGCCTTCCTCCGATCTGGTGAACCCGGGTGCGCAGTCCTCACAGGATGTGCCAACGTAACCTTCGGGACAGACGCACTGTTCGACTCCCTGGACTGTCTCCCGTCCTGTGTTCCTGCTTGTCGCTGTGCTCATCGATATGGACAACAGACTGAAATCAAAACATACAATTCATGATTTAACGACCTGATGGACCCATAAATTTGTGTGGAGGTTAGGATAGATTAAGGCTGGTCAAGATGGCAACACACCAGATAACATGATTTGGACGAAAATGATTTAGTTGTAGATGGTTAAACTCCTGATACAACGATGTCTGGTTGGAAATGGTTCCAAGCCAGATACCACAATGGTCGGGATAAGGATGAATTGGTTAGGGATGGTCACAGACAAACTAAGTTGGAGCTGCCCACTCACCGGATACCATGATAATTTTAGATTAGGGTGGTTAGAAATGGTCACACCAGCTACCATGATAGTTTATATTACAATAAAGATAGTTGAAGATGGTTTTGTCAGAGTAGGTGACATGACTGAAACCACAATTGTTTTAGATGAAAATTGTTTGGTTAGAGATGGTTACATGCCAGTTAGCATGATAATCTGGGAAAAGGTTGGTTTGGTTAGACATGGCTCCACCACAGATACCAAAATGTTCTGGATTATGTTTGGTTTGGTTAGAGATGTGCCAGATTCCACAATTGTTTTGGATGGAAATGGTTTTGTCAGAGATACTACCACGCCAGATATCACGATGGTTTGGTCAGATATGGCTAAACTCCTGCTACATTGATGGTCAGGGTTATGGTTGGTTTAATTCGTAACATTCCAGATATCATGATAATTTTGGATAGAGATATTTTGAGAGGTTGTTACACACCACATATCATGATAATTTTGGGATAGAGATAGTTTTAGAGATAAGTACGTTGGTAAAAACTTACGCAGCTCTCAAAGTATGTGTTGTATAGGTCGCCTTAATGTAAATTGACTGTATGTCTGACAAGGCCATGAGGAAAGTCTCCCTGTTCACCTCGCCACCGTCATCCCTCTGCCAGGCACTCTCCTCTAGCGGTATGGTGACCGTCACTTCTGTGCTGTGGTTGAATCGTTGAGGTGAATAGTGGTACAGCTTGATCTTGTTTGCCTGTTGAATGGAGGTGGTTATACGTTTTTATTTTATTTTTTAATGTTTAATGTAAACTTACGCTGTTTAGTAAGACGTCAGCAGCGTTGTTCTTCGAGCTCTGACCTCCTGGAATGGGCGTGTAGCTGATCTTGTATGACAGCTTGCCATTGTATGAGGTCACTTTGTTGTTCAGGAATATAGATGGAAGGACCCAGTAGTAAATCTATGAAAAAAACGTGTTTTAGGTTACAAATGAAACTGTTTTAAGTTGTAACCTTGAGCGTACTTCTTGGTTGAAACGGTCGAAGACGAGCTGTCCGTGTTCCAATGTCGGGTCAACCATCTCTGTCGGGTTATCAACAGAGGCGAGCTTGAATCCGTAATCGCTTCCCATGAAGTTGAAGTAGATCTGAGAAAAGACAAACAATGAACCATGTTTGACAGGTACCTAAATCCAATATTACCTCATCCTTGTAAAGGTTTGATGCATGGCATTCTTTACTGATGCCCATGCAGAAGCACATCGTGCATCCGGTCGGGTTTGAAGGTGAAAGATGGAATGAGTTCGCCTGGCATTGGTCACAGCGAGAACCAGTAACAAAATCCTTAAAAAAACACGATATTAAACACATCCACTTCCTAAAAAAGCTACACTTTCTTCTAAACTCTTTTTATTTTATGCTTACCATAAATGAAAGAAAGCATGAACAACATGATTCGTTAGTTTTTAGTTTAAAACAAAATTTAGGGACTTTGTTGAAGTACGGTTTGTAGGTTTGCTACGATTTAGGTACTAACCTTGCAGTGGCATTTGCCTGAGTACGGGTCGGGGGTGGTGCTGAGCGAACCAGCCGGGTCACATTGATCTTCTGAAAACAACAGACACGATAACGCCATATAATGAGATAGTTTGGCCATGGTTAAGGTTGCTGAGAGGTGGTTGTGAGTTGGCAGAGGGGGTCATCAGTTGGCACGATAGTACTGGTATGAGATGGCTAAGGATGGGTGTGATATCATGAGTTTTGGATATTACTTTTGGGGAACTTGGATGAGGTGTGGAGGTAAATGATAGTCATATACCTGATGTTATCACCATTAGGTTTGTGGTGGATATAGATGGTTGCATACCATATATCACTATGGTTAGGGTTGGGGGTAGGTAGAGATGGTTTAGGATGATCCTACAGCTGATATCTCTATAATTAGGAATAAGGTTGGACAGAGATGTTTATATGCCGGATATTACTGTGGTTCAGTGTAAAGATGGAGAGTGAGGGTTACAGATGTGATATCATCAGGGCTTGAGTAAGATGGATAGAGATGGTTAAGGTTGGTAGGTCAAGACGGATATTGTGAGGTTTTTTGTATTGTCATGGATCATTTGAGATAGTTAATGATGGATGGAGATGGTTAAGTGTAGGTGTTGGTTAGGGTTGGTTGTATGTAAGACATCTCGTAAACTTGAGATGTGGATTTTGGGGATGGTTAGTCTCCTGATATCATGACAGTTTGTGTATGATTAAGTACAGATGGAGATGGTAAAGTTTAGGAAGTGAGAGATGGCTTTCTCACCTTTTCGGCAGTAGCTTCCAGACACGAGTGGATTTCCAGTGTAGCCGTAATCGCAGCGTTCGCACCTCCTGCCGACATAACCTTCTAGGCAGTCGCAGGTCACCTTGTCATCTGAGTCAAGCCTGCATGTTGCTCCAAACCTTGGACAATCGATAATTTATTTATGTGCTTTTTTTAAAATTTTATTTTGAAAACCCTTACTGGTTTGAACTGTGGGTCAGAGGGCAAGGACAAGGCTGGCATGGTATGTGACGATCTGGCGCGCCGTATGTCCCTGGTGGGCAAGACTGGGTCGTGCATATTCCGAGATAGTTGCCCAGTACTCTTCTAAAGCCTGCAGAGCATTTCTGAAGAGAAAAAAAAGTGGTTGAATGTTCGATTTAGGTTGGTTGGGTTTTGGGTTTACCTCACAAGACTGGCCCTGGTAGCCATGTGGGCAGCTGCACTTCTCGACGAATGCAGCTTTTCCGAGTCCGTTGTTTCGGTTTCCGGCCGAGTCCATGTGGACGTTGGTCAGTGATGTTGTTATATCAGGGCCTTCGAAGTACTGTAGCCTGATAAGAACGTTTTCCACGTTTTCCAATACCATCATTATATCTGCCCGGCTTGCCCTTTTAGGATAACCATTTGCTTCGACGACGTTCCACTCATTCTCAAATATCCTCACTGACACATCCTGTTCAATCTGGTTTGAAGCAGAGGTCAAAAACGACAGAGACAGGAGCAGTTTTCCATTTCCCTAGAAAAAGTGTAGGTTAAGCGTGGTTAACGTTATAGTAATTTGACTTACTTGTATGATGACATCGGGTATGTCGAGGAGAGGCTTCCAATTCGAGTTGTGTGACGTGGTCAACCGGTACTTGATGTATCCACCGTACGAGTTGAGCTGGTTGGAATGGTGTGAATCCGGAAGTGCGAAGTACTGGTACACGCCCTCACTGTCACGGCCACTGTCCGGCGCCGAGATGAACAGACCTTCGAAGTATGGCTTGATGTACTGCTGCACGGAAGACCCTTCGAGCAAGTTGATCTCGTATGCCTCGCCGACCTTCTTCACGGGTACAACTCTATTGTAGAACCTGGGCGAGGTGAGGTGGGACACATAGAGGTTGGCACTGGTGCATTCGGTCGCCTGGCCAAAGCAGAAACAGCTAATACATTCTTCCTGCCTTGTAGCTAAGTCGTTGAATGTGCCTCTTTGACATGTGAATTTCTTCCTTGGTACTACAACAACCCTTGCGTCTATCGGGTACAAGACGAATAGCTTCTGAAGTGCTTCGCATGAATATGACCCTTGATCTTCTTCCTGTAGGTTATAAAAGAAAACTTAAAAAAAACCACCCAAGCTTTCCTCCAAATGTCATTACCCTCATGTCCGGGCAGGTCAGAGTTCCGTGACCATCGACGGATGTCTCCCGGCATTTGGAAGGTACGGCGTTCCAGTTAAAACGCCAAGATATGTATGGTGTTGGTACACCTGTCGCAGTGCAATGGAGCACTAGGGTATCCCCCTCGGGAACAGACACGGAACCGGGCAACTTCGGATCGACAAAAGTAGACAGGTCTGAGGACAAAATAAGCCTTTAAACCAACCAAATATGGATAAAACTCCACCATACTTACAGCATCCATACTCATCGCTGCCATCTTTGCAGTCAGGTCTCTGATCGCATCTGAATGCGGACGGTATGCACAAACCGTTCGGACATGTGAACTCAGTCGAGTAGCACGTACCTGAAATTAAAAACCCCTTGAAAAAAAAATGTCATCAACCTAACCTCAAAAAGCCAGAATAAGAAGGTTCATAAAGAAAAAAACTTGTTTCCTTTTAAATCACATCCTATATCAGCACAGATGATCATATATCATTGACAAAATATTAAAAAATTGACCAAAAACCAACCTCAAAGAAAATCATCATAACCTGTTAAGGTGTAAAGTTCAAATAGAGCCAAGAAATTTGAAGTTTCGTTAGGATGGTCAGGTTGTCATAACTCTAGACCTGATGCTTTTTAAAACTTAATAAATTGATAACTTAGATTGTGTAAGTACGGTTAGGTCCGGTTAATCCTAGGTTGCGGTCCAACATACAAACTTTAACTCTTTTAGGTCAAATTTGGATTTAAAGAAACCTAACCTGTACAAACACCCGGTGTTACTTGAATTCTCAGATATTGCGAGTCAATTTTGTTGCTATTGACATCATTATTGATCAAGAGAATCATTTTGAGTTGTTTATTTCATTTCCTGAATGATTTAGGAGTTAAATGAGCCAGAGAGGTCAAAATGAGTTAGAATAGTTGTCTTACACCAGACCTGATGCTTTTTAGGACTTAATAAGTTTATCACTTAGATTGTTTAATTACCATTAGGCCCGCTTGGTCCAAGATTGCAGTCCCTTTCATCTGAACCATCCAGACAGTCCGTCTGCCCATCACAAAACCAGTTCTTCATGATGCACTGGGACGTGCTGCCGCATTCCCTCTCGTTTGGCTGGCACACATGTCCGTCTGTCAGAGGATTAAAAAAAAAAAAAAATCAGCCACCCTGTCAATATGGTCAAATACCACATTTTTCCTGTTTTGGGGTTAGTAAGTTAGTTTTTGAAAGTCACAGCACGGCCTTACGTGAACATCTGTACTCGTCGCTACCGTCCAAACAATTGGGTCTACCATCGCAGATTTGGCTCTTTTTAATGCATTGCCGGTTTTTACATGGTGCCTCGTCTAATTTGCAGTATGGCAAAGGTGGCATAGTGGGCGCTACATCTGTAAAAAAAAGTTGTATTCAGAAAAAAGGTCAAAGGCAAAGTTGAAACACTTCAAAACAAAAAGAAGAAAAGATCACAGCAATAAAAGTGCTCATTGAAAAACAGCAAGGAGAAAAATAAAGAAAAGGATCTGCTTTTCATTAAAAAAAAAAGAAAAAAAAAAAAGTGCGTCTCAGCCTACAAGAACATGCTTCTCTTATACATACATTGTTCATTCTTGCCTACTCACCATTTGTCTTTGTTTTCTCGGATTTGTTTGTAAAGGGGGTAAAAATGTGTACACGTTATTAAAAAATCTGTCTGTGTGTTTGTATTATATTTTGAAGAAAAAAAATCCACCTGATCCGAAAATGTCGATCTCTTTCTCAGTGAGGACGCCGTACTTCCAGGCGAACGGGGAGTGGATCAAATCCGTGAAGTTGGCTGCTTGCAAATACCAAGGGTAAATGTACAATGTTTTGGGTAAAGGTGTGTGGATATAGCGAGGGTCTAGGATTGGGGAGGGGGTAGTTTGGGTATGGTTAAGGATGGGCAGGGATGGCCGTACAACAGATAACTCATAGATGGAGATGGTCATATGCCGTATATCACCATGGTTTAGGATACAGGTACCAGGGTAGATGAATGAGGATGGATATACACCAATATCATTATACTAGATATAGAGTTAGATAGAGACTGTTAAGTACAGTCGACTGATAACACCATATATTGGGGGTAAGATAGATACAGATGGTAAAGTACGGTCTACATCGATGACATGGTCTAATGGTCTAGCGTAAGATGGTTAAAGACAGGAACACACCGTGTACAATTATAGGAAGGGGTAGAGTTGAATAGAGATGGTTAAGGATGGTACACATATGAAATCACTATACTTAGAGATAGGGTTGAATTGAGATGGTTATGATGGTTACCACACAATTTACTATAGAAGTAAGGATATGGTCGGAGAGAGATGGCTCAAGCCATACATCTCTACACTTACGGATAGGCGGGATAGAGATGATTAACGATGGTTACACACCTGTTAGCACTATGGATTAGGGAATGGATGGATAAATCAGGTTAAGTATGATTATACATCTGGTAACTATAAGAGTTGGGAATGGATGGAAAAATAAGGTTAAGGATGATTATACATCTGATATCACCATGGATTAGCGAATGGATGGATAAATATAGTTAAGGACAGTAACACACCTGATGTCAACATGGATTAGAGAATGGATGGATAAATAAGATTAAGGATGGTTACACATCTGATAACACAATGGATTAGGGAATTTATGGATAGAGATGATTAAGGATGGTCATACACCTAATAGCCCCTAGGTTCATATGAATGTTACCTAGTAATACATGTTACCCACCATATAATACTATGATAAGATTTTTATTTAGTTTTAAACGTTTTTTATTACAAAGACACAGTTATACAACAGGTGACACTCATCAGGAACACATCCAATAGACAATAGAACGACTAACTTAAAAATGCACAAAGGCGTGCAGTGTTGCCAATCCGCTTTCATCATATTGTGACAACAGAATTTACTTAACACTCCTTCCAATTATGTTGTCACTTTGATGACGAAACAAATGGATGACAACCCGCTTAATTAAACATTTAATATATTTCAATATAAATTTTGATCATATAAAAGGTAAACAATACAAAGGATAAGTTTTGGTTACTATTATTTAAAATTTATTTAACATTGATCAATAAGGATTTGTAATTAGTCACCCAGTTTTCACATTTATTCTTTTAAGTTTAGCTGTTCCCTTAGCTTCTCGAATCTTGATTTAGGGAAGACCTTTGTAAAGATGTCAGCTAACTGCTCTTCAGATTTTACATATTTTAAGAATACTGATCCATCATTATATTTCTCACGAATGAAATGGTAACAAACATCAATGTGCTTTGTATGCTTGTGAAACACAGGGTTTTTGATCAACTTGATAGCACTTTGATTGTCAACAAAGAGATCAATGCCTTTTGCACACATTTTATTTTCACTAACATCTTGAAGAAGTTGGCTTAACCATAATAGTTCCTTAACTGCAGTTGACGATGCGATGTACTCAGCCTCTGTTGTAGATGTAGAGACAGCTGACTGTTTTTGACTGCACCAAGTTACTGGACCATTGCTGAGTTTGAATACATAACCAGTGGTTGACTTTCTTGTGTCAATGTCACTAGCAAAATCAGCATCAGAGTAGCCAACAAGCTTGCAGGGATGATTATTTACTGGAGAGTATCCAATCCCATAGGCTGCTGTACCTTTCACTTATCGAAAAATACGTTTCTCAGCATTCTAATGTATTTGACCTGGATTGGCTTGAAATCTGCTAACCATGTTTACTGCAAATGCTATGTCTGGACGCGTGGTGGTAGGAACATTAAGGATCCAACAGCTTCTCTGTAAGGAATTGTTTTTCCTTCTGGCAATGGATTTGATTCCAAAGATAGTTTTGTACCAGGATCTGCGGGTATGGTGTTTGGGCTTGCATCTTCTAAATGAAATCTTCTGAGAATGCGTTGTATGTAGCCTTTTGAATGCAAGAAAATCGAACTGTCTGGTCTATGGTTAATTTCCATTCCAATAAAGTATCCTGTTTCACAGATGTTTGCTTCGAACTTCTTTCTTAGATTATCTACCACTTCAACTAATATTTTCTTTTCATCACAAAATAATAAAGCATCGTCTACATATAAAATTAAAAGTACCTTCTTCCCTTGAAAAGTTCCATTAAAAAGCATGAATCAGCAGTACTTTGCTTGAAACCGAAACTTGTTAGAAATGCAGAAAAGGTTTTGTTCCAGCATCTAGATGCCTGTTTCAATCCATAAAAAGCCTTTTTAAGTTGACACACCTGGCCATTGAATTTATTAATCGCAGAAACATCGACAATAGCCTTGCTGTAGGTTAGACTTTGCGCTTGTCACGTGGCTTTCAAAATCTTTTCGAACGTAAAACAAATTTACTCACGTTTAAAACTATTACGCGTGTAGTCTGGGGCCCATAACCTGATAAGATTTTTATTTAGTTTTAAACGTTTTTTATTACAAAGACACAGTTACACAACAGGTGACACACACCAAGAACACATCCAATAGACAATAGAACGACTAACTTAAAAATGCACAAAGGCGTGCAGTGTTGCCAATCCGCTTTCATCATATTGTGACAACAGAATTTACTTAACATACTATGCTTAGGAATAGGGTTGGATAGAGATGGTAATTCACTAGATATCACGTCAGTTTGGGTAAAGCTGAAGATGCAGCATATGTTGATAGGTGTGGGCAGGACAGCCATACACAAGATAACACCAATTTGTGTTATAGGGATGGATAGAGATGGTCATATATGGGGTAGTACCATGGTTTAGGTATAGATACTGTATATTGGGGGAGGTAATATTTGGTGTAGAAGGACCTCTTGAAATATCTTTTAGAAAGTATAAATATACTTACACGGGGTGACACGAAGGAAAGCGTTCTTCCTCGCTCCAGGGGTGTGCGGTGGGACATCGTACGCCTCGCACGTGTAAATTCCAGCATCGCCGGGCTATTAAAAATTGAATAAAAATATCGTTTAATCTTTTTGAAATAGGAAAAGTGCGAAGGGGTGATGGGCATACCTGAACGTTCGGTATTTCAAGACGGTGGCCGTGGAGTCGAGCATCCTTGGGCATCTCTTTTCCATTGCCACGTACCCAGTGGACCTTTTGCCTTCCGAGACCTACATCCCTGCATTGGAAGACGACCTCCTCACCTAAAAATTTGAACAATTATTATTTGAAGGGTTTCAAATAAGAAGACGATCTTTTGAACAATTTACTCTGTTTTAAAGACAGCTCCTTCGGTTCTATCATCAACTGGACTTGAGGTGTTCCAGCTAAAAATTGAAAGGTATTTTAGTACGGTTGAACAATTTTAGTTTTAGTTTAGGGTTGTATACCGCAGTTCTCCTCATCGGACCTGTCGTGACAATCATAGAACTTGTTGCAGATAAATCTGGTCGGTACACATTGGTCGCCGGAACTGCAGGCGAACTCATCCTGTCTGCAGTTGTTCACCGAACCTGGATAACAAAATTGGTTAAAAACAGATATGATGAAATGATATGACAGGGAGTAAAATAATGGGGGGATATGGAGAAAAGTGGGATAGGAGAGGTGAAAGTCGCCCGGTGTCTCACCGCATTCGAGCTCATCGGAGCCGTCCTGGCAGTTGTCACTTCCATCGCAGACGACCGACTGACTGACGCATTCATTTCCGCTATGACATGTAAACGAGTTGTCGGGACAGTCGAAAAGTTTCGGCCTGGGGGTGGTGGCTAAGTAAATAAAATAAAATAAAATAAAATAAAAATAATCGAAAACAAACAAAACATAAACAAAAACAAATAGAAAAATAAAGAGTAAAAAAAGTAAAAGATTTAGGTTAACCTAGTAGGATTTGAGGTTAGGCTGGGTAACCTCAAAGTTTCATGTTCCCCGAAAAGGGTTTTTATTTGATAACCAACATCATCATTGGTTTGTTCTTTTAAAAAGGTCAAAAGAAAAACATAAATAACTTTAATCATAATAATAACTAAAAACCCAGCCTGATTTTTGGTTGAGAAGAGGACAGAGTCTTCGGCGTCTTTTCTACTTTGACCAGGGCTTAAATTAAGTATTGACTAAATACTTGTGCTTAATTTAGCTAAAATGATAAACAAGCATAAGCCAGATACCTAAAATTACAACAATGATCAATTGGTGAATCTAACCTGGTCCAAACTAGGAAGGTTGGTTTGGTAACTGTTTTCGATCATGACCTAAATTAAATACCACTTATAAACAGCTACATTGATGACATAGTAAACAGGATGGCTACCATTACAAAAAAACCAATACAATGCGTCTAACCTTACCGGTTTTAGGTTAGTTTCTCTATCTTCACTGCCTTAACTTGACCAGTATCAAAGCAAAAAAAAAAAAAAAAATTTTGACTCACGGCAGTCATACTCGTCCGAGTTGTCGCCGCAGTCATCATTCCTGTTGCACCTCATGTAGTATGGTATGCACACCTCGTTGTTGCACCTGAACTCCGTCGATTTGCACTCAACTGCAACCACAGGGTCAAATTTAGACAGAAGAATTAAAAAACAACGAAAAAAATATGAAGAAGAAAAGAAAAAATGGAAACAAAAGACTTGAGGATGTCCTCAACATACCTGAAAGTCCTGTGCAATATAAAAACTGTGCCAAAAATTTTTTTTGGTTTAAAAAACCACAAAAACTGTACAATGTGCTTTTTTGGTCAAAGATCTACAACTATAATCATCTAGTTTTCTTTTTTTTTCAGGACATAAACAAAGCTCTATTCTTCTCTTTCATATATCAAAATCTAACGTTTCCTTAATATCTTATTCACAAATCTACTATGTCTAGGTCAGAAAATACTTCTATTTCTATGTTTTTCAATGACCTTGAGCCAAAAAACAAAAACCTAAAAAAAACAAAAACAAAAAAAACAACTACTCTCATGCTCTCGATGCTCTCTCCGTTCTTCCACCTTCAGCAGAAAGACATGTTAGTATTGTTAATAAAGTGGAAGAAAGGAGAGGTTTCGATATTTTTTTCTTTTCTTCACAAGCTACTCACTGCAGCCGATTTCATCGCTAGAGTCTCGACAGTCGGCTGTGCCATCGCATCGTCTGCTCTTGCGGATGCACAACTGATCCTCTTGGCACTGAAAGTCATCCGGTCGGCAAATTGCTACAAGAAAGACGGCGTTGGCTTATTTTCCTTTGTCCTTCGGCTAGGCGGTTTCCGAAGTCCGAGTGGGAAATGTCAAGGGTGAGTACCAAGGGTGAAGCACTCAAGAGATTTCTAAGTTGGGTCTTGGATTTAGCCAAGCTCCTGTGATTGCGTACAACTAGTATGATACAATACCACACTATAGTCTACACACATACAATAGTTTACACTAGCAAACCTAGTCAGCTTGTATGCCAAACTGAACCAAGATGCAAGTTGATGCTCCCTCAGCATTTCTAAGTTAAACAGAGCACTACACGTGCAGCCAGCTAAAATGGTAAACTTGCATAATCAGTATATCTACAGGTACAAAAATGAGCAATTTGGTAATTCTAACATGGTCTGGTTTTAGATTTGGAAAGCTGCGCTTTCATTGCCACATTATAACTTGACTAGGACTTCTAAGCTAAGTACCTTGGCTTATACATAGCTAGAAAGGAGAACTAGAATGAGCTGACCATCATTACAAAAATGAGAATATAGTAGGTCAAACACAGGTTTTGGTTATAGGTTAGAAAGGTTGCGCTTTCTTTGCTACCCTTTCTAACTTGACCAGGGCTTAGATTAAGTATTGGATAAGCATCTGCACTCATATAATGCTAGAATGGCCAACTGAAATAAGCAGGTTGGGTACCATTACTAAAATAACCTAAATCAGTGTGTCTAACCTAGGTTTTATGCTAGGTAGGAAGGCAGCACTTTTTTTGTCATTTTTTCTCACTTGACCAGGGCTTAAATTAAGTATTTGCTAAGCATCTGAGCTAGATTGGTATATTACCATCCTCGAGCTGGTCATAATTACAAAATAACTAATATAGTGAGTCAATTCTAGTCTGGTTTAAGGATAGGAAGGTATCTCTTTGTTTTCCACCTTTTCTAATTTAAGCAGAGCTTAAATTAACTATTGGCTAAGTACCTATGTTTATGTGATAATGATAAAATAGTGTAGGTAGGCTAAAAACTTCATCAAAGATGCATACCAAACCAAACAAAGATGGTAGTTGATTCTTTCAATTTCTAGGTTAAAGGGAGGTCAATTTGGATAAGTACTAGTGATTAATAATAAACTAGTGTGACCAAACAAGCTACAATTTCAAAAATGAGTAATACTGTGGATTAAACCTAGTCAGGTTTTAGGTTAGGAAAGTTACACTTTTCTCGCCACTTTTTCTATCTCAACTACAGCTTAAATTAAGTAATTGCTTAGACCTTTGCTCATATAGGGCTAGAAAAGTCTGCTGTAAAAGGCAGGCTGGCTACCATTGAAAAACTAGCGAATACAGTGTGTCTAACCTAGTCTGGTTTTAGGTTAGGAAAGTTACACTTTTGTCGCCACTTTCTATAACTTGAAAGGGCTTAAATTATGTATTGGTTAAGTACCTCTGCTTAATCCAGCTAAAATTAAAAAACAAACATAAGCAGGATTGTTACTATTACAAAATAAGTAATAAAATATGTTAAACCCATTCTGGTTTTAGGTTAGGAAGGTTACACTGAGTATACCGCATTTCTAACTTGGCCAGGGCATAAATTAAGAACAAGCTAAGTACCTCCTTATTTACAATGGTAAGGTGACTATGAGTTGTAGGCTGACTTGTACAGAATATAACCTAAGTTTAACATGTTTTAGGTTAGACATGCTTATAACTTGTGGTTTCAGGTCATCCTTGACCCCTTTAGAGTTACGTCCCCCAAATGCCCTGACACCGTCCACCCAGGGTTTAAATCGGAAAACCGCCCAGCCCCTCGAACGTACTGGATCCTCTTCCAGACCCCTGTCCGTTGTAAGGAGAGTCTAGGTGCCAACGCCAGATACATACCTGGGCAGTCCTCCTCGTCGCTCTTGTCCACGCAATCCGTCACGTTATCGCACACATACTCCTTGACGATGCAGCCTCCATTCCTACACCTGAATTCGGTGGAAAAGCATTCTGTGTTCTCTGGGAAAGCAGTAACAATACGGTCAAAGCAATGAAGCATTACTCACACATATCTGTACAAAAACACTTTCTTATTTCTCTCCCTTTCCCCCCCAGCCCAACTTTATAATAGATTAATTTATGTTAATTCATGTTAGTTTTTAGATTGAAAGTTCCAGTATAGAAAAAGCAGTCTACTGTATGTACAATTCTCCGAGTAGCGAAGCCATGTTAAGCTTCTAAGCTACCCTACTTTTGACTTTTTTCTTTTCCGGTTTCGGATTAGAAAAATTTAAGTCCCGGGGGGCTTTGGACAGGGGACTTACCGCAGTTGGCCTCGTCCTCGCCGTTGCTGCAGTCCGGGACCTTGTCGCACGCCCTGTAGGAGGGGATGCACTGTCCGTCGGGGCATCTGAACTGGTCTTTCGTGCACGCTGAAAAAAGGAAGAAAACTGTTTTTGCCAAGACTGAACAAAGTACAAATTTTCTTTCTATCCCGTTGGAATCCATGCGAACGAGCCATTGGGTTATTAAAATATCCCAGGTCTTTACCTTTGCAGTTCCTCTCGTCCGAGTCGTCCTCACAGTCGGATATCCTATCGCATACCTTCTTTCTGTGGAGGCAAACCCCGGTCGAAACACAGCGAAAATGACCGTCACAATTCCTACCAACTGTCAAGAAAGAGTTTCATGAGAACTGAACAGAATGAGACAGGGGACGGACACAGAAGAGAGTAAAAGAGTAAAGTCGAACGGCACAGTAGAATTTAGAAACGTGAAGTCGTCATGTTCAGTTTTTAATTTTTTGTCTTTTATTTTTCTCCAAAAACAAACTTACAGCAGTACTTTTCGTCCGTCATGTCTGTGCAATCAAGATCGCCGTTGCAGTAATATTCCCAATCGATGCACATTTTCTGACTTCCAACGACACATTGAAACTTTTGCGGGCATTCTAAAAAGGTTTGAAAATTTGTTGATTTGATTTAGAAAAGAAAAGAAAAAAAACTATTATAATAGCGTTCCAGCATCCCAGACGGCTTACCTTATATCCGTCTCATCCTAACATGACTCAAAAATAATCCCCCTCCGGTAAATTTCTGAGCTTACTTATGGCAGTAACCGAGTTCAAAAGAAAAAATAAGGGTTTGAAGAAGTGCAAAAGAACTGTCCAAGAGGTGACGAACCGGTGCGAAGAGATTTCATGAGTAAGTTTTGAAGAATGGCCCAAGAAGAACTGAATCGGTGCAACGGAATGAATCACGGAGAATTGAGTCGGTGCAAAAGAATCCGTCAGGGAGTTTTGAACTGGTGCAAAAGAATGGCTCGATAAGAATTGAATCGGTGCAAAAGAATGGCTCATGGAGAAGTGAGTCGGTGCAAAAGAATCCGTCGGAGAGTTTTGAATCAGTGCAAAAGAATAGCTCAATGAGAATTGAGTCGGTGCAACAGAATCCGTCAGGGAGTTTTGAACTGGTGCAAAAGAACGGCTCAAGAAGTATAGAAACGGTGAAAAAAAAAAAAAAAATGGCTAACGGAGAAGTAAGTCGGTCCAAAAGAATCCGTCGGGGAGTTTTGAAGTGGTGCAAAAGAATGGCTCAAAGAGAGGTGAAACGGTTTGAATTGTTTCAAAAGAATTCGGCGTGGAGTTTTGAACTGGTGCAAAAGAATGGCTCGATGAGAAGTGAAACGGTTTGAATCCGTGCAAAAGTATCCTCAGGGAGTTTTGAACCAGTGCAACAGAATCGTTCAAGGAGAAATGAATCATTGTAAAAGACTCGTTCAAAGAGACCTGAACCAGTAGAAAAGAACCATTTCTCTCATCCCTAGCTACTAGTTATTCGTTAAACATTGAACATGAACATCGGCCTTACCTATGCAGTGTTCTTCGTCCGAATAGTCAGGACAGTCGGGCACGCCGTTGCAGTATTTCTCCTTTCCGACGCACGTGCCGTCGTTGCAGGTCCATTCCGTGTGGTGGTTGCAGGCTGAAAATTACACACGCAGAAAAAAAAAATCAATAATAAAGAAAGAAAAAGAGTCCGAATGTAGCTAGACTAGTGCTAAATGACAGAGGAAGACTATGAGCTGTGCCCTAGGTAATGGGGGGGGGATATGATGCATGCAGGTTCTGCAGGTTCTTCACACTCACCGCAGTCTTCTTCGTCCGAACCGTCCGGGCAGTTGACGACGCCGTCGCAACGCCTATCGATACTCACGCAAATACCGGACCCGCAGGTAAACTTGCCGGACGGGCAAAATATTGCCTTGTGTATATCTGCAATTTTTGTTTTGTTTTGGGTCGGCCTTTATTTTATTTGTTTAATTTCTCAGTGGGCGGGGAGAAACAATCATCTTCATCCCAAAGTAAATATCCAAAACTACAAATTTTCCGAGAAAATTATATTATGCATGTTGTAAAGTAAACAGTTTTGACCCGGTGAAGAAGGATCGGGATAGGAAAATTGAGTCTGTTCAAACCGAGGTGTGATCCTGTCCAAAAGAAGCGATTGAACGAGCTGTGAACTTGTTACAGCAGAAACGATTTACCGAGCTGTTTGGCGTTTACATGCATGTTTTTGCATGTTTTCATACAGCTATCAATTTAAAAAAAATATATATATATAAAAAAATCCTGTGGCACACTCACTCTCTGGCCTCGTACAGTTTCGCTCGTCGGCTCCATCCGGGCAGTCGAATGTACGGTCGCAGACAAGGTGATGTGGTAGGCAATCGCCGTTCGACTCGCACAAGAAGCCATCGCACGAACCTGGTCTCGGTGCTGGATTTCCAATAGTAAAACAAAATTAGGTCTAGCCGATTTGTCAATTCTAGTGACGTTAGTACTGTTAGACGGTTTTATGTCCACAAGGAGCCGCAACCCAAAAATGTTAGCCAAACTGGTGTTACGTGTTAAAATTAAGAGTATTTTAGTAATTAGTAAGTTTTCGTTTATCGATGCATCTATATTATCGATCATCATTGATAATAGCCGTTCTATCGATAGTTCGATGACTATTAACCTGTCACTGGCATCTAAGAAAACATCGTAGCATGGACATTTATAACGTTGATCCCATTTGCAGTTTATGTTATGAGGAGGATGAAACAGCCATCCCTATGAGCAACGGCTCTTTCGAGACATTAACCTAGCATATAGAAAAAACCTATGGAATAAAATTGTCAATGACCTGATTCTTCTGAAAAGAAAGATTGCGTCTATTGCACTGAACTAGGAAGGTACAATAAGCCAGAAGGCTGCACTCCGTGGGAAGCACAAACTTTCTAATATCCTCATCACCATCACCATCAATCCTGTTTGAATATTACAGCAGTATCGACAACGACGCCGATGACGTTGCAATGCTTGTAGATGATTTAGGAGAATCGATTTTACAGGAAACATTGATCTAATTGCTCTCAGTCCATCGATAACAAGAAATGTCCAAGTATCGATAGTAAATCGTATCATAGTGTTGATAATATATAATAAATTGAAATATTGATTGATTGAAGACGAAGCAGAGTCTCGCTAGTAGATATTATCAAAATATCGATTGTATATCACATCGTAGAGTCGATAATAGATGTTACTCAAGTTTCATTAGTATATAACATCGATTTATCAATTATCCAAGAATCCATAGTAAGTCATATCGATAGAAGATACGATATAAGTATATATATATATATATGATATGTGTCCATCATATCCATATCCAGATGTCGATTTTTATATATTATTCGATTATCGGTAATTTATCGTATTAATGTATATTATCAATGTAGTTAGAAAAATCCTAACTATCGATAATTAAGTATTACTTATTGATTAATATCTACTATCGATAAAACGATATGATATATAATCTATAGTTTACGCTTGTTATATCCTATCAGTATATTGGTACTACAGACAATCGATACTAAAAAAATATGTACTATCGTTTTCTAGTGTCGCTATTAATATGATTGATTATCGACAAATGAATAACGCAAACTATCGATACTTGGAAAATAAATAAAATCGATATTACGATATTCTATACTATTGATTTATTGATGTAATATAGTATCCATATGTGAATATGATATACTATTGATACTTTATCGTGAATCGATACTTCTATATTATACACTATCGTCACAATATTGAATCGAATCTACACGTTGCATAGCATCGATAATTTAATATGATATACTATCGATGCATGAATTTGATGTACTATTCTACTTTCTTTATCTTGAATCGATACTTCGATATTACATACTATCGACACTATATTGCATACTATCCATAAAAATATCGATTGTACATATGATTCTAGATCGATAGTTTCTCAATCTATCGATAATATACTATTTCAAAGTATCAATATCCTAAGAAAATGTCAGACTATCGATAATACGTAATGTTTCGTAGAGTCGATTGTCTACAATACCAATCTATGGATAGTGACATAGAAATATCGATTGTATGTGTTGTCCAATTATCGATTGTATGTATTGTCCAATTCGGTAGTATATCTACATCAAAGGAACAATAATCGATAGTTATATTGATTAAGTAACGATGTACGTAATATCGTTGTTTTGATTGTATACAAAATCAAGGTATCCATAGTTCATAATATAGAAATCGATATTATATATTATCCCATTACCGATATTTATCGTATTGATGTATCGATAATATACAATAAGAAAGAATCGACAGTAGGAAAATGTCGAAGTATCGATATTACGAAATACGTGACAATATCGATTGTCTACCATTTCAATGTATCGATAGTGTATATAATATAGACATATCGAAGTAAAAATAATCGATAATAATAATGAATAAGTATCGATTTTCGTAATATCGATGTTTTGATTGTATATAAAATCAAGGAATCGATAGTATATAATACAGAAACATCGATTGCATGTATTATCCAATTGAAGATAGTGCACCTATTTAAAATGAAAAATAATAGATACTTATATTGATTAAGTATCGATCTACGTAATACGATGTTTTGATTGTTTTGTACATAAAACTAAGATATCGATAGTTTATAATAACCAAATCGATATTATATATTATCCGATTATCGATATTTTACCATATTCATATATCGATAATATACTCTATCAAAGTATCGATACTAGGAAAATGTCGACAGTATGTAATTTTTGTAATATCCATTGCACAAAGTACCTGTCGTTAGTGTATCATATCGAAATTTCGATTGATCGAATATATCGAAGGATAAATAATCGATACTTCAAATCTATCAGTAGTATTGAGAGTATAAAACTTCTCAATATCGATTCTTTGTAATATCGAAGCAGTGATAATCGATTGTTCAAGTCTATGGATAGAAGATTAAATCAGCTATGTTATTACTCGTATCGATGCAGTTGGCTGACGATTATTTCGGCCTTTAAAGTACCAATTTTTTTTTTGGGGGGGGAGGGGGTGAACTTTGAGGAAATAGCTCGACGACGGACCCCGGTTGGAAGGGATGTCTTTGATCGACGAGAGGGTTTCTCGTCGGATCTTCCCGACCTTTCAAGACCGAAGCTCGAGGGTTTAACAATAGCCGATCTTATTAATCAACGAGGATCAGCATCACGACAGCCGTGGATCCGCGGTTCATCCTCTTGATAAATGGCGAGAGTCTCACGTCTTCGAGGTGTTGTTTCTCCGACCGTAGATTTTACGGATAACGAAGAGATATTAAGCAAATAAAAAGCGCACTGTTAAGTCACGACTTTTGCCAACTTAGTAAAACAAATAAGCCGGCCCCAATAAAAGCCCCATAGGTTCCAGTTTTGGTACAAAGTCAAACATAAAGCCGGAAATTTTGCCCTATATTTCAATGGATTATTGTCTTAGTCTTTTTAACAACTGGAAACGATCTGTGGTCCTTTGTGTTTCCCCCGAGGATCCCGAAGTCGGTTTCAAGCTGGCCTGGGATGAAAGACGACCGGGTTTTTAGAGGACCATTAGGAAACCATTGGAAAATGATCCATAGTTGGACAATTAGCGAAGCCGAAAATCAACTCTCATTATTGTTCCGGATCGCGTTTCCCGGACAATTAGCGGCCTCCGCGGCCCGTCTTCGTTACGAGGTAATGACGGAAGCCTCGGGAATAATTAATTTCCACCCTGGAAACCGGACGATGGAGGAAGGTAAGACGACTTTAAATCCCCCCCCTCCACGGGGGAGGGAAAAAAATTATACGTACGACGACTTTTTGAAAAATGAAATTAACCTTTCTAGGGGTTTTATATCCGAAAGGCCAATTGGCCCGACCACCCCGGGGCATAAGAAAAGATTTACACACGGCTCACGATTCGCGGGCAACCCGACAGAAATTAAAATATCTTGTTTGTCAGACTCCCAGACTGTAAGTTTTAGCGGAAAACAGCCATTACGGAGTCCGAAATCGATAATACATAAATATCGATATATCAGAAAAATCGATTATAAAACTGTATCGAATATGATAATCGATCAGCTGTTATGATAATCGATATGACCGATATTGAATGATAAAGAACCAACGTGAAATCGTACCATAGTATATTATTCAGGTATCGATATAGAGTAAAATCGATTATCGATTTATATAAATAAAAGTATCCATAGTATATCATATCAAAGTATTCATACTACGAAAATGTTTAACTATCCATTGCAATTCTGTAGTATCAATTCTATATAATAACAATGTATCGGGTATGGATAACATCGAAATATCGATTGTATAAATTATTGAAATAACGGTAGTGTATATTATTCAAGTATCGATGATATATTATTCAAGTATCGACATTATATCAAATCCGATATCGACTGAACATAATAAAAAAGTATCGATAGCATATCATACTTAAATATCGATAGTATATCACATGGAAGTAACGAGTAGTAGTACTAAGTAAATAGTACTAAAGTAGTATATATTGACAAAAGTATCGATACTAGGAAAATGTGAACTCGATAGAAGGACTTTTTGTTATATCGATTGTATATAATAGGTATCGACAGTGTATCATACCAATGTATCAATATTAAAAAAATGTTGAACTATCAATTGTAGGCAATAGTATAATGTATCAATATAGTATATCAAATCCGATATAGATTGAACATTATAAAAAGTATCGATAGTATATGAAATCGACGTATCGATTGTATACAAACGCATCGATACTAGGAAAATGTTGAATTCGATACTAGGCAATTATTGTAGTATCGATTGTATACATTATCAAGTTATTGATGCTATTTGAAATCGAAGTATCGATTGGATATAATACCAATGTATCGATAATGTTTAAAATCGAAGTTGCGATGGTATAAATATCGGCAATTTTTGTATTTTTCCTTGTAAATTAATTAGTTTTGACCCGGTGCAGATGAAATGTGAAGAATTGAATCTGTACAAAAGAATGGATGGAACGATCTGTGAACCGTTTTACTGATCCATCGAAACTCAAGTATCTATTGTATACCGAATCGAAATATGTATAGTATATCGTATCAAAGTATCGATCGTATATCATACCGCAAGATCGATATGATTAAGAGTCGATTGTACTTTAACATCGATTAATAGATAGTTTAGAGCATAATCTAAAGCCTGTTATACATAATAATCGGTACTGAAATGTTAATAATATTCCGAGGCTGGAATAAAATGGTCGCAATCATGGGAGGTTGGGCAGTCAACAAGTGGCAACACAAATCAGGAAGTTTAATCCGGCCGGTTAATCGAATCTCTTAA